CAAACCAATAAAAAACACACTGTACTTTTGTACTCCTCTTTCAGAATTGTAAAGCAGAGACATCCAGAGGGAAAATAATGTGGCATCCAAAGCTGCATTTTATAGAGTGGATACACTTCGCACTTGTCAATGATTTATAAAAAATGACAACCTCCACAAACCAACAGAATATGGAAGGTTTTAGAGGCAAAGTATAGGCTAGCGTATCAGCCACAGCGCAAGGTCAGTCAAAAAGAAAAACACAACACCCTGTAATGGTGCGTCACCTAAACAAATGTAAGAGCTCACATAACCAGAACTGAACTGCCACTAAAATAGCAAGAAGTCGGAAAAAAGCCAATTGATACCGTGAAACAACAGCTTCCGCAATTCACTTTTCTCCACCCCGAGGGACTTAGTCACCACGTATTAAAGGACGCAGTGCAATATAAAAAAAAAAAGCCAGGAGCCACATGGGAGTAAGTGGAGTGACCGTGGCAGCCACCATCGCTCTTACTGCCACGTCTTTAGCTGTAGTCTCCCTGACCCTGTCTGTGTTTGCCTGGGAGGCAAGGCCTGGCGCTGTTGACGATAAAACAAACAGACAGGCCCCATTTATACAGTCAGGTGTCATGACAAGGGATAAACAGCCAACCGCTCTGGGCCTCTTGAGGCACAGTCCGCACTAATAGTAGGGGCTATCATCATCCTCATCCTCACTATCACCCTCATGATCATCATCATCAAGAGCAGCAATAGTGGTGTTGGCAGAAGCTCCTAGGTGCCTGCTGGGAGGCGGACGAGTACTGACTCAGATTGGACAAAACTCAAGGGCTGCACTGTTTACTTTGCCGGGCTGTATTCATTCGTGTCACTGAATTAATCGAGTCAAAAAAAAAAGCAATTGCCAAAAACATTGCTGTGGGAAGAGGGGGGTGTGTAGGAAAAAAAGAACAGTCTCGAGTAGAGCGAGGCGGGAGTGGCAAGAACGCGGCAGGAATGACAAGAGTGTTGCTGTCATCGCGAGGGATGAAAAACAGCACCTCTCAGACGAGGCGAGGCAGCGGCTGCCTCTTGCGCCAGCGAGGAAGGGGATGCGCAGGGACCACAAACACAATTATCTTCACGCCAGCTTTGTTGTTTGTCAGAAACTGGCACGCATTTAAGGACTTGGGTGTACTGATTATATGACACCCGGAGAGCCTTTGGGGTGGACAAGAGGCAGCCAGCCGGGAGTCATTACCCAAACCAAATAGACTTCTCATTTATTTCTCCGTCGGGGTAAAGCATCAACAGGAATAAACAATGGTTGATAGATACTCAATCACTAAAGGCGTGTACCCCTGCACTGGGTGTTTTTCCTTTTGAGGATCCAATTACAAAGTCCTAGCATCTAATCATGGGAAATGACGCCTCACGTGTGAGGTGTGTAAGAATTCCAAAAGGGTTGTCAGGGCACCCTTAGGACTGTGTTCAGATATGATCTGGTGTCTGGGACTGAAATCACATGTGACCACCTGACAGATGGCATAATGTGGGCACAGGGGTTATTTTCTGACAGTGTGAAAATCATCGCGCTGGCACCTTTCAATAACGCCAGCTGGTCTTTTTCATAGCATTCCGTCTAATTTAGGCGAAAAAAGAAAGCTATTTTCTTCATTTTGTCATGCCTCCCCAGAGTGTCACCATCTTGCCCTGAGTGTAAAGCTTTGTGAAAATATTCTGAAAGCTGGTACTTGCTAGCAGCTATACCTGTTGACAACCTGCAATCTCTGTGCCAGACATAGACGACCGCCGACACTGGCAGCGCACTGCCTGTCTGCTGGTCCAGTGCCAAGGTCATGCTTGCAGACAGGATGGGTGAGTCCAAACACAGTGAAAACCCACAGGTGAGAAGTGTTTCCTCTATATATGACTCCATGGGCCAAAAGGGCAGTTGGGGACATCGACACCAGTAACTACAGCTTCACAGATCTAAACCCGTAAACATCTTATGACCAAAATAAGAGCTACTTGTCAGTTCAATATGCTTCAAATGACCTGGTGCGTACCAAGTGTCCTCTGAGCAGCGGTGAAATGTGACTAAGTACATTCACTCAAATACTTAAGGTCAAGTGTGCAGGATTAAGGGGCATCTATTGGCAGAAATTGTATATAATAATTATGACTGTTTTCATAAGCTTATAACAGCCTGAAAATAAGAATCATCAGTGTTTTCATTACCTTACAATGAGCCATTTATATCTACATATGGAGCCAGTCCTTTTCCACTAAGCCCAATATGTTGTTCTACAGTAGCCCAGAACGGACAAAGTTTAGATAGACAAAGACAAAGATTTTCGTGTAAGCCATCACAGTTCTCTTAAACGCTTGCCACATGGGAGAAGTTTAAGTTCTGCAACATCATCTTGAGATGCCACTAAATCCTACACACTGGACCGGTACATTAAGTTTTCAGGTCTATTTGTACTTTACTTGAATATTTCCATTTTGTGGTATGGTATACTTCTACTATAATACATTCTGGAGGCAAATATTGTAGCTGCTTTTTACTCTAATACATTTATTTGCCAGCTTTAGTTACTAGTTACTTTGCAGATTAAGATTATTACTACAAACTGTAAAACTGATAAAATATTCATATTATTATAGCTTAAACAAGCCAGCAGCATGGATGGACTACTGAACAAGCCTACCGGGCACAGGCCCAGGGGTCCAAAGTGTCAGGATGCCCCCTGGTCTTTGCTTGAAAAATGTCAATTGTCAAATTAACACGTACCAACCAGGAAGAGACTCAAAATAACCACAAGGAGACACAAATCGACAAAATGATAATAGTAAATATATTACACAAAATTACCTTTAAGACACACAAAATGACCATGCAGAGACACAAACCCACAGAAAGATGCATAATGACTACAAAAAGATGCAAAATCCCCACAATGTCTGTGGGTGGTGGGGCCCATTGTCTCCTAAATCACCCATGCTCAGCAGTATATAAAGCAATTAAAATAGCCCCACCTTTATCAGCTGCAATATTAAAGTGATGAATGCATCAATAATTAGAATCTGGTAATATAATATACACTGAGATGTTTTGCATAATAAGTAAGTTTACTTGCTCATTATACTTACTTTTACTCAAGATTTCAAAACTTTTGGTTGTTAATGTTTCTGCACTACTGTATTGCTACTTTTACTTACATAAAAGATCTGAGTATGTCCTCCATCACTGCTTCTGAGAGTCTTTTTTTTTTTTTACTAGTTCCACTAGATGAAAAAACGTCAGGGGAAAAGCAAAGTCTCAGATTCTTCCTCTGGGGACTCTGAACCTCTGTGCAAAATTATATGGCAATCCATCCAATAGTTAAGATATTTTATTTTGGAGCCAAGTGGTGAACTGGTGGACAGAGCCACAGACACACACTGCCATCCATGGGCAGCAGTATGGCAAAAATGTGACTGCAGATGATGAAAAAAAAGAGAACTTGTAGAGAAGTTCAGAAACGTTCTCACCTTTGAACACCTGGAGATGTTACAAAAAATTGTTGCCTGCCAAATTCAGAGTGCGTTTTAAGGTGGTTTCTGTCACTGTTTAGTGATCCAACAAGCGTTTCATTTGAGGCATACTGATGCTTATCACCGGAAAGCTCTTAACCCAATGAACAAAAGAAAAAAATTAATGGCTCACTCCTTGAGACCTCCAGATGCTTCTTTTCTTGTTGTGTTAAGATCTAGACCTGAACACAAGAGTGACAGAGCCTCTGCTGTCAGAGCTCATAGATTCTGGATAACTTGCTTGAAGAGATCAGGGCAGCAACATGCATCTCTTTAAATTGACTCAATCATCCAGCCATCTTATACAGTAGCTGTTGAGTTGGGATGTTCATGAGTTGGTTGCTCATTTAACATGTGGTACAAAAGACACACTGGAGTAAAAATAGCATTTTAAGTCTGCTCCATGTACACGCTACACTTTTGCTCAAATGGTATCTCACTGAGCAATTATGGACTAAAATTGCAGTCTCTGTAAGCTGGCTTTTCTTTATTAAAGCAAGGCTTCCTACACTATACTTAAATGACAATGCAGTATGTTGGATATTTAATGGTGCTGCACGACTTAGCCTTTATCCACTACTCTGAGGAAATCATTTAGTTATACTCAGTCAAAATCACTTCTTTAACCCCTTAACCCAGGAGGACGGTTAAGTCTTCTACAAAGTGTTAATGCTTTTATCCACATTTGCTCCATTTTAGCATATCTCCACGGGCAAATACTTCGTCACTCTGTCAGTTTCTGCTTCTATTGATGGTGCAGTTCCCATCACTTCATTTACTAAGAGCGGCACCGCGGATGAGACCCGCTCATTTCCATTTATCGAAATCCCATTTCTATTCCATCTGCTAACTAGTCACCTGTGAAACTAGTTTTTAACCATGATTTGAAAGTGCACTGGCTTCAGATGTCTACCCCATCCCCTTTATTAGTGTTTATTCCCAACCATAAAAACCGCTGGAGGGGCACACACTGCCAGCGCAGGTCGTTATATTGTAAAACACCATGGCAGGGTAGCACACAACATTGCACATTGAGAAGCTAAGTGTGTCGAGGAGGAATTAAAGAATAAATTTCCTCTTCCAATTAAAAGACGTATTTGTGCAACGTGAGCGCAGGAAGGGAACATTATCAATGAAGGGAAGAAAACACAGTGTTACAACTCAGGAGGCACAATTACTGAGGCTGGTGGTATGCAATTAAATAGTGCTATTTAGACAGTGCTACTCCTCGCTAATAAATGCGGAACATATAGAGGAGACAAAAAAGGCTTTGGATGTACCTCCCAATCCCAACAGCCGGGGGAACAGATGACTGAAATGTAAACACAAACAGCGACAAAATGACTACATCAAAAGGAGGATGAGGCAACAAGACTATGCTTTTACATAGAGGGGAAATTCTCAAGATTCCAACTATTCACCAGCTTGAAGCCTAAAAGGTAAAATAAGAAAAACAAGGCTGTTGAAAAAAGAACATCACAGGTTTTATTGAGAAAGATGATGTAGTTTCCCAATGTATGATCCAAATGAAATGTATGTAGGGCAAGCACCACACTTACACCCACACTGTATTAAAGCACGTTTGAGTCATCAGCCCTGTCTCTGCAGCCCCTCAAATCATACTCCGTGTGGGGTGAGCGGAGCTGGCATTGTTAAAAATGTACAATATGAAGCTTTAAGTTAGCAACATGTCAAAATGAGTAACAGAACTAATGCAAGTGGAAGTCAATCGGCAGATGAGTCCTTTTTATTCATGTGTCAACTCTACTGACATTTCAGAACATCTTAACATTAGATACGAGAATAAACTCCTAACCCTCCCTATTCACGCCCCACCTCCTGGTTCCCTCTGTGCTCTAGATCTTATGCCTGATCTCTGTACTGCTGGTGCAGCATGAGGACGTCTTCCTGGGAGACCCTGGTCCACCCCTCGCTGTGGACGTGATACAGGTTGACCTGCCCTCCACTGTAGGCGTCACGGTACGTGGCCTGGTAGATGGCGCGGCGGCCTAGCTCGCAGGCCTCCTCCACAGTCAGGTCCTGCCGCAGGCCACTGTCCATCACACCGTAGGCATACATGGAGCCTGAGCCAACGGCAAACAGATCGCCACACACACGGTTCCCCTCTGAGTCGACATAGTACAGCCCTGAGGACAAAGGACAAAAAGCAGGTCAAAAGGTTGGGAAGGCAAAGAGATGTAAGAAGAAACGGTGTAAACGGAGAAGTGTTTGATGCTGAAGCGTCCTCCGTTCTCCTGACTCAGGTGTTGAGCTTTGTCAGGAAAACTGAGATGGTGTACATCTAATACCGACACTCTCACACAAACAAACACACACAAACTTGTAAACGCACACACGCCATGTCCTCCAGAGAGAGAATATGAACAGCTGCAACCTCTCCAAGTGAAGTAAGGCTGGCAGATATGAACAGCTGCATCCTCTTCAAGTAAAACGAAGCCGGCCACGGAACCTGCTGACGAGGCATGGGCCACATCGCTGTCTGCCCATGGGCCCTGCTCCGGGCCTTATTGATCCCAGCAAACACGCCAAAAATTAACTATCGACCCGCAACCTGAGCTGCACAGGTAACTGCACCTCGCACCTCAAGAGGGAGAACAAAAAAAGAAAACATTGCGCTTACATCCTGTGGACATGAGACGAGTGCAGCGCATTTATATCCTTCTTCGCATATATGTGTTTGCTTCTACACAGACATTTTCTTCTCCTCCACACGTACGCACACTTGAATGACACATGGAGGCACGCACTCACCCTACACAAAACCTGACAAACATGTAATCCATCGTGCACTGCAGACCCCACAATGCTCTGATGGACCTGTGAGGGACAGTTTGCTCCACACCACGCTTCGTGGACACATGCGAGACATTTTGTTCCGCGCCATGACACACTCGCTAGGCCTGATCCCAGAGTGACGTGGAACGGGTGACTAGCACCAGCCTGTGAGCTCGCCCACAGCCTGCAGATGGTAAAAACGACAGCCTGCAAAAAGGCATGTTTTTCAGAGCGCTTCACAAAGCGAAACCTGTGAAAATGATACTCACACAGAGAAACACAGAGACACATGCATATAAAATTGCCTAATATCCACTGCTATCGCTCATCTCCCGCATTAAAAAACACTTCAAAATGCCCTCAGATTGCACATCCTCGCTTGCAGAGTTCCTCAGCTAAACTAGTGACAGTCTATTAGGGATGGAGAGCCACTTGCTTTTCTGAAAAAAAAAAAAAAGAGCTTACCATTGCTTTCAACTGGCAAATTGCAGCTTCCTCAGCCTGTCGTTAGCTTGCCATGATAATCATCCCATGCCTGTCTATGCATGGGGGTAATTTGCCATTCTGAGACCTGTCTGTTCCTCTTGAAAACTGTAAGGGACTCGTTAAAAACATAATGGGCTGGGAGAGAGAGTTGTAAAGGCGGCCTCTTGTGTTGAGTAGCACAGTTGACGGAGGTGGATGAGGACTCTTTAGGAGGTCCAAGTATAGAAGCAGAGCAGCACCAAAAAACACTTTCCACATCCATTCCTTTACAAACACACCTGGGTCTTTGTAGAGCCCAGTGCGCTTAACAGTCTCTGCACCTCAAACAGTGACGCAGAACAGCACGCAGGCATCGATAAGTGCTCAGAAAACAAAACAAAAAAAACGTGGAGGGGGGGAATCATAAGGCCCACTTAAAGTGGAAGCGGGGGGGGGGGCATGCTGCCTGGATGGCGGAGCATTGCAGCAGTGGCGGCCAAGAGAGACTCCTTCCACTCTGTCAACCTACTGACAGGTGCTTAAGGAGCCTTTTTTAAACAGCGGCATGTGCACCTGGCTGGACTGACAGCTTTTAGAGGTAGGTGAGGAGCGCAGTACGATGGATGGGTGGCTAGCATCAAATGGGTCAGTGTCTGTCCGTCATCTGTCCTTCCCACTACAATTCACCACTGGATCAGGAGTAAAAAAAGAGAGCAGCAGTTCAGAACAGAGGGGGAAAAAAATGATTACATCACTCTCTTGGGAGTGGCTGTAAAACTGACTGCCACATGGGTCTTCTCCGACGAGGTCTCATACACTGATCTGCTTTTCAGTCATGGGGCTGTATCCCATTTAATCACATATCACCTTATTTCAAACCCTTCATGTCCTTGTAGGAAGCAGTAGAGGGTGCTGCGCAGAGCAGAGTCGCTGTTATCTGTCAAAAGCAAAGCCTCTATTGAGTTATCAAGCATTTACTGTACACTGATTACAAGTGTCATAACATTTGACGTTATTACATAGAGTCGTATTTGACGAGCTCCTCAACATAGCTTTTATTTGATTTATTTTGCATGCAGCTTAAGACACTCCATCAGGGGAATAAGTGCTCTTGACATGATTGTAGCTGGCTAATGAGCTTCCCGCCTAATCGCGATTGATTTAATTTACATGACATTTACCTCTCCATTCAATCATTGGCATTGTGGGGGCCATGGCAAAGCTCCCACACCTATTGAACTTATACAGGGATCATTATTTCACCAATTGATCGCCCAGGATTTAACACGTGTCATTTAGGTTTGTTGGCATACCGGCGGGCCGCCATTGTTCACACAGCCCTCTCTGCTTTCCAGACAAAGCTGGGATCGATCTCAGCGGGTGTACGGGCATTATGCATGCGACCCAATTGTCCGGGGCTGAGACCCAACGTCCATCATCCCGCCGTGCTCCGGCTGGCCCGCAGTCCCAGCCTCATCGATTTCCCATTACTGTGTCACTGTGGCGGCCTCTTTAAGCACACCTTCTGTGATGTACAGCCTCACACTGCGAGGCACCCAAAAGCCAGTTTGAAGTACAAAGAGGGGGCAGAGAATGCGAGAGGCTGCAGTACCATCTAGTGGGTAACTCTGGGAACTACAGATGTGTTTACACTAATGGTACAGCACATGAACTGGAAAACCATATGAACTGGTGATTCTGTACACAAGGATCATAACATTTGATGGCTGATGAGAAAAACTGAATAATCTCCTCAAAAAATTCTAACAATTAAGTGTTGATCAGAGTTGTATTTTTTTTTTTTTTTTTCATTTTTAATTTTTGTTTTCAATTCAGTTTAGTTTCCGTTAGTTTCTAGAGTGGGTTTGCTTGTTTCAGTTTAGTTTTTCTCATTTAAAAATGTTTTAGTTCACTATTCATTTGTTTCAGTATTAGTTTTTTTTATTGTTGTTGTTTTATTATATTGGAGGCATTTTTCAGGGGCAAAATAGATATTACAATACAAACACAACACTTTGTGAGGGCAACTGACTCACAATCATGTAGACATCCCAGTCTCACTAAATATGCACCAATGCCTCCTAATGCTTGTTGAGCCGACAAATTAACGCCAAAGACTAAAGCTAAAACATTTCCTGCATATTTTTATCTTATTTTAGTTCAGTTAGCACAATGTCATTTTAGTTATCTTGTATTCTTTTTTTTTTTTTTTTTTTTTTTTAAGTCTAGTCCTCATTTTTTTTCAGTTAACTGATTTCTTTTAAACCTAGTGTTAGTTTTAGGCTCAGTTTTAGTTTACTTTAGCAACCTTGGTATGGATAGTTATTTCATCTTATATCTTTCATATATCACATTAACGCATGAAACTGCTAACCCTACACTGCAACAAAGGACATACATTTCAGACTTAATTGAACAGCTAACCACTCAAGTTTAACCTCAGCTTGGGAGGTGCCATCAAAACATTTCTTTGGGACTAAAGCATAGCTGTCTATCATCACAAAAAACACTGACACTGTGTATTCAAATTAGTGGATTGTTTTGCTCATTGCATGAGCTGCATGTCAGAATGAATTAGTGGAAATCATATGCCAAGAGTGGGCGGTTAATAGGTGCTTCAGTAAGTTTGTTGTATTTTCAAAGAAATTTGCCCTGTTGGTTTTAGCACACTTGAAGTAAAATACATAATCAGGTAAACTAATAATAACAAAGAGAGATAATGGAAATGACTGACAGATATAAAAACATGATAAAGTTTAATATAAAAACAAATGACTATGGAAAATTGCTTGGAGGATGTTGCAAAATGGCAGACCATTAAGACAGTGAAAAGAATTATAAATTGAGCGCCATGTTTAGAATCCATATCTTAAATCTTAATTCAAGCTAATAAGAATTAGAAGATTAACTGATTTGAAGATTCAGTGACAAACAATTTATCTGCAACCTTTTTGATAAGTGATTAATCATTTACGTCATTTTTTAACCAAAAATAGCAATAGCGTTTTATATTACTGGAAAATCAATATCTTTTTTATGTTTTGGACTGTTAGTCTGACAAACAAGACTTTTGAAGACATCGCCCTGGGGTCTAGGATATTGTGAAGGCACTTTTATCTGTTTTCTGATGTTTATAAATGAATCAATTAATTGAAAAAATGATCTGCAGATTAATCAATAATAAAAAATAATTGCTAGTTGCAATTAATACCAGGGTTCTTGCACCATTTTTAAAGTCAAATTCAATGCTTATAAAGACTTTAAAAGGAGACACAGGGGCCCTGAATACATCAAAAAAAAAATTTCCTGGCACACAAAAGTTTTATTTAGTTTAATGTCTACTTTTATGTCTAGTTTTAAATCTAATAATATATTGTATAACACTGCAAAGCCCACGTATCCCTCATTCAAGGACAAAACTGCAAACAACAAAAACTGAATAAATATAGGCAAAAAAAATCTAAGACAGTATATATTCACAAATTTTAAAAATAAATTCTATTCTGGAAAAGATGTTGTAAGTTAATTATAGAAATACTTCAATACGAATCATTAATAATCAATTTTGTTGGCAGCTGTAGATTTTTCTAATAGTTGAAATCCAGTTTTAGATAATAAGCTGACATAGGCCACGTGTTATATACAGCTGTTGTATTTACCTGGCCCTCTCTTGTCCCAGCCACACACCATGGTTCCCATGCTGAGTCCCATGCCCTTGTACTGGTACACCATGTTCGCAAGCAGTTTGGAGGCTGCTGCCACTGAGATGCGCTCCTTGTTGCGGAGTTCGTAGATGCGGCACTGGCGAGCCAGCAGGCGCTCCCAGAAGCTACAATCTGCAGCTCCTCCAGCCATGGTACCCAGCAGGTAGGGGTTGATCTCAATCACCTTCTTTACTGTCTGCGAGGCAATGTAGGAGCCTGCTGTGGCTCTGGAGTCCACCGCTACAATAACACCATGCTGGAACTGAGAGAGGCAACAGCAAGGGGGGATCCCATTAGTAAGCACAGTACAGCAGGAGGGGAAAACACACAAACAGCAGTCACTTATGGCTCAGTAATCAGTATGTACAGTTTAATTACCTATTAGCTAACTCGTATTTGTGTGTAGATAAAGCAGAAATCTGCTGCTGCTCTACACCTGTCACAGAGATGCAATATATGGCTCAGCTCTGCCAGAAAGCTGCTGGATAAAAGTGAAGACCTTTGCTCTTACCCACAAAATCCTCTTTCACTGAAGTGTCAGTCACAACAGCTGTATAATACTAAAGTGAAGACAACAGATTTGGCCAGTCAGAGGGAGACGACTTCTGGAGAGGTTTTCATCTACCACCTCCCCTCCACACTCAGGGATTAAGGGATAAAGTTGGCGTTATTCTATCTTTTCTTTTTATCAACAAATCCCCTGAAGAGACCAAAACCAACTGCAGGGATGTTGTTCAGTATTTACACTGCTCTGCTTGTTTGACAGTGTGAGGGTAAAAAGCCTGCAGTTTTCATCATAATGAAAATATGTCAACCAAATGCAACAGTATGGCTCTTTTATGTGTTTTTAATAGTTTTTGGACAACAATGGCATTTTGTGGCACAGAGGCAGAGCCTATATCAGGCTATTATCTTTTTAGTCCCATGAATTCATTGCTGGGTTTAGAGTTTTAACAGGATTTGCTGATAATTACAATTCAACAGTATCCCCCTATCCATTCAGTGGAATGTAAATGGACCTATTTTAGTCATCTTTTACGCCTAGTTTAAATCTTCGAATCACAAAGACTACCTGAACTTTTTAGATACCCCATTCCCTCTTTTGTTGACATTATTAATTTTGATTTAGGGAGCTCCTACTTTGTTCTTTACTCTTACAGTGTTCATCTTTCTTTCCTTTCTGTTGTGAGATAAATGTGTGATGTGTTACTGTTACATGACTCATCAGCTTTAAAAGGCCAATATACCTATATTTTCATATGTCTTATATTTGACCTTTTCTAGGGAGGCCACAACTTTACGTCTGGTTCTGAAACAATACTTAGACAATCTGGTATGGAAACTCACAGTTCTCATCTACAAGACAGTACAATTAACTGAAGAAATATATACATTTGAAAAAATACGTCCTTCCTACCAGAGATGTTCTAAAAACCAACCAGGACATAACATCACTGAATACATTAACTTACATTTTTAAATTTGGATCCTCTGATGTACAGTTAAATGTCTTTTTATGGGCATAAATAATATTGTATTTGGGTTGAAAGAGCCCAAATGGCAAATCTAAAGAGCAAGGTGAATAGACAACTGTGTTTAAATGTCCAAGACATTTTTTCTTCCACGTAAGTGATATGTTTGAATTTGACAGATAAATAAATGACTAAATACAGAAAATAAATACTTAAAGATAGCTCTTTATTGTATTTGGCTTCTATTCCATAATGCAAATAAGCACCTATACTATTAGAAACAAACAAGCTGATACAACATTATGTAAAGTGCAAATTCAGGTCATCTTCATTTTATTGTGTTGAGCAATGACTAAACAGCATACACATAGACCTACGTGATTTGTGAGTTATCTAATTACGCCAAACAAAAGTCACATGTGGATAATGCACAAGTACAGAGCTGTCACCTTGTTTCCCATTCATGCAGGTGCATTTAAGGCATAACGTTAAGTGCTGTTAGTATTAACTTGTGACACCTAACTCTACGGTAAATAACGTTACTGTCGTGGCTGTCAAAACCGCACGGGTATGACCAGCTCGGGTTCACCCATTTGCTTTGAAGGCAGACATGTTTAACACAAATCCTCATAAAGCCAACGCTGTGTGGACATCTGCAATGAGAAAGCGGTTTGTAGCCATGCTAGCATGCTAACGTTCGAGATGTAGCATTTTGTGAGCCCTCCAACATTGGTGTATAGGGTCTGAATAATTCAGCAAACGTCTATTGTGACAACTAATCAATTAGTTAGAGTTTTACAGTAAAAGCAGCCACAGTTAGATACTAATTTACTTACTTTGAATGCTAAGGTGGTGGTCCCGTGCAGGAACTCTATTTTCCTTTCGACGTCATCCTCGTCCACGGCACACAGCGGGTTTTTGACCGAAAAACTAAGACCGTCTCCCGGCGTAGCGTCAAATCCCAGACTGCTCTGTCCACAACCAAAGCCATTTGGTTGACAATTATCAAATGAAAAATTCGCACAATCACTGTTCAACACACTAGCAAGAGCCATCTTTGAAACTGTCTGATGAGCAAGCTACTTCCGGCGGATTAGGGTACGAAAATTTATTGAGTCATGCTGGAATAATCACACAGCGCCCCCTGTGTTTGTGGCGGACTGTGGATTTACTACTGTAAAGGTAAAAATAGGCCGTGTAAACTCTGTGACCTAGGCAAACAAAAACATTTCAAGGCTACAGCAATTAAATAATTCTTGCTATGCTAGAGTACATGAATTATTAATCCAATATTTATTCTAGCTAACTGACAATAGTGCATAAACTTTTAAGAGGGTCACTGACACTAAAGGTAAGCCCCCGCGTGAGTTCCCACTTTTTTGCTTCATCCTGAAGCATCTTTTGTGGCCACTCTTTTTCTTTCCTTCACTATCTTCGCCCTCCTCTCCATGTCTCTATAATATTCCTCTTTCAAGTCCTCTCTCTTTCTTTGGCTCCAACCCTGGGCTGTGATGTGGAAGAGGTCCACATTGTTTCCTGAGTAGGCGTCCCTGTGAGTGGCTCTGAACACTGCTTCTCTTGCCAAAGAGATGGCCTCTTCTTTACTCAAGCTCCAACTCAGCCCTCCATCCAGGACTCCATAAGCATAGGGAGAGCCTGAGCCCACAGAAAAGATGTCCCCCTGCAGTCGGGCTCCATCACTGCACACATATATCAGCTTTGGGCCACCGTTTGGGGATGCAGAATGTTCCATCATGGTAACATCTTGACTACTAGCAACAGCTGAGGAACTGTCATCACCAATTAAGGATGAGTCTTCTGACCTCTTTGTGCACTCAGTGTTATCTGCTTCCTTATCCCAGCCACAAAGCGTAAGAGCCACACATAACTTGGTCCCTTTAAAGGGGTGCAGCATAAATGAAAGGAGCTTGGCAGTGCCACGTATTGACAGGCAACGTTTGTGACGCAGTTGGTAGAGTCTGATCTCTCTGGCCAGAATTCGCTCCCACAGCATGCAGTCTGCGCCGCTACCAGAGGAGGTGACGACTAAATGGGAGTGAATAGGAGTAATCTTGTGAACAGCTGGACAGGCAACAAGCCCCCCAGCACTGGCACGAGTGTCTGCAGCTGCAATGACCCCACCTTGGAAGATGAAACCCAAGGTCGTTGTTCCATGAGACAGAGGGAAAGGACTGCGGACCGTCTTTGAATGTTTAGCTGGGGGGAAAGGGATTGGCCATCTGTGGTTGTAAGGAGTAGAGTATGGCAAAGTCGGTATAGAGAATTGCAGAGGGATCCCACTGTTTCTCTCAGATTTCTGTAGTCGCTCCAATTCAAAGTTGTAATAGTCAGTCATATGAAAAGATGAGGGTGCGTCTTCAAAATGAGAGGCAGGAAACCACTTGTGATGCACAGGAGTGTGTTTGAAGCCACAGATATCTTCCAAAGCCATAACTGTGTAATGAAGCAGATACGGATAGATTCCTCTCCCAGAAATGAGCAGGCAAGAAGTACTCCTTAAACACAGATTATACCAGAGATCATCCTTAGAAAAACCTGTCAAAGTCACAAACCTTGTAAATCCCTCTGCATTTGGAAATGATGACCGCTGCCACCTAGTCTTTCTTCATCTATTCTAAAAGACAAACCTTCTACCCTTATATAGCCCTCCCAAATATGACACCTTGCACACACACACAACCACACGTATAGACCTATGATCAAAACCATTCGAGCCGATGTAAGCGATATTTTATCCTACCCTCTGTGAAAGTAATATCCAGAGAAGCCCTTTTCTGCAAACCCTATGTTTGATGAGTGACAGAGTCATCTAGCTAGTTTTGTGCAGGTTCATACATATCTTTTTTATTATCATTTTCAGTTTGTTGTTTAAAAAGGCACCAACCAACATCAGCAGGATCTTATGACAAACCTGCTTTCCATCCTGTAGCTGTGTCTAAAATGGCCCAGAGACACGCTACAGCAACAACAACATGAGTAATGTTTTTGCACAAGTTTTAAACTTGGAAACTTTCTCAAATGACATATGGACTCCACATGGGTAATAGGAAGGATGCCTTTCTGGTTAATAACATTCATATACTTGAGAAGTTCTATTTACACAACTCCAAGTAAGTGAAACCTAAGTTTAGTGTGTTCCATAAAGAGTTACCTTTTTATTTGACAGTCCTTAAATTCACGAAAAATATAAACACAATGAAACTTTTTAGCATAACTAGCAAAACCTTCTATCCTTTAATTTATTTTTATTAGTCTTGTTATTTCTTTGTGTATTTTTTTAATTATAGCCTTTTTTTGATATTTCAATATCTAATTTGATTTGTCCGTTTTTTTCTGTCTCTTTTGTATGCACCTGATCCTAATGATGTAATGCACATATTTTAAAGCCATTTTGTGTACATGAGAAATTTTTCAATAAAAAAGAAAGAAAAAAACATTAGTTATAAAGGAACTTAAATAATAATTCTGATGGGACATAAAGAGTATAACAAATTATATTCTTTTTCCAACAGTACATTTTATTTTCATGGCTTTTACTTTAATTTATTTAACAGTATAAAAATGACTTGCAAAACATTTCTGAAGAAAGACTTTTAAAATGACATCAAAGCCTCTGGATGCACAGTTATCGCGGGATTATACGAGACATGTAACTGAAGTACGTGAAAAGCCATTTTGGATCAACATCCTCAGGCTTTCAAATGAGCCAACGCATCCTTGCAGATCCAAGATGGCGTCAGTTTCCACAGCTACGGCACGGTTCCAGTCATTCCATTCAGTCGGCTAAAATCATGGCGTCCGGCAGTACGGGGAGCAGGGTGTCCTGCGGGAGAGATTTGAATTGTGTGCCGGAGGTCGCCGACACTTTAGCTGCCGTCGCCAAACTTGGGTGAGGAGAGAGTTTCACTCCGCGAGTTCTTTTTAGTAAAAGTGGGCTTTTTGGAGGGACGCGCTGGTCTGTTAGCATAATGTCAGTGCGTGATGCTTGCTAAGCTAGCCGGTGAATTACCAGCACGTGCCCAATCACAATGATGCTTGATAATAGAGTGAAGTGTTAATTACACTAATGTAGACTATTCAGTTAGCATTGTGAGAACTAGCTGGGGAATAATAACTTCACAGTCTCGCGCTTCACCTCTTCGTGACCTTAACAATGATATTGATGTTAAAGCGACATGCTTTCTTTCTCGTGTCCAGATTTGACTTCCTCTGCATGCCCCTGTTTCACCCGAGGTTCAAGAGAGAGTTTGAGTTGGAACCCGCGAAAACCCGACCCGGTGCCCATACCCGATCAGACCTGCTGCTCTGTGGAAGAGGTTTGTCATTCTGCCCTCCTATCTTCTATACTGTCAGGCGTTAGTATTCATTATCTTACTTGTGTCAGTAAATAAGATATCGAGTTATACCACTGTGTACTATAAGAGGCCCTTGATGGATGGATTGATGGGTGATTATGATGGTGGAAACAGGGGTTCAATGTCTTACACTGGGAAGTTTAGAAAATGGGAACCACAGAGCTAGAAAATGTAATCATATGAATACACGATTAAAGTTTCACGGAACAGACCAGGTATATAGTATTACAAACACTCCTAGAAGAAATAACATTGTAAGAGCTCGTGGAGACATAACTTAAGATGCAGATATCAAACATAATTTTAGTGAATTGTTAATTGTTAATGTATAACTTGGCTGCTGTAACATTGTTTTTTCCCATTGGTCTTTCTGTTACAGCAACACTAATGAAAAGGATTGTCATGTCAGAGTTGGGGTATAGTTAAAATAGTAGCTTCATGGGGCCAGTAAAATTGATAATGTTGTAGTGGAGATCTTAGATGAATCAAAGGATCGATATGAAACTATAATAAGCCAGGTGATGTTTTTTTAAACTAGCTGTTGTGTTTTTCCTAGATTGGAACACTCTTATCGTTGGAAAGCTCTCTCCATGGATCGACGCAGATGCAGAAATCGAGACAGAGCGCAGAAACTCAGAGGCTGTAAGTTCCTCAACTTGGACAATTTCCTTGATGTTGATGCTAAAAATGGTTCTTTGATGTCAAGATTTTATGGCATGAGTGAATTTATGTTGTCCAGTCTGTCAACCCTAATCTGTCTTCTTGTTTCATACCGTCATGCTCTCGTCATTCTTTTTCCTATTTTTCTCATCAGGCTCTGGCACAGGAGTTAAACTTCTCAGCCTACCTGGGTCTGCCTGTCTTCATGATCCCTCTAAGGGGCTCAAACTGTGCCAATCTAGCCCGTCTGCTGCTAAACCACATCCACACTGGACACCACACCTCAAATGTAAGACACAGCATTGACAACCCCAACATAACAGTGTTGATGTCTTTTTATATAGTAGAGACGTCAGATAGACAGTTGAATTTATCAGCTAACTGATGTTGTCCTCTGACTAGTTCTGGATTCGTGTCCCGCTGATGGCATCAGAGGACACACGGGAAGATCTGATTGAGAATGAACCGAGCACTTGCATTGATGACACAAGTGTTGATGAAAAGACCTGGAGCTGGTTAGTTTCACGCCACTCCACTTCCTGAGCAGTCGGGTGCTGTCTGCATGCTAAAATAGCTGTCATTGATTTCCTTTAAAATCGTGACTCACTTTGTTTACTTGCCTCTGCTCCTTTTAGGTGGCACTCATTTAGAACCCTTTGTGATTACAACAAGAGGATTTGTCTTGGTGAGAGAGCACACTGTGAAGCAACAGCCTGGGGCAAAGTCAGTGCATTAAGAAATAATCATTGTCCTGTCTGCAACTGAAAATGCACTTCTTTTTGTATTCCTGAAGCTATTGAACTTGGAGCAGACATGCCGTCAGAGGCAGTGATTGATAAGTGGCTCGGGGAACCTGTCAAAGCAGCCATACTTCCCACCAGCATCTTCCTAACGAACAAGAAGGGCTTCCCTGTTCTGTCAAAAGCCCATCAGCGAATAATCTTCAGCCTTTTCAAGGTATAATTCCACAGATTCAACTGAAATTAATCACCAGCCAAATGCAGAAGTGTTGTTTTTAATTAAAAAAAATTAAAACTTTCCTTTCATTTCTTAGTTGGAGGCCCAGTTCATCTTCACAGGCACCAGTCGGCACACTGAGAAGGACTTTCGCTCCTACCTGCAGTACCTCGAATACCTCAACCAGAACCGACCTGCACCCAATGCCTACGAGCTCTTCGCAAAGGGCTATGAAGACTACTTGCAGTCTCCCCTCCAGGTAAGGACGCGCTGTTTTGTTTTCAAGTATTTGGGAAAAAAAATTGTTAACCTTTTTGATGATGAAAACTGAAGGTATATTATTTTCCTCCCTTTAGCCACTCATGGACAACCTGGAGTCTCAGACATATGAGGTGTTTGAGAAGGATCCAATTAAATATTCCCAGTACCAAATGGTAAGACCTGAAATTCAGCCATTCAATCACACACATCTACTACACTGTATATGTTGTGAATTTGTAAACAGCATTTACACTGTGGGCATGTTAAATCTTAAAGATGCAGGCTCCTTGTGTAGCCTCCTGAAATTTTATAAAATCAGTTTCCAGAATGGGCAGAAATTCTCATCTTCATGCTCTGTTCTGTCCCTTTCCCAACTGTACGAGAAACGTCATCTAAAGGCCCTGACACACCAAGCCGACGGTCGGCCGTCGACCGAAGTCCGGCCGTCGGTGAGCGTCTATCGCCCCAGTTTTTTGCGGTGTGTCCCGCACTGTCGGCACTTCGGCGTTGGCAGCTTTTCGGCCGATTGAGCATGTTGAATCGGCAGTGGAGCTTGTCAGTGAGAGAAATCACTCTGATTGGCTGCTCAGGTTTTATTTCCTCGCCCCTGTAGCGAGTGAATCTGCCTGTAGTGATACCGGGGCTAACCGGTGCTTCCTCCTCAGGCTCCACTTCACTGTGTGTTCAAATGCAACTGACACAGGGCGACGTGAGGCGACGTAGACGATGCAACAGTTGGCTTTCGTCACTGCTAGTTCTTTGATGTCAGTTTGGTGTGTCTGCACCTTAAATGGCAACTTAAAGTTGATGTTTTGTAACATTAACTATTAAAAGCTGCAGCACCTTACATTGCTTTATATGTGTGCGTTAGTGTCCTGAAATTCAGGCCCCAGGACCCAGATTTAAGGCAAAAAAAATGGAAGCATATTTACAGTAGTTATCTTATCCATTCTTACACCAACCTTACTCAAAGAAAATATTTCATTTCAATAAAAAAATATTTCATTTGTTCTCCTCTCAGTGTTTGCATTAGTAACTAATGGGAGCCTGTATGCACAAGTGATACTGTCACTTGTGTAGCACTCTCACACCACTGACATGTCTGTTTTTCTGTGAAGTTAGGGTGAGACAAGACACACAACATATTGATTCTTCTGCTTTGTCCTTGTGTCCACAGGCTGTATATAAATGTCTGCTTGACAGAGTTCCAGAGGAGCAGAAAGACACAAACGTTCAGTGAGTATCCGTACCCAAATCTGTGTATAAACAACAAGAAGACAGAGTTTAAATTCTTTAATTGCTGTTTGTGTGGATTTTGATTCATACCTTTAGATTAAATTTTGCAATCAACACACTCCTCCCCCGACAAAGGTTTATATCATTCCTCTAGTAGTTTAACAGGGTAACATATTGGAGAAAATAATGACAGTGAACTCCAGTGGTGAGATGAGTCATGAGGCAGTGCTTGCAGCAACCTCAAAAATGTTATTGTCCCTTTCTCACAGGGTGTTGATGGTGTTGGGAGCAGGTCGGGGTCCCCTGGTCAATGCATCCCTGCGTGCTGCCAGCCAGGCAGACAGGAAGCTGAAGGTGTATGCTGTGGAAAAAAATCCTAATGCTGTAATCACGTGAGTAGAATATATTTCAAAGCTCATGTCAGTGGGGGAAAATATTTATAGGTGAACTTTTGCCTTTGCAGTTTAACTTTCATCATCTAGGATATTTCTTGTCTTACTGTAAACCAATTTGTAGAGCCTAGAAATTTTAAATGCTGGTGGTATTGATTTCATGCACAAACATTTTAACTGGTCCCTATCTGTTCAGGCTGGAGAATTGGCGCTTTGAGGAGTGGGGCGATCAGGTAACAGTGGTGTCATGTGACATGCGGGATTGGGCAGCACCTGAGAAAGCCGACATCATCGTCAGCGAGCTGCTGGGATCGTTTGGCGACAATGAACTTTCTCCTGAGTGCTTAGATGGAGCGCAGCACTTTCTCAAAGGTATGTTAGTGTTGTGGTTAAAGTGAACTGTCTTGGTTGCTCCATTTTATCATCAACTACATATGTAGACACTGTAGATAAAGGGTCATTGAATGCAGAGCACCTTTAGCTGTTTACCACAACTAACATGAGGAAGGCATTTGTCATCCTCCATTACCTTCCATGCTTCCTTACATCTCAAATCACTTTCTCTTTGCCCCTTTTCACACTCAGATGATGGAGTGAGCATCCCCTGTTCCTACACATCCTTTCTGGCCCCCCTGTCCTCCTCCAAGCTTTACAACGAAGTACGGGGCTGCAGGGAACGTGACAAGGACCCAGAGTGCCATTTTGAGACACCCTACGTAGTGCGCCTCCATAACTTCCACCAGTTGGCTGAGCCCAAACCGTGCTTCACCTTCAAACACCCCACGACAGGTAGACACAAGAACACTAAACTCATATTGTACGCCAAGTTACAAGTGTACTACACACTTTGATATGATTGGTTGTTTTTTTTTTTTGATATGTTGACCACCTGTTCTTTCTTCTTTCAGATATGAACAACAACCGGTATCAGTGCCTCAAATTCTCAGTGGGTTGTAACTCAGTGCTCCATGGTTTTGCTGGCTACTTTGAGACCACGCTGTACAAAGATGTCACACTCAGTAAGTAACCTTTATAAAAAGGAAGTCACGTTGTGTTAAGATTAGATTTGAATATTATTGTTTATATTGTGTTTGTTTGTGGCAGGTATAAAACCAGATACACATTCACCTGGAATGTTCTCCTGGTTCCCCATCCTGTTCCCCCTCAAAGTAAGTTATACAATCAGTGCTCATAAAATTCTTTGGTCTTCTGCATTTAAAAGGGATCTATTGTGCTTATTTTCAGATTCATACTTGTATTTTGGGTTTCTGCTTGAACATTTTTATATGTTTAATGGTCAAATAAAACACTATTTCTCTCATACTGTCTGTGCTGGAACACCTGTATTCCCCCTGTCTTTGAGATGCTCCGTTTTTAGTATACATCATTGCATTCGCATATTAATCCTAACTTCTACCTCAAATTTTTCCTCCCTACAGCAACCTATCTCCATATGCCGAGATGATGATGTCACAGTGCGATTTTGGCGCTGCAACAACGGGAAGAAGGTGTGGTACGAATGGGCCGTGACCGAGCCCTCCTCCTCTGCCATCCACAATCCAGCAGGGCGCTCCTACACCATTGGCCTGTGAAGATGATGCATCAGCACGTCCGTCTACAGGCATACACACACGTTTCTGTTAGACTTGGCGGCAGTTAAAGTGAAGATTGTCCTGGTTCTTCGGGCGTACACACACGTTTCTGTTAAAGTTGGTGGCACTAAAAGTGAAGGTGTCTTGGTTCTTTTTATATATACAGTTAAAACCTGGACTTGTGGTGCAAAACTCCTATGTGCGGTTGGGGTTTTAAAATTACCAGTGGTGGGCACTTTTAGCCAGCTATGAAGAAGCTGATTGGATAAACCAGATTTTTCAGTTTGTGTTTTTGAAGTCTGTTTTCAGCAGGCATGGACTATCACCTATACACAAAGTGTATTATTGCTGTGAGATTGTCTCCTTCAGATTAGGTCAAACACCTCGCCACTGGTTTATTTTTTAATGTCGTCTCTTCCCCCTACTGTTCTGAACAGCTGTTGCAGACATACATACTCAATCCAACAGGACCTTTGCCTTATCAAACACATTCCATCCCAATACTTAGATGCTGATGAAATACCCTTCTCCTCTACACAAGAGGGACAGAGGAAGGTTACACTATTCAGGTCACACACCGTATTGTTTGGGGGCTGTCTGTTCATACCGTTTGTTATTTTGTTTATGTATGTTTGAACCATGTCAATAAAAACAACACTGTAATGTTCTTCATTTGCTTGGCACTTTTCCCACAATGCACTGCAAGTTTTTAGGATTGAAATGTTAATTTGTTTTAAATTATTTTTGCATGACAACAACAGCAGTGTTTTTAGTTTAAATGAGCTGGCCGTAAGGATGTGAGTTGTCCAACAGATGTCACCCTCAGATCACAATCCACAGGGCCACAACAAATGAATAATGGTAGTATTCTCAGCTCACCTTCACCTATTGTGTGCAGTAGAGTTATAACTGGCAGGTGTACTCTTACTCTGCTGTGAATAGAAATGATCTCAGGAGCCTCATACCTCATTAGCACAGGAGCAGGGCTCCTGACTACTTACACATCAGAGACAATAATGCAGTGAACAAGTGTGTTTCTGCATCAGCATGACTGTCAGGATTAATTTAACTCTCATAAACACAACAAAAGCACCCAAATATGCTTTTCAGTCACAGATGACACTGATCCGGCTCAGTATGATGTGATGTCGTCATCAGCATTTCTGGAGCCTGACATACTCAACCTCCTTACACCCATCAATTCTAACTTGCACATTAGCCTAACATTACTTTGGGTCTGTGAATGGAAGCCTGCAAAGATGTCTGGTCTCATTTGATCATATCTTAGAAGTTGCAGTTACATACTTAACTGGGGTCAAAAGAGGATGTAAGTGGTGAAGCCTGCCTGAGGAACTATAGATTGAAAGTGTAGACAGTAGACTCATCTATGTAAGATCATAGACCATGAAGCATAATTATTTAGCAGGCATGTACAATGACAAGATTACACTTATGAATTTCTTTCATGCTGTAACTTCAAAACTGGTGGTTAGTCATCTTTAATATTCATATGAGCAACTAAGGGTAATACCAATACTTATTTTGTTCACCCTTATTTGAAATATGCTGTACTATGGATATGCCTTAAAAATATATAAAAAATGGGCAATAATATTTTTATCAAGTGTTTAAGCCAATCTCTAAGGATGTCCGGAGTGTGTCTTCAGGTTGTGTATATTGTCAATGGGGAGAAAAGGAGCTCAGAGTCCTCACAACAGAGGGCGGGGCGTGAGACGTGTTGACAGTTTGGGCCGCGCTGATTGGCTGAAAATAACTAGGTTTTCTATTTATCGAGGCTGTCAGCTGGAGGTCTTTTGTTATCACCGCCAGCCGCGACACGAATTTGTGCTGAATATGAAGTCCGTCACTTAACAGGGAGCTTTCTTTTTCAAGTCACCGCAGCTGCCGGAAAGGTGGGTCCTCCTCACTTTTTAGCTGTTGCTCGAGGTTTATACGACAAAACAAAGAGCATTAAGTTAGTGCTGATGAGTTAATTGCCAATTTCAACAGTCTTGTTGGTTACACAGGGAAAGAGACTTGGGTTGGTCCTGTCGCGAGACGTGAATTTGAACCTTAATACCTCAATATTTATATGTACTTTTATAAACTAACGTTACATGTGTCGTTTTAATAAATAAGTATTAAAAAACCTCATATCAATTCAAGGTTTGTTTGTTTTCACGAGTAGGTAACCGTCCGGACAGAGTGGCCGCCCGGGCCTTATATCATGCAGCACTCTGAATTATTAATGCTGGGACGTGGTGTCTAATTTTAGCACTACGTTACTGTAGCCAACAAAAGATGGAAACTGCCATCAGCATTTTTGATAAACAATGGGCCGTAGGAAAGTTTTTCAAACAATTCAGCCTTCATACTTTATTAATGTGTTGGTAGACTGAGTAGGAGGCGCTGCCCACAGAAGAGGGGGACAGGCTGACAGGACTTCAGGATGACCGAGGGTCCGAGGAAGCGGAGCAGCAGCGGCGGGGGCAGTCAGTCGGAGGCCCCACGCTCTCAGTCGGATGTGGGGAAAGATGCGGGAGGATCCGGGGTGGCTCTGAAAAAACAGATCGGCCTAGTCAGCGCCTGTGCTATTATAATAGGTATGTTCATCCATTGGGTGTTTCCTTCACACATAATAATGCATATTAAGCTTCAACCATATTTTAGAAAAACTACAATTTTCTGCATTAAGGATATAATAGTGGAGTTGATTATTGTAGATTATGTATCATCATACTATCATGCTTTATTGTCATAAGTAGGCTATGTTTTGGGCTTAAATAATTGGCTGAGGGTGAGTTCAAAATGACTTTGCCTTCCCCTTCATTCTTTAAAGGCCTCTGTCAACAACAAATAAGTTATCATTGGTCCAAATGAGTGATTTCTGACACAAACAAGCTGTCAAATATGACCTCAGTAAAACTAATTTTAGGATTGCTGTGGTTTTGATTATTTGGTTTTACTTGGGATTCATTACAGGTATTTTACAGCTTGTCTGTGTCACAAACCTCTCATATGTGTAATGAGGTCTAATTTCATATCCCAGCCACCAAACTAATATTTTCTCATGTTGAAAGTATTTTCATGGAGCCATCTTCCTTTATAGGCTATTAGTAAAGAAATTGTAACACCATCGAGCTGCATTGACTCAAGAAACACAACCATTCACATTGTTCTCTAAGTGGTTGAGCCTTAATGACTGGAATCTCCCCCTCATTGTCTCCACTGTGATTAGCCTGCTGGGCCTCCTCAATGCACGCCCAGCATCGTACATCTTGCACATGCTCTTTCATTGTCACTTTCATGTTTCCAGGGAGCTGTTGGCTGCCATGAAACCTGCAGTCTCTGCCTACATGCAGAGAAAAAAAAACGTCAATAAAAAGCAATTCCACTAATGAATGTGTCCACCATTGTTGAGACTGCATTTACCATTGTCGTCTTAAGCATGGTTGGAGTGTGGTTGCTGTACCTCTGACAGGAAGTAGCTGTGCCCTCATTTCGAAGAACCGGATGTTCAAATGTATTTATTGTTAGTCAAATAAATATGATACTCACATTCAAAAAAGTTAAATTAACCAGATTTGATCAACAAAAAGAGAGCAAGAGTAATTTGAAGGCAGTCTTTCTTAATGTATCTAACCCATGTAACTATCACTGTTGGCCTTGCTTGATCAGACTTTAAGTGCAGTCTTTGTCACCATTTATCAATAGCTTTTAGTCACAAGCTTAACAGCCCATACATCCAGCAAGTGATGACTGATGCTGTTTTGCTGTAACAGGTGTGCCATTTCATTGGAACTGCACAAAGTGATGAGTACCTTGTTTCCATTCCATCATAGGCAGTGACATAAGTATACTACATCCTTCCACTCATTTTTATCAGCCACTGAATCTTTACAGTGAATGCTTTAAACAAAGTAACATACTTTATTTGGCTTCAGACTTTGTTGGTCACAAGAGTCACACAGAAGATATGAACTCACTCTGACATCTCTTCAGGCATTAACAGACACACAGCCTTTCCTCTACAACAAAGACAGTGTAAATATAATACAGAAAAAAATATGAGCAACACCAAAGATGCTAACAGTCTTTCTTGTGGTGTTGCTACCACTCTAAAAACCTCACACTACTTTTACCTACTTGTCAGATATCATAAGTAAAATACAAAATACAATTTGATTGCGTGGACTACTTCAAGGTCAAGGAAAATTAATCCCAAACACACCCACAGTTTTCCCCATGGGGCTGACCAGCAGTGAGCTTGTGGAATCATGGGAAACATGGGATACTGGTTTGGCGAGTCCATGTGCAGGCTAACACTGCTCAAAAAATTCATTGTGGCCCAGACATGAGCCTGTGAGCCCACAAGGACTAAATGTTGTAAGCCCAAGTGTGGGCCATACACAGAAAATTCACTTGGAGATCCATGTGTGAACATGTACTGTGGGCCAGGGCTGGACTGAGCAGCGGCCCCAGCATGGGGAAACTGTGAGCCTCATGAACCCCACACGAGGCCTGAAGTAATTCAGTGTTGGAAAGAGACTTATCAGATGCAAAGCATGAGCACTACAGGAAATGGGCCATCACGTAACAGGAAATTGTGTTTTTTCATTTACAGCCTGAAATCAATTTGAAGCTTGTTTTCATCCTTTTTTGTTGATGAACATGTCTGCATATCTCGACTTGTTTTATTGCATTCACATTATTTTTTCAAGAGGTAGCATCGATAAGCCAGACCATCCAGCTTTGTTTTTTAATCTGTCCTCTCTGTTTGTTTGTTTATTATTTGACTCACTCAGGCAACATCATTGGATCGGGGATTTTTGTAAGTCCTAAGGGGGTCCTGGAGAATGCTAGCTCAGTGGGCGTGGCCATCATTGTATGGGTTACCACTGGAGTTATCACAGCCATTGGTGCTCTCTGCTATGCAGAGTTGGGTGTGACCATCCCGAAGTCAGGGGGAGACTACTCCTATGTCAAGGACATCTTTGGAGGACTGGCAGGGTGAGAACAAATGTTTGTCTAATTATCAGGCTAAGATGAAACCACCTAAGTGTACAATGTTAAAAACTCTGATTTTGGTGAGTCCAAGTGGAGGTATTAAAATATGGTAGGGTGGCCGCTACATTGGATCTGACATGAGGGCACTGAGTAAATGTCTGTAGACTGCACCAGTGTTAACTGAGATGGTTTTGTTTCATTTGAAAGATGCTAAATCTACATAATATTCTACACAAAGTGGTTTAAACAAATGTTTGCTGCAACACGGGTTCCTGTGTTAAAGTTTGTGTTCCAGTCCAGTGTAGTTCATGTAGTATTATTTGACAAGATGTGTAAAAGTGCTCTAGAAGAATAACATGGCAAGGTCGTAGCGAGCCTTTTGTAGTTAATGAGAATTTGCAGGAACCCCTCGCCCTGTTCCTCTTCCTCCACAACCATGCTCACCATACAGTATAATTAAAGCCTCTCCTAATGTAGTTTGTATTCCCAGCATCCCAGAATGTCAGTGACCCAGTTCCACTCATTTGTCTTGTCTTTAACAACAATGCCCCAGTGCATTTCTATAATGCACTCAGCTAATACGCTTAATCTCTTTTTGTTTTCCATTACATTTTGCAGTAAAGAGGGTTAACATGCTTGCATAGTGTTGTTTGTGTCCACAGTGTGTATGAACAGTGGTTGTGTGCAGTTGCTGGTGTGTGACACAAGTCCGTTGCCATGTGTCCGTAACCTCCTGCCTGTGTTGTCCCCCAGGTTTCTGCGTCTGTGGATTGCAGTGTTGGTTATCTACCCCACTAACCAGGCTGTGATTGCTCTAACCTTCTCTAACTACGTCCTGCAGCCCCTCTTCCCTTCCTGCCTCCCCCCAGAGAGTGGCTTACGCCTGCTGGCTGCTGTCTGCCTGCGTGAGTCATAAAATTAAACTGAAGATTAAATGGCTTTTGTTTGAGGCTAGTGCATTAACAGATACAGGTTATGATACAGCATAGCAAAGCCTGTTTTGAAGGAACCGTTTCAGGCACGGTGAATTCATTTTGTCAAGACTCTTCTTTTCTTCTATTGTTTTTAAATGACATGTTAAAGAAAGATGCTCTGTCAAACAACTGTCAAAGAGCTTTGTCAAGTCTGAAAAAAAAACTCAAGTGAGATAATTTGAGTAATCTTGGACTTAGCTTGATGACAAGCTGGTACAAATTTTGAACAAAAAGCCTGTGTTGTAAACTACAATTCCTGGAAGATGCATTTAAGTTGTATTATGGGCAGTGCAAGTGATTGAGGCATACTAAGAACTAGAAATCAGGATATCTTTGCCCATGCTGCATTGAGTTTGACCATTTTCTTCAGTCATGCTAGTAGCATGGCTCTGGGGATGGTAATGTCAGTCAGTCATTGGTCAGTCAATCCATCTGTCAGTCAGTCCACCACCTTGGTCCAGACTGAAATTTCTCCAGAACTGTCTGATGGATTAAGATGATGTCATTCATGGTTCCCAAAAGATTATGGTGATTGGTGATCCTCTGACTTTTCCTATAGCACCAACATGAGCTCCACATTGTGATTTTAGAATGATTTGGCATGCTAACTCACTAAACTAAGATGTCATCCAGGTCATGTTAAATCTAAGTGCTATATCGTAAGCAACTGCACTTGCTTGAGTTTCTTTCAGATGTTTCACCTCAAGGACTCTGTCAGGGTTCACATCCACACAGGGTTTAAAACAAAGAGGCCTCTTGGATGAGTGTTGAAACATCTTCAAGAACTTAAGCAAGGCCAGTTGCCTATGATATAGCACTTAGAATAAATTAAGATGTGTTAGCATTTAGCTCAGAGTTCCACTGTGCGTAAGCACAGCCTCACAGAGGTGCAAGCTTGGCTGTAGAAGACTTTTTTTTAATCTGTCACTCACAAGTTCCTTACTTAATGGAAGTGCAATACTTCATTGAAAGAATCAGCCTTCATGTGTATGTTACATCAGCAAGCAGAGTAACATTTACTAAACTGCAATGTACATATAATCCCCAATCCTCCTATAGGCCAATATATTAAATTTGACAAACATAACATTTTAGTGACTAAACTGCTTAGATCTTAACAAATATTTAACAAAGAGGACAAGACTAATTCTCAAATGATGGGAGTGATGCGGCTAAGCTCTCACTAAGTACTCTCAATTCATTTTCAACTGATTATAACCAAAAATTAGATCCTATCTTTTGAAATGTGTGTTCTTATGTCATTATTAAACTACATGTAACCCATGTGTTTGCAATAATTCAACGTTCTAAGATAAAAAAAAAACAAGAGTTTTGTTTTATATTTTACCTGTTTCTGTCGTGCATTCTTGCAGCTCTAAACTTCTAGTAATTTTTCTTGATTTTTAAATAAGGATCAAACAGTTATCATAAATGATACTGACCCCTTTTTTATTTTTTTCCCGCCTGGATTTTAATTGCATCAAATCAAGTTTCTTGTGCAGTTCAATTCAGAATATTATAATATAATATTTCTGTATTAGGCTCAGACATTTTGCCTTTCTCTGTTTTGGGAAGTCTCATGAATATTTTATTTCTTTTTCCTTTTAATTTTATCAGTGTTGTTTCTATGTTATTTATGTCAAGATAACGTGGAAAATATTTAAAAAAAAAAAACACAATGTAGAAGGGCTGTGGGTAAAATTTAACTCTAACTTCTAACCTTTCTCTTGCTGTCTTTTTTAGTGTTGTTGACATGGGTGAACTGCTACAGTGTGCGCTGGGCTACATGTGTCCAGGATGTCTTCACGGCTGGCAAACTTTTGGCCTTGGGTCTCATCATAATCATGGGTGTCGTCCAAATATGCAAAGGTAGTATTTGGTCTGTCAGTCTCTTTCACACAGACTACAGTTCTTTGAGCTTCTTGCTGTCCATGTCTCCAAAGAGTCACGTTCACAATCTTTTATTTCTTGATCCCTAACTTAAAATTCACTCAAGGCATGATGACAGAATGGGGTAAAACCCTTTTTTAAGGGGCCTACTTTAGCTACCATCACAATATAGTCCCCCTGTGCCTCTCACAGGATTTATGATTTCAACATGAAAGGGGGATTACATGATAGCTCTTTATCCCACTCATAATCCACACATACAAACATAGTAATTCATGTGACTTAGCCCCCTCATATCCCACTTTATGTGACATAGCAGCAGGAGACGCAGGAGATGCAGGCTAATTAATGTCTTCTTTGTCCAGACCTTGTGTTGTGTGTTGATGATTGCCCGCCATATATGAGAAAAGTTGATAATATTAAATGGGCTAAATTCTAAAACTGTTAAAAATGGGAATTAATAATCACGTTCATTAAGATGCTTGCATAGAAGTTGACTAAAACAATGTGTCTCTAGATTTCAACAAATTAAATACTTCATAAGACATTCTTAATGCTGCTCAGGTTAAAAAAACACCCACCAGACTTCTCTGAATAGGAGTGTTTCATAAGCAGACAGATGTCTTTGTAGATGACGTGTAGTAAACACCTTATTAAACTTCATCTGTTATCAAAAAGCAGCTGTGTATAACATGGAGTAATCATAACAGAGACTGTGCATGCCCTTTTAAGATTGGATGTTGTGTGTAGTGCCTTCTGCTGCTCAGACTTGGGTAGTGAAAAGCAGCTCACATTAAGTTGGACCTCTTTTTAATGGAGTCTGACGTTTGCTTTTTGGTTCGCAGGTCACTATTACTGGTTGGAGCCAACACACGCCTTTGAGACCTTCCGAAACTACAATGTCGGTCTGATAGCTCTGTCCTTCTTACAAGGCTCCTTTGCTTATGGAGGCTGGAACTTCCTCAACTATGTCACTGAGGAGTTGGTTAACCCATACAGGTAATGTGAACATTTGCACAAACAACAAAACCCAAAAAAATAACATAATAAATGAAATGATTAAAAAAGGGATTGTGCTAGGGGGATTAAAAAACAATTGGTGTTATAACAACATTTCAATCAACAAAAGAAATAAAATATTGACAACTTAAGATTTTATTAATGAAGAAAGAGAAAAAAAATCGAAAAGGCTTTAGTGCAACATATAGAATGAAACCGTAAAAAGAAAAACTAATGTGCTACCATCAACATAAACATGAGAAACACATGCATGTTAACTGTTGCTCACAGGTATGGATTCCAATAAACACAAGAAGTTTGTGCTCTAGAAAAGGATCAGCACTCAGTGAATAACCTCCTAAGCCCTGTGATAAGCTATTATGGCAAGGCTTAACTATACAGACCAGTGAGCAGTGATAACTAACATGTCTTTGGGATCATCGGGTGGGAACCTCCTTTCACCAGTGTTTCGTCTAGTTGGTCCCACGACACCTCCAGGAGGCTAGACAGTGATCTCTGGCGTCCCAGAGACACTCCCCTAATGCCAGGTCTCACTGCTCCCCACACCAACCCAATAACCTCCTTTACCTTACTTACACATGGCTTTCTCAGCCCAAACAGCACCGCCACCTTCAACCAAACCCAGGCTCCGTACATGCGAGCTCCAGGTAGAAGCAGTGCTGATACTACCTTTCCTAGCACATTCACCATACTCTATTTCACATGCTACATAGCATAACTACAATATAAGTTAAAGTCAAAGGAGATAAATAAACTCACAGGATCAGCAAACACACTCACCTTGCAGCATGGTCTCAAACAAAAGGCCCTGCGTTCCAATACCCATCCTACCATACTATTTAGTATGCCAGAAAAAGAATTAGTGTGTCCCAATACATAGTATGTCAGATGCAGTATGCCACAAGTACCAGGATGTTCTACTACATCCGGCCATATTTCGCAGTTTGCATGTCAGCATGCTTCTTTGGCCATTCAAGTTACGTCACACTTACTGAGCTGCGTGTACAACCAACGCCCACACTTCCTTTCATACATGGTTTATTTAATTTGAGATACTAAGACACTACATATTAGGACTGCAATGATCTGATTATATACTGTCACATATCATACAGTTTTGCAAGAACACAGATACAGCATTCAACTTTATTGTGATTTATAGTATAATCAATGTTAGGGTTCAACTATGACTATAATATAGAAGATTCTACCAATATAGGCAGTGGGGTAAGTGTGGTATAAATAATGAATGAATATGACTAAATATGAATACACTATGGGCCAGATATGAGCAGTAAAGACTAATAAATATATAACTAGTAAAAGTCAAACACGTATTAAGTTATGTAGTAAGAATGTGCAAGTATGTTACACTACAAATAAAAGTAATGTGAATGTAAGGTTGCTTCACGTGCAGACAGAATATAGTGCCAGCAGCTGCACAGCTGTAAATATATTTAACAACAAACATCTGCCAGCAACAGAGAGCTATGTGTGAAGGGGGTTAATAAGCCTACTGGTGACTGGTTCAATAGACAGGTCACTAATAATAGGCTTGGAACTGTTTACGTGAACATGTCAGTTTATTAGAAACAACAACATACATTACGACACAACAGCAACAGAGCTCTCCAGCACCTCCGACGGTATGTGATTCTGGCGAGCTCGATGAGCTAGTAGAAGTATGCGATTTGGAACGCAGGGTCGGATTCAAATAGGCCACTCCCACACTTAAATAACCTTCCTCTTCCTGGATTTCCTCCTGAGAGGAAGTGGATCTCTCCACCTGATCTCAAGGAGTTATGTACCCTGCTTAGTAGTTCCCCCTGCTGGCCCCCAACTGACATTATTTCTACGCTTCCAGATCCATTGGCTACACCTGACTGCTTCATCTGACATTTCCTTCACTGTCTTCCTCAAACTCTGTCCCCGCACTCCAGGAGCGAGACAGCTGATCTTGCTGTGAATCCCCTCCACCCCACTTCCACTGGACAAATCCTAGTCTTCCATCCTCGCTGCTCAGCTTCTGCTCCTAAGTCTGCATATCTAAGCTTTTTTCTTTCATAGGCTTCTTCCACTGAGTCTTCCCAAGGAACTGTCAGCTCAATGAAATAAACTAACCGTTGACTCACTGACCACAACATTATGTCAGGCCTCTGCTTGGTACAAACTATTTCCTGGGGAACAACAAGCTTTCCCCCTAAATCTACTTGCATTTCCCAATCACAAGCACCTTCTAGGCGGCCACACCCTTGCCTCCTTACTAACTTATCCCTTCTGCATTTCTCTCCCTCACGGACAAACTGAATTACTAAGCTCCTATCCTTAACACCTTCTGAATTCACCTGTCTTCGTTTCCCTTTGATGCCTGCAGCTAAACATTTAAACACCTGGTTATGTCGCCATGTATATCGGCCTTGTGACAAGCTAACTTTATAGCCTGACAAAATATGCTTTAAGGTTGCGGTACGTGAACACAATGGGCATGATGGGTCCTCATTTACCCACAGTTTTAGGTTCTGGGGGGTTGGTAACACATTGTATGTAGCCCCTACCAGGAATCTAATACGATTCTCCTCCATACTCTACAGGTCCCTCCAACTAAGCTTCCTCTTCTCTACACTTTCCCAATTCAACCACTGTCCCTGTTTAGCCTGGGCCACTACCTTTGCACCCCTTACTATCTCCTCCTGTCTACGTGTCTGTTCCACAACCAGCTTTCTTTTATATTTGAGACCTGCTTTATTCCATACCGGTTTGCCTGAGCCAAGCTCCAGGCCTCCCCGGCCAAACTGAACATTACCTACAATCTCTGCATGCCTAAGAGCTGCCTCTGCCTCCTGAACTGCCGATCTTGGGATCATTGTTGTGGTCACCAGTGTCATGTCATCCGTAAGCCCCAACTGGTGGAAGATGCAACCCGTTCTGCCGTCTCTCCCCACCTACCACCGACTTAGAAGCCCTGATGATTACTTCCATCGCCATAGTAAATGCTAATGGAGAAATGGCATACAATTGCAAAATCACGTCAGAGGAGAGAAGGCCTCAATGTACACAATTGAAGTAGTTTAGCTTATCAAATAAGCTTAAAGCCTGAATGTACCATTTATGAGAGAATCTGTATCTAATAGCAAATTTACAGGGTTGTTCTAAGTGTCCAACAAAAAGGTTGACCTTTGTAGGGATCCTTTCAAAATGTTGTGAAAGAATAGGATCATTTTTGTTTTACCAGAAACGGCCCCAAAATCGCCATCACCAAGCCCACCAGTCTCTATTTAAATTAACAGTAATTTTAGTGTGTCTAGAGCCAACATATTGTTACATCTAGCTGAGTGAATTAAGGGTTTATTTCAGCCAACCAGAGTTGACTTTTGAAGCGGTGGATTTTTTTTGTTTGTTTCTGTCAACTTCAAACTTTATTCATTCCCGAAGTGAAATTCAGCTGTCCAGCAGCTCATAAAAGACAAAAAACAACAACCACATTTCCACATTTCCAACAACACAGTGGTATTAAAATAGACATAAAATAAAAATAAGATAAAAATAAGTGCATAAATAGAAATTAATTAGACACAAAATCATGAAAAAATAGGGTTCAGGTTAAAAAAATACATGATAGACGCATTTTATCCCTATCGCTGTTTTATTTTATCCTTAACACTGCGAGTAACTTGCACCATATGAGAAGTCTATTCAAATGAAATTCACAAATTGTTTTTTGATTTTGAATCTTAATGCTTCACATGTCAAACATTAGTAGCATTTTCTACGGGAACATCAAACTTCAGTCACAGAAATGGCTGACACACCATGAACTGCAATCTTGTCTTTTATCCTCCCAGGAATCTACCACGTGCAATATTCATCTCTATCCCCGTGGTCACCTTTGTTTATGTGTTTGCCAACGTGGCCTACGTCACAGCCATGAGCCCACAAGAGCTGCTGGCCTCCAACGCTGTGGCAGTGGTGAGAAAACACCCATAACTCATATCTGAATGTGTGTGTGGTAATGCTTGTAGAGAATGCATGAAGCTAAAAGCTTATTAATCACTTCGAAAATGAGTTATTACATTTCCCAGCAGCCATTTACAGTAACCACATTAATCTGTCCTCATTGCCCTTTGGTTCTCCATTTTGAGATGTCTTGATTAGTCACTGTAATTCAAGTATGTATTAAGTGTGTACTTGTTCTCTCCTCCTCCTTTCTTTCTACTCCTAATATTTCTCTCAGACATTTGGAGAGAAATTGCTAGGAGTAATGTCATGGATCATGCCCATCTCGGTGGCACTCTCCACTTTCGGGGGGGTCAATGGCTCCCTCTTCACGTCGTCTCGGTTAGTGTGTCCTTCCACGTCCCCCTGTTTCCGTCCTCTCTTCTCATTTCAGCTTCCGTGGTTGTTGTGTCTTTTTTTCTCGTTCTCATGCTGATATTTGAGCACCTGTAACACCTGTAGTTGTACATGGAGAAACTGGGTAAGCAGGGTGAAAATGAGAAGCTTAACAGGAATAAAATGCATGAGCAGTGTTAACGCTCCTCTCTGGGGCCACAAACTACATTTCAGATTGTAGGGAAAGACCCTGAATGCAAAATTGTATTTCTCCCAGAGCATATTTGACTCTACCAAAGTGACCCCACTTAACCAATAACACATCCCAGAGCACTGAGCCCATTGTGCTCCTGTTTTGGTCAGTTTTTCACCCTGCTATTTTGACTTCTGCAGTCTGTCTCCTCACTGGTGCTTCCCTAATCACCCGAACTGTGCTTCCTGAGCTCTCAGCTGGCGAGTGCACACGGTAAGCAAGCACCAGATGGCTCTGCTCTCAGGACTTAAACTCGTCGCTTGGTTCTGTCTCTCAGGCTGTTTTTCGCCGGAGCGAGGGAAGGCCATCTCCCACGTCTGCTGGCCATGATTCATGTCACACGCTGCACTCCTATACCAGCCTTACTGTTCACCGTGAGTCCTCACAAAAACACGACCTCTACGATTTGTCCTTTTTTGTGCCCTTTGCCCTCACTGTGTGCAGAAAAGATAATTTCCCCTCTCTCACCACATTTAGTTGATCTCCACTCTGCTGATGTTGTGCACCAGTGACATTTACACCCTCATAAACTATGTGGGTTTCATCAACTACCTCTTCTATGGCGTCACTGTTGCTGGGCAGATTGTGCTGCGCATCAAAGAGCCTGACATGTATCGACCCATCAAGGTAAATATACGGGTGGAGTAACTTGGGTTTGGCTGTTGACACCAATTATACTAACAATCAAATGCCACGACATAGTAGCAGAACAAGAGAACACCATTTAGATGCCTGTGTATTGTCCATGAATACCACACAATACATACAGTACAGTATACTTGCTATTGTGCTATCAATGCAAGGCTACAGAGAAGTTGTATTAATAAAATGTATTAATACATGTTCAGTGATAACAACCACACATTAAGTAATTTTTTTCACCCTCGTCCTCCAGGTGAGCCTTGTATGGCCGGTGATATACCTCCTGTTCTGGGCCTTCCTGCTGATCTTTTCCCTCTACTCTGAGCCCGTCGTCTGTGGTATTGGTCTGGCCATTATGATGACTGGTGTCCCTGTATATTTCATAGGAGTCTACTGGGAAAACAAGCCACAGTGTTGTGATATGGCTATTGGTGAGTCAACATCCTGGTGTCTTGGATAAAAGAGGTTAAAATTGTTGTTTGAACCCTGAGATGACTGCAAACGTGTCTTTTTCTCTAAAAGTGGTTCATAATTAAATGCAGGGATAACAGGTTCAGGTACACAGATGTTCAGTTTTGCTCCATTTGCCAGCATTAAAGGTGACCCTGCTTCACTTGTCACTGGGCAATTTAAATACAACGATGCAACCAAAAGGTCTTCAGAAAGGTCCAAATAGATGGAATATGCTGTAGGTGTTATTGTATCCACATAAAGTAAAGGTACAAGATTGATAAAAAAAGTTAACCTAAGTAAAGGGTATGTTAATTTAGTGTCTTTAAAATTAAGAATTTCCATGTATGAACCATTAACTCTAATATCAAAATTATTTCCCTGGTCTCTTTCATCCAACTGTATCCAGGTAAAATGACTCATGTGTGCCAAAAGCTCTGTTCAGTCGTCTATCCAGTCCTGGAGGAGAACCTAGAGCCTCATGAGCCTCAGACAAAAGATGGAGATGACGAGGACGAAAGCAGCCCGTGTGCATAAACAAATGACAATTCCTCACACTTTTTTTGGGGGGGGGAAGCTGCTTGGGAAAGACTCTCAGAAAGATTAGCATATTCACTTGTTCTACAGCACTGTGTCACCATTGTTTCAGCGTTAGGTCTGGGAACACGTGTTTGAGATGAAATATCACTTTGAATTTATGAAATACTGAAATTATGAAATGCAGTGTTTTTTGCACATTGGAATTTAAAGCCTTGTCCGTCTGTCTGTTGTTTGTGTCTTGTTTGAGTGGGAGCCCATGGGAGAATATTTTAATATACAAGCTTTATTGTTCAAGCTCTGTGTGTTTGTATTGTAACCTCACTGTATTACCACTAAAATGACATTTTCCAGATGGTTTAATGGTTTTTATTCTCATTGGAATCCTAACATCATTATATGCCAAATTTTATTAGGCAGATTTGGCCTCAGAGAGCACTGTTTTTCCTTGCACTTAGATCCTCACCTCTGATCATCATCCTTCCCACAGTATATCTACGATGTATATTTAGCCAGGGGTAACCATTTACCAATTTAAAAAAAAAAAAATCATCTGCAGGTATTTTTATCACCTGAATTATGTTTTTGACACATTTGGGTACCTGTTATATAGAGATGCCCATTTGTCTTCATAGGGTCTCTCACTGTGTTGTAATGCGCTCCATATACTGCAGTGGTGTTTGCACAATGCTGCCTGCTGCACCTCCTCATTAATGTTTCATCCACCTGTTGGAACACCTGACGTAGAAGGGGCGGGGTCCACGCACAATGAGCGATCAAATTGCGGAAGTCATGGTCGGCCATAAGAAGCCTAGCTGGGTCAAGATGTCACATTGCTCTAAATAAGACAGGAAAGTAGATACAGTTGTCTTCAAAATAAAAGCCTGAACAGCTATATCATTACATCACATTTAATTGCTTAGATGTGGAATATTCTAAAAATGACTACCTATCAGCTTGGCAATATGTCATCCAGAACTACTCCAGAGAAATATAATTTTCTTATGCAGGATGGAAACACTGATATATAGTGATCTTTGACCCTTTGAGAGTTTGGGGCAGTTGCATGCTTTGCCAGTTCAGCAATCCAGTCTTTGCTCCAGTATTTTGTAGTCTGCCGGCATCTCATGTCATTATTATGGCAGCACAAACAAGAGGCCATTCTGTTCATGTTAATTTGGAACCTTGTGGACCACCATTTAAGAAACTTCAGGAACTTTTCATCAAGAAATGCCCCCTAGGGGAATGATCAGGGTATATTAATTTTGTTTATACTTAAAATATGTACATAATGTATTCACCTGCAGTTGAAGACCATGACATGGTATTGAAAGACCATTTAAAAAGCTAGTCATTATAGTTAGTTTTATGTATTTTCCCCCCCAGTTTTAGCTACTTGACTTGTCACAGCAGGCAGAGCACAAGTGTAACTAATGATGTTAATAGTTGCTGTGCATTACTCATTTTGACATGTTATGATGTATTTTGGGAAAGGCTTATAACATCCCCAGCAGTGTAGAGAATTTGATGCAGCATTGAGACGTGTAGGGAAATTAATCCAAAAGGACATGTAGTTAAACAATTAAGTTTTTTGAGGAAAAAACTATATAGTATTTATCTTTTTCTTTTTCTGTTTTGTTTTTTATTCTCATTTATTTATATGAAGCCAGACATATTTCACCAAAGGAGCAGCTACAATACTACAGTGCCCTAGAACTTGGATAACTAAATGAAATGTAACCATACTAATTAGTGTTATTAATTGCACCTGTGCTCTCCCTGCTGTGATATTTTGAAATATCTTGTGTGGAAAAGGCCTTTTACTTAGTAACACAGAATGCCTTCCTAAAAAAGATGCATTAAATCTTGTGTAACAATCACTCTTGACAATTCTCTTAGATTTTTGTCGTATTTCAACCGTAGTCTAAATATATTTTTAATAATACTCCACATGCAATATGTCCGAAACGGCTTTTATTTTGAAAGGCTGTACAGGACGTCGTGTGATTATTTTTGTATTCACTGACACTGAATGGATGCACAGTATTTGGGTTCCCAGCCAACTGACTGCTGCCGTGTATTGGAGGAGGTTCGGTTGAACCGGTTTACTTTTTAAAGATACTGGCGACTCTCTGTACAGTGTAGAGGTAGGTTGTTGTTTTGGAGCTAAACACATTCACACAAACAGACTGTCATGCTAACTTAGCTAGCTGTTTAGCTCGACAGCCTCACTGAGCAGGCTTGACAGCATCTGCAAGGTTAGCTGTGTTCGGTCAGTCGGCTAGCCTCTGCCTCGTTTCACTGACCTGCATCTTCGACTCGGGGACTGTCATACTAACTTGAATATTTAACACTTGAATGTATTCGGAAAACGTAAATAAGTAACACAAATGTGGATAATTGGAAGTAAGTTTCTATTAAGAGTGAGTAACGCTATGTACAACAATATGTCACCAGAAACAGCCGTCAGTTTACCAGACTTGAAACGTAGTTTACGTTGTTTGAGTTGTATTTGAAATGTACACACTTCAGTTGTGTGTTTTAGTGACAGTACAGCTCTTCTAAAGACGTAGTTATAGTGTAGTAATAGCTTTACCATTACCTTAACGTTACAAACACCTAGGGCATTCAGTTTCAGGAAGTAATATCAAGCACAGTGTAACTATACACAGTAAAGTAATTTGTTCTCAGTAATATTCTGCTGTAATTTAACATGTCCACTACATCACATGCACACATACCAACACACACATCCTCCCATTCTTCCATCAATCCATCCATCCACACACACAAGCACACACACACACAGCCATGTCTCCATCAGTACCCCTCCAGGAGATGATCCGGGCCATCAGGTCAGCAAGGACACAGTGTGAGGAACGAGGTGTCATCCAAAGGGAGTGTGCAGCCATCCGGGCACAGTTCAGACAAGCTGACAATGGGGGGCGATCGCACAACCTGGCCAAGCTGCTCTACGTGCACATGTTGGGCTACCCCGCTCACTTTGGTCAGGTGAGAGGATTTTGCTAATGCCTGTCATGGGTTTGCTTGGGGTAAGAGTGAGAGGGTGGGCAGGGTGAGAAACCATCGTGCCATTGGAGGATTGGATTCAATTTATCACTGAAATGTCCCCATGCAGTATAGTGGCCCAGGCCCAGTGTCCAACTATTATGTCCTAAGCATCAATCCCACACAAACATTATTTGAGTGCTAAGCAAAAATGTGAGTGCACGATGGAGCTCGACATACACCGAGAAAGCACAGCACATTGTAGAATCACATGCTGAAAATTGGAAGCTATGATGAGTTAGTAATATTACTGCTATATAAACTTGTACTTCTTGCTCTTTCAAACTTCCCGTGTCGTTAGAACTCTTTGAAATGTGGTTAATTCCCTCGAGCTAAGTCTGCAGGAACATCACACACTCGTGTCAATAAAACTGGGCCAACTGAATCCCTCTCTGCTCCAGGGCTGCTGCTCTGAAGCTGAACTCCACTTCGAGTGGGCAAAGAGCAGAAAATTTCCCCAGGGGCATCAGTAGTTTCAGTATCTCAAGTAACTTCACATTTAAGGGAGTTGTTGCTCTTCCTACTAGATGGAGTGTGTTCGGATGATAGCCAGCCCTCGGTACAGCGAAAAGCGTGTGGGATATCTGGGAGCCATGATGCTGCTGGATGAGAAGCAGGATGCCAGTTTGCTCATCACCAACTCCATCAAGAAGTAAGGACAGCCACTGGAATTTGAAATCCAGATATTTTTGGGCACCCTTTATTTAACCCCCGTATTTAGCATTCATATACAGTTAAAGGGGAGCTCTATTATTTGACTGATTTTACACCTCAAAGTGTGTTAACAGGTCTTGTAGAGCACTACTGCATTAAAAAAAGTTGTGTAAAGCTTTTAGTGGCCCCAGAGGGAGCTTCAAAGTTATGCCACTTAAGTCAGCATCAGATGGGCCTGAAGATTTCAAGTTTGAAAATGACAATATCTGGAGGTGTGGAGTTAGAAAGGAGTGAGCTTATCAGGGCTTTGTAACCTGCTTTTCAACTCTACTAGAGGTTAGAGGCTACTTTAACTGCTACTAGCAAACCACAGCCGAATCTCCAACCAAATAATTTGTGGTTGAGTTGCATTGTGGGTAATGCAGGTGCCAGGTTTTGACAAGAGAGAAGAATGCATGGAATTAAAAAGACAATATCTCTTGTCCTGCTGCATCTATTTTAATCCTTTACTTTAATCATGAATCATTAGTTCAACTTGTCATTAAAGTGCAGCACTAAATAATTGGTGTTGTCCTTGTTTAATAACAGTTAATAAATGGCTTAAAATGCATTATGATACAGATATTATTTATTATAAGGAAGTTGTTAAGTATTCATTAGCATGTCAATGATTCTTACTCCTCATACAAAACATCAACTGCAAGTGCAAAATTGTTAAATAAAATAGTATAACATAGCTGTAATCATATATATATAATATGATATATGATTTAACACATGTACATGCACAGTGTGTTATATGATGATATATAACAAAATATATGATTACAGCTATGCTAAAATTTGTTACCAAGCACTCATCTCTGTTCATACCAGTTATGGATGCTGCATATGAGGAGTTATGGTTGTTCACAAGCAATTACTTAAAATGTCCTTGTATCTGCTTACCACTACATTATAGTGTGTAGTAGCATATGTCATTTCTGTACAGCATATAAGTGCTTACTGAGAGGGTTGAAATAAAACGTCACCAAGTTTTTTGTGGTATATGTTTGATTCTGAGAGACTACTTGTAAAAGATGGCTGTGGTATTTTCCCTCAAAATACAATTCACATCTTTGGTGAAAATCATGATCATATGTTAGGCAATCAATGTTCAACGGTTCATTGTCATAATTGATGATAGTACAGTTTCATGTAAATAGAATAATCACAGTAGACAAAATGGATGAAAACAGTAGTGCACAGAATGGAGGATATTTTCGTGTGATTTCAGTAGAATTATAGTAAAACATTTTTACACACAGATCTACGCTGTCATTTGTGTATTTTTCTGTGTGTGTGTGTTTTCCAGTGACCTTTCTCACAGTAACCAGTATGTTCAGTCTCTGGCTCTGTGCACGCTGGCCTGTATGGGTTCAGCTGAGATGTGCAGAGATCTGGCACCAGAGATCGACAGGCTGCTCCGAGCCTCCAACTCCTACATAAAGAAGAAGGTGGGGACCTCCAGAGGGTTGTTTTGTCTTGTTTTTTTCTTCCCAGCAGTACTTAACAATATTAATATGTCTACCACTGTGATCACTCTATACAGAAGTAGTTCTGTACTAATTACACTGTGTGTGTACTGAAGAGAAAGATATACTTTATTATCCCCATGGGGAAATTCTTTTTTTTTCACTCTGTTGTCATAAATACACAGTCCCGGAATACACACACATGCACAAACAGGACCTATACATGCATTTAATGGAGAGATGTCAGAGTGAGGGGGCTGCCCATGGAAGGGCAAGTGGTTTATGCTCTAGATAGCCATTTATGTCTGCGCTAATTTTATTAATCCAAGTACCCCAGTGTGAAAGATAAATTGTTTTTTTTCTATTTCAGTATGATGTAGTCTTACTTGTTAGTCTGTTTGTGACCTGTTTGAAACAGTCCTTTATCAGCAGTAAAACTATCAGCCAACATCCATCTGCTCAATGTAGTAACGATGTGACAGTGCTGATGACTTGCCTTGCTGTTCCTTCAGGCTGCTCTGTGTGCGGTTCACATTGTGAGAAAAGTCCATGATCTTGGGGAGCTTTTTGCTCCTGCCGCTCGCTCCCTACTCTCTGAGAAGAACCATGGTTAGTGGCTCTTAACAACTCACACCTGTTACATTTTCTCATACATAATATTTCCAGCTATTCACTGTATTTACTCCCATAATCTCCAGGTGTGTTGCATGGTGCTGTGGTGCTCATCATTGAGCTGTGTGAGCGGAATCCAGAAACACTTGAGCGGTTCAGAAAGGTATGATGGACCTACGTACAGACAAATAATGACCTGATGAGTTCTCTACATGCATGATTATGTTATGTATTTGTGTCGTGTGTATTGCAGACAGTGCCAGATCTGGTTCAGATCATGAAAGGTCTGGTCCTTTCAGGTTATTCTCCAGAGCATGACGTGGCAGGAATCAGTGATCCCTTCCTACAGGTCAGTCTGGACTTGTGGTATTACATTACAGTATCATATCTCAGTGAGTTAAAGGGATACTTTATCAGCATGGCACTGGAATTCTGCATTTCATAACTTTGACTATAGAACAGTAACACTAAATAATTTTGTTGTTATAAATCAGTGGTTTTGTTTTAAATTTTCCTGAATCAGTCAACAGATTTTACCTGATTATATTTTATCACAGTGTGAACCAGGTACATTAGAGCACCACTCGGGTGAAGATTTAAAATCGAAACATATCTGACTTGTTTTTTCTGGAAAAAAATCACTCTTTTCTTCTATTAATGCTGCTAATAATATGTTCATGTTTTTCTTACATTCAGCTTGTTTTTTCTCACTAACGCACACAAATTTATCCTCTCATCCTTCTTCTTATTTTTATGCTGATTCTGTGCACCAAAATAACTTGTAGTCCATCTGTTCACTCTCTCCTGCCTCCATCATCAGGTACGCATCTTGAGGCTGCTGAGAATCCTCGGTCGCAACAACGAAGGAGCCAGTGACGCTATGAACGACCTACTAGCTCAGGTCTCATGTTCACTTTGAAAAATAATGATTAACTATAATACAAAAATTTAGGGTTTTTTTTTTTTGTTATTTGTATGTTCTTTGGTCTTTCTTTCAATTCAAAATAAAGAAGTTATCCAGCACTGTAACATTACATACATTAAGTACTTCTTTATTCAGCCATCATGGGTATCACAGCTCATGCTGACTCCCCAGTTAGTCATGCAGTTTGTCTTATTCTGAACAAACTTACACATGTAGAACGCATTACTTCCTGTGTGCCAGAGTATGTTCCTTTGAAAAGACTTATTTGAAACTAGGTGTTGAAAACAGCAACTGCAAAAGCTTGAATCACTTCTGTGAATGGAAGATAGAGAAGCAGAAATGATTCTTTATTGTAAAGATATGTTCAGTACTTCAATATCTGTTACAAAAAAATGAATGTATGTTGTTGTATGAGTAATGCACTGATGTATTTTTGACTTACCATACAGGTGGCAACCAACACTGACAGCACCAAGACTGTAGGCAATGCTGTGCTGTATGAGACTGTTCTCACTGTGCTAGACATCAAGTCAGAGAGCGGCCTCAGGGTGAGAGACTGGTCTAGCAGCACTTCTCACTCTGTTTAACTACATCAATACTTAGGGAATCAGGTCACCTATTTAATTAATAAAAACACACATGCTTCATTTCACTTGTGCTACAGGTTCTGGCTGTGAACATCCTGGGACGATTCCTCCTGAACAATGACAGGAACATTCGGTTAGTGTTGCTTCCTCCGCACATTCCTGTTTTATTTCCCCTATGTGTCTCTTCCCCTATCATTCCCTCCTTCCTCTCTTATCTCTCAGGGTCATTTTACCTTTTCCATTCCGCAAGGCCAAAGGCAAACTCATTGCAGCCAGAGAGAGAAACCTCCCAACAGGCTGTTATCAGTCTGAGCTCACTAATCACTTTCCCTGGAGCCGTTCCTCCAGAGCCACACCAGAAGGTCACTGTCTGTCTGTTAATGTTGATCTCTGAAATTTTTGGCCATGTCATTTTTCATCAGGCAGTGTAGAGACCTATAACAGAATCCTTGGGGTTTTGTTATGCTACTATTTTTTGGGTTTGTCTCCAAAGGGTTTGTTTGCCCAGGCAGGCCTGTCTGGTTTTTACCTGCAGGGCCCCTGAATCTCTCTGTGGCTGTTTGACAGTAATAGGACTGGTTCATTCCTGTGAGACCTGACTGGATAGATAACATCTCCCCTGTGCATACATAAATACTTGAACAGTCCATGAGACATTTCCAGAGGAAAGATGAATTATTTATCTTGCCAAGTTGAGAAAGTTAAGTTTATACAGCGCTGTCAATAAATCATTATTAGCTGATTGTTTTCAATTATTTTTTAAAAGCTAATTATTTGTCAGATACATTCTGCTACATGCTAAACACTCAGAATCTCACTGAGTTTAGATCCCTCGCAGCACCTCATCATAATGCAGTGTAAGGCTTAAAACATGACATTCTTATTTTTGGCTACTCTGTATTCATGTCCAGGTACATCGCCATGACCTCTCTTCAGAAGATCGTTGGGACAGACCACAATGCAGTGCAGCGCCACCGGGGAACCATAGTGGACTGCCTGAAGGACCAGGACGCGTCTGTCAAGCGGTAACTTTCACCTCTTCTCCGCTTGTCAGGCACAGCTGTTACTCCACAGATGTTCAGTTAAAGTCATGCCCTGTCAGGTCAGGCTTCTCCAATGATGCCACCTCCTAATGTGTGTTCTGGGAGTCTTCTAACATGTGTTTTTTTTTTTAAATGGTGAAGGGTCAGTTCATTTTGAGGATTTTCTAATACTTTGATGCTTTATGGATTTAAAACAGCATCACTTGGCCCCTCCTCTAAATACAACAAAGCCAGATGATATAAAAGGGTTGTGTAGAGGTGCTTTTGCACAGTGGCAGGTCGCTGCTGTGTCTGCCACCAGCCAACATCAATGTTCTGTATTTTGATAGGGCAACAGGAGGGCGCAGCTGGCTACCTCTGATCTAACCAACAATACCATACACTACTCAGTGCTACCTACTTTATCAGAACTCGTCACACAACTACACAGAGCACATTGTAGCTTATTGTAGAAGAAAGTGTTGGCAGTATGACCGGATTTGTAAAGCAAGTTTTGATAACTAATATCATAAACATTTATAGATCCAGACCAGATAATCAAACTTTAAAACTGGTTCCCTTCAGTGATGTCTTTCTTCTCTGTTGGTGAGGATGAGTATAATTCTTGGAACTCACATACCAGTAAAATTAACATCTGTCAGACCTGTGAGATTATTTTAGAAACTTTAAACCTAGCTGCCACTGACCATGGCAGCTCAGTTGATGTCGTATTTACATTTAAAACAATGGAGGCACCTGCGATAATCCTTTGCTGTCTGAAAGTACCTTGACACAGAAAGACAGACATTACAGGAAATTTCACCACTTTTTATGTGGATGTCCAATCAGTGTTGACAAGTGTAGTTATTGAAAGCAATTAATTCCTCAGTGCTATATTGAGCGAGAGCTGACTTCTTCTGCCTGCTCTGACAGCAGGTCCTACATGTACCAGGATGCATTGTACAAAAGCTTCTGAGACATGGCTTTTCTTGCATGGCTAACATGAGCAGTACTCTCTATCTCTCTGTCTTTGTTTCTCTGTCTCTGTCTCTGTCTCTCTCTCTCTCTCTCTCTCTCTCTCTCTCTCTCTGCTTGTGTGTCTGCGTGTGTGTGTACATCTGCTTACTGGATGGAAAGATTATCAGTATGTTTTCTTGCCAGATTTGCTTGCAGCCTGCAGAGGCAATAGACCAGACGCCAAAACTAGCTGCGGAGCTACAACACTCCCCGGAGACTAGAGATCTGAGCTGAAATAGCTTGTAGTTTTTCCCTTTCCTCCAACTATGTCAGTGTCATGTCAAATGACAGAGTTGGCAGAACAAGAGATTTTGCAGCTGTGAACTCAGCTTTCTCAATCCGTATAGCACACACTGAGGAATTTATTTCTCCAATCGACTATACTTACCATGAACACTGATTGAAAGGGAAAAATTTGCCACCTTTCAAAGCCCAGTGTGTAGGATTTAAGGGCATCTATTGGTAGGATATAATGTTCATTACATGTTTTCATTAGTTTATAATCATTTGAAAATAAGAATTGTCGTGTTTTGTTACCTTAGAATGAGCCGCTTAGATCTACACAGGGAGTGAGTCCTCTTCCACAAAGTCAGCCAGGTTGCTCTACAGAAGCCAGAATGAACAAATTAAACACTTGCTCTAGATAGAGCCATTCGTGTTTTTGCATCAGCCACCATAGCTCTCCTATAAGCTCGGCACACTGGAAGTTTCAGTTCTGCAACCTTACCCTACATGCCACTAAATCCTACACACTGAACCTTTAACTAATGGATTACAAAATAATATTATAATACCAATATCACACCATGTTTCACCTCAGCTGCCTAGAAAACTGCTCTTCATGATGCAGTGAATACAAACACAAGCACAGGTTTGTTTAAAAAAAAAAACATTTTTAAAACTATAGTTTTCTTCTCAGCTGTGCAGTTATCATAATATGTTATAGATCACTTTCATACGATTGTTGACTAAAAGTCATGATAGCATTATACTGGTTGTGAGCTACCTAGTGATTTTATTTCCAGCCCTACTAATGAGGATGATAATAAAGCAATACATAATTGATCCCTGTGGGTAGATTGTCTGCCCATGGCCCAGGTCCACAGAAAGGTCAAATACCAAACAGTACCTGTGGGCACTAACAGCTCAGTGTGTAGCCAAAGGGCACTTCAGCAGGGTGGATTTTATCGACGTGGGATTGTCTTCCTGCTGCAAAAGCACTTTGCCGAAATTGTGGTTGTTGATGGATGCAGATGGATGATACCGACTGACCTGCACCATTGCAGCTAGGTCCGGTCAGCCGCATCAACACAAAATGTAATGCAGTTTTAATTTTAATTTTAAATCTGGTGAATTGAGGAGGAATTGCACCAGACAGCGTCTTATTTTAAAGGACTGGTATGTATACATACAAAATTAGCAACATTAATCCCCCGTTTGTCTATCCAGCCGTGCATTGGAGCTCTCTTTGGCGCTGGTGTCAGCCTCTAACATCCGCTCCATGATGAAGGAGCTGCTCCTCTTCCTCTCCTCCTGCCCCCCTGAGCTCAGGGCTCATGCTGCCAGCGGCATATTCAATGCTGCTGAGAGGTGCGTGACACACTGCAGACACATAAATGTGCACATACATGATTGAAATACATACACTGTACACTGTATTTATGCATGTACGCACATGTGCATTCACCTGCATGTGAATACACTGAATGTGATACAGCTGTTTAAGTGTTTAGGCTGTGACTAAAAGTCTCTGTGCTTATATATTATACTATATATGGCTCCATGTCTCACTCTGTGTCTGTCTCCACTCTCAATGATACCCCTGTCTCTGTTAGTGGCACTGTGACGATGAATAGCTTTCTCTGTTTGTACTGTTTATCACTCTACCCCTTGATGCACTTTGTTTTTGTGGAAGGATTTGCAGATAGACTTGTGTGTGTGTGTGACTCACCCTTAAGCACCACTGAGAGTGTGTGTCTCTGTCTCTGTCAGGTATGCACCCTCCCAGCGCTGGCACATTGACACCATCCTGCATGTCCTCACCACGGTAAATACAGACCGAGTCAGTCACACTACAGCCTCTTACATGGGTTTCTCACTCACAACTGTTTTTAAGTTGTCTACTGCCATCATTGATGCACTCTGCCTTCGTGTAGACACCAGGGGCCACATGTGTGAAGGCTGTGTATGAACTGAGGCACTCAATTTGCATTTTAGAAATAAAACATTTGATAAGAGATGGTTTGTTCCTTCTCTGTACAAACCTTCATATGTGCAGCCCCAGATCCTGAAAAGGGCCATTTATCCTGGACTAATGCTTTCCATTTGTTATAGCCCTACTTTTCATTTTGAGCTTCATCTAGGAAAGGGAATAAATGAGGTCCACATGATTGGTGTAAAAGCTAATGCTTACCTAATCCTTTGCACTGCTCTCTCAAAAGGATGGTGTATACAGCGAGGACAAAGTGTGTAAAAAAGGCGATGGTGGAAATGTGGCATAAATTAAAGCTTGATCCATAGTGGTAAATGTCCTTTATAATGTATATGAACTGTGATGGAAGCGTCCCCAAAGTGAGGTCGTTGTGTGTGGGAGCAAATGTAGGGCGACCCAAATACTTGGGCCAGCTGTCTGGCTAATGGAGTTTGGTGTGTGTACTTTTGTTTTTACACCGATTTTCACTCTGCCAGGCAGGGGGCGATGTGAGAGATGAAACGGTGCCCAACTTGATCCAGCTCATCACCAATGCCTCAGAGCTGCACTGTTACACCGTCCACAAGCTCTACAGGGCTCTGCTCACTGACATCTCTCAGGTGTGTGTATGTGTGTGTCTGTCTGGGCATTTCCTGCTCTTAAAGGAGCATTTTGAAGTTTTAGAACAATTGGCTTGTTGGTCAGCTCACTCATTCACTCAAGCTAGACAATAAAGTCTACAACATCTGTCTCTGGGTTGCTCCATGCTGATCCTTTATCAAACATTAAATACTGACTGGTGATTAGATTCATGCAGGTGTTTGGGAAGTACTGAGCATACGACTTGGTGACACTTACGACTAGGTGAAACTTGGATTATACTGCATGAGTTGAGAGAGAATTTGTCAACAGATGTTTTGATTTAGTTTTGCTGTGGTTAAACACAGAACTTGTTTACTTAAATTCGTCAACAATGTTTGCCATTTTTGGATTCTTCATTCACTGGAGGCGAGTTAGAAACAAAGTTTTCTTCATGAATTCAAGGTAAAACAGCATGAATAACTGCTGTTATTATGGTCATTTTGTGGGAGTAGTGTTCATGGAAGTCCTCAGTTGAACACAAAAACCTTTTGTAATTTAGAGTTATTTTTCATTTTACATGCCATTACAAATCAATACCTCAGTTTGTAACTAGCATGAACATGTTAAAAATGACAACATATAATTATGCGATTTGGTTTGCAGGCATAACCAAACAGAATGAATCACAGGAAATATAACTGTGTGTTGGAATTACATACCTGACTTCACCTAACCTTGCCTGCCAACTCATACCAGCCAAAAGCTTTCAACAAAAATTAAAGGTCTAGTGTGTAGGATTTAGTGGCATCTAGTGGTTAGGTTGCAGAACTAAAACTTCTCCCGTGTGCTAAGGATGTAGAACTATGGTGGCTAGCGTGAAAACAGGAATGGCCCTATCTAGAGCCAGTGTTTGTTTTTTCCTATTCTGGGCCACTGTAGAAAAACATGACAGACTCTGTGGGAGAGGACTTGCTCCATGTGGCTCATTCTAAGGTAAAGAAAACACAACAATTCTTAATTTTTTTATAAGCTAATGTAAACATTGTCATGAATATTATATACCATTTCTGCCAATATACCCCCCCTAAATCCTGAACACTAGACCTTTAAATGTTGACAAAAAATCAACAGGACCCTTGCAAAAGCTGTTGTGACAAAATTATTTAATCACAGGCTTTCACAAACACTCACACTTACTTAGCAAAGCAGACATATGGATCCACTCGTACACATGACTCTTTAAAATGTACAGAACCTAAACTCTCATATTTCCTGGCTTTCAACCCATCTTAGATCTTTAAGATATCTACTGTCATCTTTGGTCTGAAAAAGCAATTACTGTTTGAAATAGTCATGTTCCAAACGTGATGCTACAAGCAGAAATTTCTTGACTATTTCACAGTCAAGCCACTCTAACACGGGGAATGCTCATAATTTTGCATCCCATCTTTTCATTGATTTGAATTTATCAGCGTAATAAAATCGACTAGAGTTTTGGATAGAACTCCCATTGATTAATATTCATTGTTATATAAATATCAGAAAGAAAAAACATGTAATTTTAATCAGAGATAATTTTGCAGCACAACATAATGTGCAACACTCAAGAGGTGTTTATTAGAAGAAAAGTCTGTGTCAGTCCTGATCCAGATAGAGCTGGTTTGGTTCCATGGCAGTGAGAATAGCTACGCTTTCAGTGAAATTGGCTGATGCAACCAGGTTTATTTTTGGAACCAAGTCAGATGAGCAGCCATGTACTCATCTGCAGTGTGGTGCAGTTTCCCATCTTCCACCACATTAACTTGCAGTCAATTCAGGGAAAAGTGGCTCTGATGTGTCAGACTGCTATGCAGACCAGCAAGCCAATCCCCCTAAATCGTAAAGGATTACTCTATGATTGTATTTTACCGTGAGTGTGATGTGTGTGTACACAGTTGTGTGAGTGTAACATTTGTGTGTGCAGCAATCCCTGGTGCAGGTCGCATGCTGGTGTATAGGAGAGTATGGAGACCTGCTGCTGAGAGGAGAGTGTCAGGAGACTGAGCCTGTTCAGGTACATGCAACACACAGACATATAATATAATACAAATTAATAGTAGCAGTAATAGTGATTCAACCAATAGTTAGATCATAACAAGTTTTATGTTTGCTAGTTCCAGCAGGACACAAGGAAACATTTCACCTTTTCTGCCCTAATGGCAGCTGGTTTGGAAATAATATGGGATCTGAGTAGCAAGCATGAGAAGTAATTACCTGTAGCGACTCGCATATTTCCTTGACAGGAAATCCAAGGGAGAAGTTTGATTAAGAATGTAGCGCACAATGAAGTGACTCACTGCAGCAACAAGTGCTTCAAAAACAGAAAAACTGAAGTACATGAAGTTAATGATTATTTATTTAATGATGTAAAAGTAAACCAGCAGTCCAGCTCCCTGAGGTGGGTAGTCCAAACAGTACAATATGGTATCATGTCTGGGAATTTACCCAATGCTAAAGACCAAATACTGACAGACTAAATTAATTCTCTAGTCCTCCCAGTTCCCAGTCCTCAACTCTGCCTTTATCATTCAGTAAATGTCAGGGATTATCAGCTAAATCAATACGAGAACATGAAATGTGCCATTCTTATCTCTTGTTTTATTATTACAAAAATGCAATGTCAGCTTTCAGACCCTGTATTGACACGTCTTCCAATCAGGTAACTGAAGACGATGTCCTGGACGCCTTGGAAACTGTTCTGCAGTCCCACATGTCATCCCCAGGGACCAGAGGCTTTGCTCTCACGGCCACCATGAAACTAAGCACACGCATCACTGAAAATGTGGAGTAAGAAACATTTCTGTCACTCACAGCAAACACTGACCAGATACAGTTAAAGCACAGCCACAGGCCACATTGGCGAGTTCAAAGTCTGCTCTATTGAGTAAAAAAAACATTTATTGAGGAACAAAATTTCCCCCACAGCAGCATTCCCAAATACTATCAACCTGCATTTGAGCACGACAACATTAGAACATTCTCAGCGCTTCTGTTTGCTAACACACTTTGATCGAGGTTATGAAGTTTTTGATACCCATTTAGTTATAGTAGTCCCCTAACTGCTTGTCTTTCTCTTCATCACTTCCCCTCTGCCAGTCGCATCAGGAGCATCGTCAGCATCTATGGCAGCTGTATAGATGTGGAGCTCCAGCAGAGGGCAGTTGAATACAATGCTCTGTTCAAAAAATATGACCACATGAGGTATGCACCAACATGATAAAGAAGTCAAATTTTCCTGGTTTTTGTAAAGTCTTTTACATACTATGTTTCTGGGGGTTTTTTTACCTAGAAAATTAAAAGTAGAACTACTTTTATCTATAGTATGATTACAGCTTTAAGGATTTTTACAGTAGCTAGTACAAGCAAATCTTTTATTCTGGCCATAAAGAGCTGAGAGCTGAGATGTTCTCTCTCCACAGGGCAGCAGTGCTGGAGAGGATGCCTGTGATCGAAAAGAACTCCCCGGGTCATACCAACGGAGAGTCAACAGGGGAGGCCATCAAGGACACCCAAGCAGTCAGAGTAAAGCAGGGAGAGCCACTGTTGCTACAACAACCCACTAGCCAGGTACATTACGTCGACACAGATTGATGTTATATGACAGCAACTTATGCCGGCCTTACATCGATTTAACTGTCGCAGACAAATTTCCAGTGTTGTAATGAATAATCAGAGTTTTACCTCAGTTAGTGTGCATTTCCGTGATCCCGACCGTTTGGTGTAAGGTAGTCATAAACTCAGTTCAAGCTATCTTAAGTTGGTCTTTTTCTTGTCTTCACATTCTGACGTGTTGAATATTACCGTTAGTTCTTAGTCTTGGCTCATGTAAACAGAGTACAGTGACGTGAACATTTTTAACAACCAATGCTGCGCTCTCTTCAACACCAAACAGGAAGCAGCAAACCAGGTAGACAGTAAACATGGAGGGGCACCAGGGAGGTGCAAGAACATGAGCAAGTCTCAGTTCTCTTGGACTCTGAAAAAGGAGGAGAAATTGGTGGAGGTGTGGAGTGAACAAGAGTCAGTGTTTAATTCGGCATGCATGCGTTTCCAGTGAGAAAAAAGGTTCGGCTCTCATTCCCACGGTCTCCTTCCTCTAAAATAGTGTAGTTAACCAATGGAGGTGACCACAAACAAAATGTGAAGTTTATACTTAAATATAATTTATCCTTATTGAAAATCTGTTGCCACATTGACTAGAACATTGTTCTTGCCTTTTATCTTGTGTTTCTAGAGTTGTGTGTTTTTGCTGACACGTATGGAATTGGTAGTATGTCATATTTCTTAAAGGGAGTTTGGCATAATATTTTCCACCAGGAACAGGATGTGAAATAAACTCAGAAAGAATCTAGTTTTAGTTGTGCAAATAGTGACCCTGCAAGATCCCCAGTCTTTGCAATATCACAGTTTGTGACTCACATTGTCTTTAGATGTGAAAGGCTGTCAGACTTTAGTCTTTAAAAGTCTTTTCAGAGTCTTCTAGTGTTTGGCAGACATTAGTCAAGACTGAACTGATCTGTCCGTATTTTCCATTTTAATTTATATGTATTTAACCATATTTCGTTGGTGAACTATTGATTTTCAAGATTTTACTGCCGACTTTTTGAGCATCATCAGGTCAGGCTCAAGCTGTCTTATGACTCTGGACCATTATGAGCCAGTGCGTCAGCACAGGTCCTCAGGCAAAGCTGTAGTTAGCTAAGTGTAGGCTAACAACTAAAAGTAAGGGGGCTCTTGACACTGTAAATACCTGCCTGAGGCTAATAAGCTATTATCTATTTGTATGTGATGGGCTTTATTGTAAGTATTTCAGTGTTGTATCATCACAGTCTCTACAGTGGGCTGTCTATAATAAATAGAGGTCATAAACTCAGGCACACATCAGTGCGTGTGTTATGTAAATTATTTTCCTTTCCTGTAGTTCATGGGTAAGTTTGCCGTCCTGTGTGTGCTTTTATGCAAATCAAATTGGAAAGAACCCCAGCTAACCAGTTTAGCAACAATGTTCTGCTGAAATACACAAATATTAAAATACAGGGGTGAGGATACAGTTGTAGACTTAACTTAATGGCACACAAGTTTCAGTGGTGTCTTTTTTTCTAGCTTTACAAGTATGTTTGTTTTGTAGTTACTGTTCACTTTTTGGTTAATTCAAATAACGTTTACACAGCCTTGCTGTGTTTGCTTTAAATGTGCAGAGCAGTGTGTTCCTTTCATATTAAAGTTGAATCAGGCTCTTTTGTCCTTCTGTCTGTGTTTTCCTCAGGTGTGTGATCTCTTGGACCTGCTGGGAGGCTCTGAGGAGGCTCTACAGCCCAGCCCAGCAGTAGCTGGTACAGCACCTGGCCTGCCCATCAACACAGCCAGTACTGCTGGAGGAGACCTCCTGGATCTGCTGGGAGGGTTAGAGCCTACACCCATTGCACCAGGTGTGATGCTCAGATATACACACACACACACACACACACACACACACACACACACACACACACACACACACACACACACACACACACACAAACACACACTACTTTAGACAGAAAGAAACAAGACAGAGGAAATGATTTAGGACATGAAACTAGAGAATGCAAATTTTAGGGGACTGAAGCTTGACTCAGGCCATCAAACAATCTCCCTAAATCTCCCCCAGTGTTGATGTTTTTATTTAGTTTGTTTTGCTCAGTATTGGTTTTAAACTAATGCAACATTTTACCATATCTGTTCTCCACAGCTCCCACAGTACCGGTGTATGAGAAAGACGGTGTGGCTTTGACATTAAGTTGCGAGAAACAGTCAGACACAAGCCTGACAGTCACACTAACAGCCTCCAACTCCACTGACTCAGACATCAGCAGCTTCACCCTGCAGGCTGCAGTGCCCAAGGTTTGTCTCACTACCTGTGATAAAACACACCATGTTCTTTTACTAGCAAGCTTTCACTGCTGCTGCTGATTTTTGCTGCCAAGGTTCATGAGAAAATTGAGCAGCTTGTGGCACAATATACTCGTTGTACTTAATGTCTTTCTACATTTCACCACTCAGTGTTGCTTGCAGCCTGTAGGTTTTAAACCCTATCATGTTCTCAGTGGTTGGCATCAGTGCTGTAAATCAACCAGAACAGCATGTATGCGTTTTGGTGCTTTAAACTTCAAAGTTCCATTTGATCTCCCCCTAGAGTGTCCAGTTACACATGAAGGCTCCCAGTGGGGACTCTCTTCCTGCACGGGGCACAGCTAAAGTGACCCAGATGGTCGTCCTCAACAACCCAAACAAGGTGAGTTTGACGCACAGACGCAAAGCCACGATTTGGATTTGTCAGTAAGAGCAAAAGAAGGGTCGATCAGGAGTGTGATCCATCTTTTATTTCAAGCTTTATCAGCAAGGGAGAACATAACCACCCGCAAACCAAACTTTCTGTATTCAAAGTTAGATCAGTGTTGAAGATTACAACATTAGAATTTCGCACTTTATCTCCAAATGTTCACACAACTCCCACAAACCTGTTGTTCTATTTTGCAAGAACAATACATCATTGCCAAGTGTGCGTGCCATGTGCCAGTCCCAAACCTTGTTTTCTCACTCCCATCCCAGCAGAGCCGCTTCCAGCTGCATCACATTATTAAATCCTTCTCCCTCCTCCAGGTGAACCTGAAGATGAGAGTCCGTATATCTTACACCAGCCAGGGCTCAGCCTTTCAGGATACAGTCCAGATCGACTCCTTCCCTGGACTCAATGCTGCCGGCCACTGACAGCAGCCACTCAGTGCAACAGGACTATGACAGCAGTCTGTGGATGAGTCAGCAGGTCTCGCCCGTCACTGACGGAAGGGGATTTTTTTGTCTGCCGTCACACCCTGTACACTACCGTCCAAGCTGCTGTTTCTGAAATTCCTGATTTTGTTGGTGTTTTTACGGCTGAAGAACACTGTTGTTTCACAGGAAATCACAGCCTAATACATGAACTCACATAGTTTATCCTCTCCTCTGGAATCCAAGTGTAAATGTGACTGATTACATTATTTGATATCGCACAAGCTTTGAAATATTCCCATATCATAAGGAAATACTAAAATCTGAATAGTTTATCTGGGATTTTTGCAATGACCAATGTCCGTAGAAACTTTGTACCATCCAGGTTCTTTTTTTAAAGCTGACTGTAGTTGTTTCACTCCATAAATATGTACTTTGATGTGGCTCCTCTCAGTCAGTATGCGCCACCAGAGGAGTTGTCCTCACATTGCACTTGGTTCTTCTCTTTGAAGTGATTTGCTTTATGAAATATTTGCCTTTATTTAATCTTCACATTGTTTAAAAGCAGCTAAACACTAATGACCCACCACTATTATTATAAAATGCTCAATTCCAGTACACTTGATTTTACTGGGAAACACAAGGGCATGATTTGAGATTGAAGGGTGAAGGATTTTAAACACAACCTCGTGTATTGTATATTTTTAAAGCCTCATTCAGCTCAGAGAATCCTCCTCCTAATTAATTCTCTTGTGCCTTTCATCCCCTCAAGAACTCATGTACATAAAAAAAATGCAATTATATTTGGTTTTGGAGGCCAAGAAATTGTTTTGAATGTTAAGTGGTGTAGTCCTATTAACATGTTTTTATCATTCCTATTTAAGCATGCTTTTCCTGACCAGTATCCCCTTGTCCACTGTTTACAAAGGCTCCTGAGTTTTTTTAATTTCTGAAGAGTGTGTATAGTGATACCAGAATAATGGGCGTGATAGTGTATACAAGATGTATATTTTAGAGTTTAAGTATATAAGCACAATAACAAGAGGTTTAAGTCTATGGAAAATCTCTAATACAACCCTTTGTTGTAGAAGGACAAAGCAGTGGGCTGTAAAACACCTTTAGATGAAGCCGGTGTATCACCTCAGTAATTTGATGACTCATCTCATAATCATGGACCTCTATTAAAAACACTCTGGATACTGGATGTCAGCAATGGTGCTCTAAATGGATTTCCGTGCAATCTTTACCAGACTGTTTGAGATCTCTACCTTCACTAAACTGTAAAGAAAAGACCAGGATGAGTATTCTGTCAACTGTGTCTTTAAATCTTGTGTTTCATGTCATTTTCTAATAAAAATCAGTTTTCAGAATCCTCAGCAGTGGCTTAGCACAAAGTCTGTGCTCTGTGTGGGTGTGTATTAGAGGACAACACTTAAATCAACTTCAGCATTTATTCACAAGCAAAGAGACCACAGTGTTTCCAAACTGTCTTTTGTACTGCATGGGTGTCTGCATCAGCTGGTCAAACTCAGAAAGCCAATGTGGGTTTACAAAAAACATCTACAAAGAAATTAGAACGTCCTTTTTCTCTCTTTTTTTTGACGTTGCTGTTGTTGGTTGATTTTTTTTTTTTGTTTGCGTCAGCCTGGGAGCGTGGGATTTCAGATCTCTGTGCTGAAACATGGTTAGACGGTGACAGACACCTAAAGCGTTGGCACTCAGCTGGCCCCACAACAACAGCAACTCAGGACAAGGAGGAGAGGTGTATGCAGGAACTGTGGAGCGTTGAACCGCCTCTTAGCGCCAACACAAGGTGGAGCACTGAGCCTCCCTGGATCTTGTAGTCTGCAGCTGTCTTCTCATCATTCCTGAGTGTGAAAGAACACAGGAGACAAGTGGTTTAGAGAAGACTTGTGGAAAAATAAAAGCATCTTGCAGCTGCTCCAGAGCAGACAGTTATGATGGAGAAACTCACATTTGTTTTCCACTGTAGATGAGTCTCTGTTGCTGCGGGGGGATTCCTTCCTTCTCTTCCACCCTTTCTTTAATTCGCTCCACCTTCATTTACACAAAAACAAGACATTTACAAATAACGAGGCCTTGACAGTCAGCGGTACAAAGATTAGTGTTTTGTTTTTCTAACTTGAAGACAATATTTCACCTTGTCTGTGGGCTCAATGTCGATCTCTATTTCTTTTCCAGTGAGTGTCTGAAACGGAACATTGACATGATCACATCAATACCAGCTTTGGTTTCTACAATTACACATACAGTCTGCATCACAACTTTTCCATCAACACAAGGCAGCATCCACAGATAAAGAGCTGTTCCTTTTTTGTGGGGTTCGCTTGTGTTACAATAAATTCTGTGACTCAATAGATTTTGTTACCTGATCAGATATCTCAGCTATATTGCCAGTGCAAATGTTTTTAACAAATTAATCAATTAACAAGCCTATAAAACAGCTTAAAATCTTGACAAAAGAGGAGATGGATTTAGAGTATTGATGGCATTTTGTCTAAAGACAACCACAAGTTACCGATCCATTATTTTTTTTTTATCGATCAATTATCAGATTAGATAAAAGATTCACTGTCCCAGCCCTAGTGATGGCAGAAACTGGGGGCCAGTAGGGCACAAACCCATCTCCTTTAGCGTCACAGAATCTCAGGGGTCACACAATTTGTTGTAACACCGGCCAAGCAATTAAATTAGCTGACCTGCTTTGGGGATTGCATTTAGGTTAGCAAGCTATCAAATAACAGGTTCTGAATGGCGACAAGCTTTGGCCAACTAGCAGCATGTTGATAGCTAGTTGGTAGCTCCACTTAATATATAGCCAAAAACCAGGCAGAACTTTAGACTGTAATAGCGCAGAATGAGATGGGTGTAAGTTGAAGTATACTAAGTAACTGTTCCCCGGCCCAAAAATAAATTAGCGAACCGGTCAGTGATGTTAGCGCGCTGCCCAACAACAGCAGCGTCGAGCCGGCGGAGAAGTGTGAGCGAGGATAACACAGTGGTCTTACCTTTACTTTGATCAGCATCTTGAATAAGCAATATATTACAATTCGAAGTGATATGAACTGTTTACTGACCAAAACACCAAATACACTGGCGAATTACAACCCACTTGTCTGGATGACTTGAATTTACTTCCTGTGTACAAGGCTAAACGCTCCGGACGGACACGTCTAACCACACAGAGAGTGGTTCCACTCTGATCATAAAACAGTATTATTTACTGAAAAAATGTTTAAGATCTCGCTGTAAAAAATACCCAATTGAATGTAAAAATAAGCGTAATATTTTACTCAAGTAAAATTAGGAAAATACCATGAAGTAAAAAGCTACACTTACAGAGGGCTATTACATGATTGGTTCATCATAAGGGACTGTTCATTACTTAGCTATGAGAGAGGAGGGGTGGTGCAAAACGGGGGAGGGACATTCAGCTTCAAATGGTGGTATTTTGTGTCTATTTTGAATAGTGGGTTTGAAAGGCATGTTTTCTTCTCCAAAATCACACCATTTATCATGGCCAGGAACTATGAAATATGGTTATTTATGGTTGGGGGGGGGGGGGGGGGGGGGGATGGGGGGGGGGGGGGGGGGGGGGGGGGGGGGGGGGGGGGGGGGGGTCATGCATTTTCCTAAGTCACTCAGAGGCTCAAGGGAAAATATTTGTTGCTCCAGGGAGGATCATGGTATTCATAAAGAAAAACAAAACAAAGTCACACCCCAGGCACCCCCTACTCTGATAAATGGTACGGTCCCTTTCTGATGCAGCAACATGTAAGCACTTAAATGTTGTGGTTGGTCAGGAGCTCATTTTAATTATTATTTTATCAGCTCATGATTTTGTGTAAAATATGAGTAAAAAGAGTTGAGAAAAATCAATATTTGCCTCTTAAATGTTGCAAAGTAGGCGTGTTAAGCAAAATGAAAGCACAAACACATCAAAATCAATACTTGGTCAAATGTACTTACTTACATTCCACCTCTTCATTTAGAAATTATCAAAAATTAACATCCTACAATGCATATGAAATTGGAAGAATGCACAAAAACGGCCCAAAACAAGCAGACACTGACCAAATGCTGCCCTGCCCTCACACACATGTTAATCATTCAGCTAATTTGGCAGGAAGTCTACAAATTGTGTCACCTCCAATGAGCTCTGGATCATTCAGTCATGGTGACTCATCTCTACCTTGGTGTGACAATCTTGGCTGTTTTTGCAACAACTGTTGCTAATGCAGGTATTCTTTACACATGCATATAGACATGTGTCCACCTTATGTATGTATTTTTTAAGTGTTTCATGTACTGAAACTGTAATCATGAGAATTACTTTGCAGATATCAAAGTAGTCTGTGGAAAAGACTCAATAAAAATCACATGGAGGATCAATGCAGAGTTGGTGCCTTACGCGTCTCGTCTCTTCCTCGGAAGCTGCATGCCGTCTAAGTTAAATGTTCTGCCTACTGGAGAGGGGGAAGCACTGTTCAACTACAAGTTTGCTGACTGCAAATTTAAAAGACTGGTAATGTAAACACTATATTTAACTAAAATCCCCTTCTGCCTCTTTAGTGTGTATAATGAGCTGTTTTTTAACAGATGAAAGGAAAACGTCTCCTCTTCCAAAATGAACTGACTTTCAGGCCCCAGCAAAAATCAAAACCCGCTGCCTTTCTGTATCCCATCGAATGTGTTTATAAAAGGTAGGAGTATCGTTTTGAACTAAACTCCAGTTCAAAGCTGATAGGAGATGAGAAAACATTCCCATTATATTTCAGACCTGAGGGATGGGTTCCCCCTTTCCTCAACCCTGGGTCAGGTGTATCTGAGGGTCGAGGTGGGCTGGTCTTCCACATGGCACTCCTCAATGGTGAGTTATCACACTACCAGATACAACATGAGAATACTCAAGGCTTTTTCTAAGCCTTTTTACTCACCCCCACAGATCAACTAACAGGAGTAGCAAAGACAAATGTCATCCCCATGGGCTCATTCATGCCTATATGGGCGGCAGTGGAGCAGAAGTCCCATCAACCCTTGCTGTTGCTCATGGAGGAATGTGTGGCATCCACAACACCAGAGCTGCAGTCTGGCAGCCAGGTTTACCCCATCATTAACAATAAGGGGTAGGGTTCAGACCATGATTTTTGTCTTTCCAATGATTGTTTTCTGGTATTAAAGTCTTATTCCTAAATTGACATACATTTCTTCAGGTGTCTTTCGGAAAGCATGAGGGGAAACTCTGTGTTCCTCCCTCGGTACCACTCGTCTGCAATCATCCTTTATCTGCAGTCCTTCAAGTTTGGTCTCGGAGAGGAGGTGAGAGGGTAAATGGTAATGGGTGTTTGGAGTATTTTGTTCATAACAAACTTAATCTTTTTTTTTTTTTTTAATATGCTCCTCAGGTGTACATTCACTGTAAACTGGTTGCGTGGGATCCGGAGGTTTTTGATGAAAGCAAGAAAGCCTGCCACTATGTAAAGGATAATGGGAGGTAATCAAAAGGGGAAAAATTAGACATTTTGGGAAATACCTTTTTATTCACTCTCTTGCTGGAGGTTCAATGAGAAGATCGATGCAACTGATGTAATGTGTGCCCCGCATGAATCTTGAGCCAGGAGGTGGTGATTGCAAAAGCAAAGAAGTGAATGTGTATCTCCTAAAATATCAAACTAATCACATACTTCAGTCAAATCCTTAAACTTTAACTACTGTATAGCCTTCTATGACTACATTTTAGATGAAAATATCATTTTGCTCTACCATATTTATCTGACATGAATTGTGAATTACTTGCACATGGTTTCCACAAAAGAAATAAAAGCTAAACTCAATATTACATTTTCAAAGGGATGCTTCACCCCAAAATAGAAAAGTACATATTTTTTCTCTTACTTGTGGTGCTATTTATCAATCTAGATTGTTTCGGTGTGAGTTGCTGAGTGTTTGAGGTAACAGCCGTAGAGATGTCTGCTTTCTCTCAAACATAATGGAACTGGATGGCACTCAGCTTGTGGTGCTCCAAAGCGCCAAAAAAATACATGTGAAAAACTCAACAGCAATGTCTCTTTCCAAAAAATCATGACCTGGTTACTCAAGATAATTCACAGACACTGTTGTGAGCAGTTTCATGTTGGAACTGTTTTCTTTTTACCAAACTAAATCCACTAATCGTATTCCTGCACAGAAGATAGAGTGCATACTCGTGAAGGATGGCATGAGATGTAATAATTATTGCCGTGATCCTCAGTGGAGGTGTTAGCTAGCTCAATGGTGCACAATGAGCTAGCAATAGATGCAGACGTCCTTCTGCACAGTGATACAGTTGGTAGGTGTAGTTTGTTAGAAAGAAAACAGTTTCTGCAGGAAGCTACTCACATCAAGGTATGTGAATTTTCTTGATGAACCAGGTCATGATTTTTTGGAAAGAGCCATTGCTGTTGAGTTTTCCGAATGTATTTTTTGGGCGCTTTGAGCAGCACAAACCAGTGCCATTTTGTTCCATTATGTTGGAGAGAAGGCAGACATCTGTAACACTCAGCAGCTCGCACTAAAGCAATCTAGGTTGATGAACAGTACTACAGGTAAGAGGAGAACTGCTTTTGAGAATAAAACACCCCACCAGAATGTAGAGCAGCAAATTGTAATGGCTTCAACTGTATTTTTACCTGAATGCATTTTTCACAGAAAAAATGTGCCTTTATTCTGTATATATGGAAGTTGTTTTTTCTAATCAGCACCACACTGATATAATGACCCTGCATAATTGCTCCTTTCTCAGATGGGAACTACTAGATGACCCCTTTCAGAGCTCTGTCTGTAGCTGCTGCGATTCAACCTGCAAGTCCCGCTCCAAAAGAGGAGTTGAATTGGGTATCACTTTTCTGCCAGCTTGGATGTTTTAAATTATTTTCACTCCATGAAATCATAATCTTTTTTTTCCCCTCTTCCCTTTCAGAATCCCACGGCTTTAGTCACAATTCAGTTTTGGGGCCCCTTATCATAATGGATCCATCTGACTCAAAGACTCACAATGTATCTGGGGTGTCTGTAACTACAGCTGACTCTCAGGTGTAATGAGGACCAATACTGTTTAAGGTCTTTGTCCTAAAACTGGAAGTTTTTTTTAAACACTTGATATAAGGTTTAATGTTTTCAACATTTTCTCAACAGGAGGCCCAGTCTAAGATAATAGACTCTATGAACATGCACAACAGAGGGGTTGATATTAGATGACTTCAGACTCATGACTTGGAAGACATTGGAACATAAGTTTTACGTGATCTCAATTTAAACTGTTAGCAGATTAATCCATCTTAAACCCTCTGTACAAATAAAGCTGGTGCAAACTCCTGTGAGGTTCTGTTATTGTATTTGACTTCAGTCATAAAATACAAGTATCCAGACTCAATATAAAGTCATAGTCACAGTCTTAATGTAAGCTGTAACATACTACACCATTTCTGATGTCCATATTGTAAATGTCACAGCTAGTGAACTCATAATCCCTCCTAGTTTATCACAGTATTTTACATTTGTTAGCCGTTTCAAGGCAACTGACTCCAGATAACCTTCAAATGTTCGTTCTATAATTAAAAAAGTACTTATTTTAGTTGTCTCTGTGAGGCTGGACTGTCTCATTTACCATCAGTTATGTGGTCTTCAGACCCATCTTTATGGGCCTTGTAATTTAGAGGATCTAGCCCCTGAATTTGGACATAGCCATTTTTCTTGTACTAAATACCCCCATTTTTTTCTTGAGCCCAAGCTGCAAATCCCACCAAAAATTTTGATTACTTATTACATGCTGAGGTAGCATTTCTACAAATCATGTATGGGTCATTTTTCAACTATGGTCCATTTTGGTCTGCAAGCTTACAAAACCTTACACATTTAGAGAAATGTATTTATACACTATTTCCAGTAATACAACACTGACATTGTCAATTCCACGTCTTTTCCATCACAATAAACAAAGTGATGAAAAGGACTGTTGTAGAAATGACATTTTCTATATCTCATATGTTAACTTTCTATGTGTTAGTATTAAATATATTTCAAAAATTTCATGTAAAATGTTTTTATTTGTGCGTTAAAGAAAAAAAATGAGCTGTTTAGAAACATTAGCCAATAAACATTTCTGATTTAACAAAAACTGACCTTGATTTCTTCTTATTTCTGTTCCCTACATGGAGCCAACTGTCCTCCAGCCATGTGCTCTAATGTCAAATGACTATTGCTGTGGTCACAAACCCCAACAGCAATCTCCCTGAATTAACATTTTGCAGCATGTGGTGGAAATAATAACACCAAGGGACAGGTTTTCTTTGTTTGGAAAAAAAAAAAAAAAAAAATCTCCCCCAAAAAATGACCACACCTAACAGGCCATTTTTTTATACAACGAAAATAATGATCAATCTATTGTGTAATCTTTGTGAGTGGTGTCATGTAAGTGTGACAAAAGTGTGTTTTTCTTATTGATGCCACAGACACAAAAATCACAATAGTTGAAGAATCACAGGTATTTGGATATAATACATATGAAAGTGATCTAACTATAAAAGCAGATTTTCTTACTTTCTGTCCATAAATATAAAATCAAAAGAGAGAGATCTGAGTGCAAGGTCAAGTGTTTACAGAGTAAAAAGATGACTGCGTAAAAAAGCAACTTCACACTGATGTAACTCATACTGAAACTCTTTGTACTGATATAGTTCCCTGCCTGCTGCATGGTTGCAAGGGAGGTTACTAGTAAAAAAAAAAATAGTTTGACATTGATGTTGTCTGGTTACTGTGCTTCCTCACCTTGCATATCAGTTGGATTCTAACATACTAACAACAGTTATATCATAAGGATCAAACACATTTCAGTGTGTTCCACAAAATGCTACATCTGTTAACATACAGCTGATAAAGCTATGTCAAAGTGAAATGAGTCTAATGTGTGATGTAACGAGCGGCTCTCCAGGCTGTAATTTGTCTGACGGCAGCTGCACCTGAGACAGGTGACACACACCAGGTGAAAGAGGTTTTCTTGATTAATGCCTCCACATTCACAACTAATAAAAGCACCCACAGTGTCAGTAGCAAGTATTCAGTCATGATGGCTTTCTTTTGGCAAGGTGCACTGCTTTTGAGCCTAGCAGCCTTCATGTCAGTATACGCAGGTAATATTGCAGCAAAATGCAGGACATTTCATGTTATTTTAGTATCCTTACCTCAAACTGTTTGGGTAGCAACTTGAGGCCATTGCATTGTATCCCCTACAGACATGAAACTGGATTGTAGGCCAGATTTTGTGACAGTGGTGTGGATAGAGAGCAGATCCCAAGCTGATCTTTCACTGTTTCGTCTGGGTAACTGTTTCCCCACCAGCATCTCAGCCAGGGAGGCTGTTTTCAGTGTGGATTTCAATGATTGCAACTTCAGGCGAATGGTGAGTAGCATATGTACCTGCAGTCAGAGCCCAGTTCATTTGCTACAGCTTTGTCTCTCTCGTAGGTTACTGGGGATCAGCTGATCTACACCAATGATCTGACCTATATTTCCTCTCCTGATTCTCACATTCTCGCTTTCACACACCCAGTTGTCTGTGTGTATGAGAGGTGGGTGTACCTCAACAGCAAGTAAAAATGAGCAGACCATACCTAAGGAGTTCTGTAGTTGCATGTGTGAGTACAGCAACTGCTGCCATTAATCTACTGTTTCTAATACAGGCCCAAAGACTGGTACCCTCTGATTTATGACCCAGTGTTTCAGACATATGGTCAAGGAGATCTAGTGTTTCACATTGGACTCATGAATGGTGGGTGTAAAGCATGACCTCACTGGAAATGGCAGCTCTCACAGTGACTCCTGTAACTGAATGACTCATCTGTTTACTGCTGCAGATGACTTCTCAGGCCCCGCTGAATCTACTAGCTTTCCTCTGGGCTCCTTCATCCCCATCATGGCTAGTGTGGCGCAGAAAACCCATCAGCCCTTGCTGCTGCTTCTGGAGGAATGCGTCGCGGCTTCCACACCTGAGCTGCAGCCTGATAGCAGCATATACCCAATAATCACCAATAAGGGGTACTTATGTGACACTGGCAATAAGCACTGACTCGCTGAAGTTTTGATCCAGACACTGGAAATGACAGATGCTCTTTACCCACACAGATGTCTTGTGGACAGTATGATTTCACGCTCAAAATTCGAACCAAGGCAAAAATCATCAGAGATCCACCTGTCCCTTCAAGCCTTCAGGTTTGCTCTCGGAGAACAGGTAAACTAACATCATTCTATAAATTTGCAAGTTTGCTATAGATGCAGGGCTTTATTGTGAAAACTTTGTCTTGCAACCTTGCTTCTAAACTCCCATCAACAGGTGTTTATCCACTGCACACTTGTGGCTTGGGATCCCAGTGGTCTTGACAACACCAAGAAGGCCTGCCATTATGTCAAAGAGCAGGGGTAAAAATGTCACTTGTTCGTTTTTTCTTTTACATAAGGTCTGAGCTGTTCAGCATTGGTTAGTCTTCTGATGCTGCAGACAGATCCCAGCATTAAACACTTGCAACATGTTTGATTGTAGATTAAAATCAGAGCTCTCATGTGAAACTGAACAACTTACTGTCTCTTTTCTCATCCAATCTCTGTGAACTCAGTTGGGAACTGCTAGACAACCCTTCATATAGCAACCTTTGTGACTGCTGTGAATCCAGCTGCAAGTCCAGGAGGATGAGGAGTATAGCAACAGGTATTTGTACAACTTCTGCTGTATTAAACTTCTCATTGTACTGTGCTAATTAGACCTTTGTTTTTATATAACAGGAAAGCATGGAATAGTACAAAAAGCAGTCCTTGGGCCGCTTACCATCACTGATGTGAATTCCTGAAGTATCACCAAGGTGAGCAAGGTTTTTTTTTTTTTTTTTTTTTTTAAATTTTACATTGCAATTTATATTATCAACAGCCACTTTATCTCTTTTGTTCACCCAACAGGAATGGATCCATCTTGCAGACTAGTTCCTTCAATTTGAATTGGGTTTTTATTCTTGGTTAAGCTTCCTAAAGCTTGATGCCTGTCTCTTTGCATTTCAGATTGTAATGTGGCCATTAAAGATGTATCAAACAACTAAACTTGGACATTCTTTCAATTTCTTAATATTTGAGTTGACTGCCATGGTCTTGACAAAGATTCATTATGTTCTAGTCCTTTTGATCTTTGATTTCTAGGTAAAACTCCAGTGCTGCACACAACTGGTCAGCAACTTCATACAAGGACATAACGCTAACAGTTATTTCAACTAACTTAGTGTAGAGCTGTCTAAAACATGATAAAGGTTATTCCCAAGGTGACATAATGTATACTTGAGTTTCTGTCAGACATTTGTGGGATGAGCTGCAATTGATTCATTCATTGATTCTCCTGTGTTTGTGTGTTTTTTTTTTTTTTTTTTTTTTTTTTTTAAAAAATACAGTTAATGATTCCTAAAACATCTTGATACTCCAGCAGGTCTATTCAAGGCTCTTAACCATCCGATGGTTTATAATAATTATGTTAACAACTGCTGTGTGGTTTACTCATGCCAACAATTGTTGGAAAGCAATGCTCGTTGCGGTTCCATTTTTAATGTGGCCCATTTCAGGATACAACCACCACAGCAGGTTCAATAAACACTTGTCAGGCAACCAACAAATGGTTAACTCATTACAAAGCCTCAATCATAATCCACATTCCAGTGGGACTGGTCCTCCATACCTTCGCAAAGGTCCAGACGATATAAATCCAGTGAAATATTTAGTCCAAACACTATCACATTCATAGATATCCCCTGACTGCCATTGCATCATTTCGAAGTTCATATTTCTCCATGTGTTGTCCATTGTCCAGTTTGCATTTAAATATGGCAACACCTATCAAAATGGCAGCTGAACTTTGTCCTTTAACTGACACCTCACTTGAGCCAACAGGAGCTTCCATGTTCTCTCCACAGCCTACAATACCCAGCGAGAGCCTGTGTTGAGAGGAAGGGACTGCCTCCTGGGGTTCAGAGCTAGCCGATAGTAAGCAGCTGGTCTGATAACTCGCAGGTCTTGTGGCCAAAGACAATCATGACCTTGAGTTTTAAACCTGTAACTTTTACTAGACAGTAATAAATGTACATAAATAGAAAATGGCTCCTGCTGTTTTTTTTTTAATCAATTACATTTTTCTAGAAGCGTTTTTATATACACCTGTCAATTAAGTTATTTACTCATATTTACACGTTCAGTACATTGTTTTACCATTTTTTTTTTCAGAAGAACCTGAGGAAAAAGTGTTATTTTCTGTGCTGATCTACTTTAAATTTGGACTATGTGAGGCTTCATGCTATAATCTGTTTTCCAGCTAATAAGTTCCAGCAGCAGCATGCATCTTCAAGAAAACCTTTAGACAGAAATTTAAAAAAAAGGAGGAAAGTATTTCAGTACACTAAGACTTATATTACTCAATGATGATTCTGACTGTTGGGCAAAAACATATGAGTGTTACCTTTCAAGAGAACATAAAATGAAATAAGAGCAATTTTCAATTTACCTTGAGGTGAATTTTGTATGGTAAGAGGCCATACAACATTTTGCTAAAAACATTACGGGTAAAATGGGCTTTATTCAGAACTACAAAAATGTATAATGACACATTAAATTGCTTATTTAAACGCTTGCCCCAATGTTGCAGTAGGTCAACCCCTTTCATTTTAATTTCATTGTTCCATCACGTTCAGCATACTCATTCTAAATTGCCAGCTGTTTCTAAGTATGTAATCTAGTCTCTTAACCTTACCCACACCAGCACTAATATAGTTGACAACTAAAGAGCAAAAGATTAATGATTAAGCTGCGTGGTGAAATTATCTAGAAATTGGAAACAGAATGAGCAGGGCACGGAGTGGTGCAACAGGTGGCCTGGTGCTGTTTGTTTTGGATGACCAGCATAAAGAGCATAAAGATAAGCATTCAAAGAGTAAATACATTTCATGTCATACTTAATTACAGGTACATCAGTATTACATTTAAAAAATCCAAATATGATAGGTTACATGATTCAAAATGTTTTTACAGCCACAATACACAGTTTCTTAACAATTTTAATTCACATGATGACCTAATGTGATTTATTGTCTAAATTAAAAAGCTGGCATATTTATGACACTGATAAAAGTTACCCCTTAATGTGATTGCAAGCCTACCATAGCCTACTATTACTAGCATATTAATATTTTGATTTCAACCATGATTTTAACAGACTGAAGGTCTTCGTCTCTCGGCCAATCAGAACAGAGAACGAGAGCCGCTCTTTATGCGCAGGGGCGGGACAGCCGAGCTAGCTAACTGAAACTGAAACATCTGTATAAGGAGAAAACTTCAACTATTTCTGAGCAGCCTTACAGGAAATATTAGCAAGGTAACAACAGTGAAAGGGCATATATCTTCAATTCAACATGTAATGAAAGTTTTGAGTCAGTTTCTTACCTTCTGTTTGTCAACAAATTAAGCTAACTAGCTAACGTTAGCTAGCAAACACTTTGTAGCTAACACAATATAACGTTACTGTTAGCATTGTGGATGGGTAGCCAACTTTGTCTTCACTTTAGGCTGTTCTGCTGTTCATTGTGTGTGTGTGTGTGTGTGTGTGTGTGTGTGTGTGTGTGTGTGTGTGTGTGTGATGTGCCATTGCAGAATAGAGGGCCCCAAGGAAAGCATTTTTTGTGGGCCAGTGTGGAAGTTAGCATTAAACTGGTTCACTTGTCAACAATAAAATGATTTTTGAAGCCTAAACGTAATTACTAGAGGTAAAAAGCTAATATTGGGCTACAAACAAACTGCACTTCGTTCACATAACCTAACGTCACCACCATAACAAGACTGTAAAGAAGCTTGGCTTGCCGACGTTCTGTTGTCTCATTTGGCCACTTGTTAGCAACTGCCCTTTTTAAGACACATAGAGACTTCAAATTTTACATGAGGTATTACTGACATATTTTCTGTTCAAATCAATTAACCCATTCAAAAAAACCATTGACTTTGAGACTAAGGAACCATGAGTGGTAAATAAATGAACTAATTTCCAGGTTTTAGGACTAGTAATTCCTGGGGTACTCTGTTAGGGCTACCTAATGCTAAAATGGTTGAATTATATTAGTTTGATGATTTTACATTGTATTTCTTGTGGGCAAAAAAAAATCCAGTATTGTTAAGCCCCAATGTCATAAAAAAGTTTAATATTAACATTTATTTACATACTGGTGCACTACACAACCAAAAATATGTTGACACCTGACACCATGCAGGGCTCAACAATAAGGATTGCCCGATTGCCCGGGGCAAGTAAAACTCACGGTCGGGCATGTAACTAACTCACTTGCCCGATCGGGCAAGTTGCTAAAAATAGTAAAAGTTAATAACTAATTGATAAAATAAATGTATTTTAAAACGTGCTCCTTCGGCTCTGATGCAGCAGTCTCTCTGCCTGAAGTCACAAGCACACGCTGTGTAACAATGTCCTGCCCACAGCCCCCATTGATATTATTTTGCGCGACGGACGCTTCATATAATAACATAACAATATACTATTTATGGTGTTATGCCATCGTGTCATTTCTGTCTCTACATGGTCACGCGTTAACAATTCTCCTCTGCTCTCTGTATCGCGCACGGCAGAGTTCCGCCACACACACAGGTGAGCACGCTAGAGCGGCTCGGGCCGCGTTTTCCTGACCAAACCTGACCCCGAGCCCGGTGCAGTTTGTCAGCTGACAAAGTTATTGAAATGGACAGTGTGTAAATAACCATCCACAGACTGCTGTTACACACAGACAAACATGCTGCTCGCACAACAGCGTAGCACGGCACTCATGCTGAGCTTGTGTTGCGTTCAGGCATTGTCGCATAAATAACAACTTCCAACACTTGCATAGGTCATAGCACAAAACAGCAGCATGTCAAGTGACTTTTTACTTTATTATATTCAATAAAATTGTATGTTCCTAAATCTTGAGACACCTCATATGTAAGCTAGACAGACATTTCACCTGCTCATTACTGTGCACACATGTACTGTATGTACTTAGTCCTAAAGAGCCCTTCTGGTGCCAGTAGATACACAGAAACATCCCAGCAGGCTGTGCTTTGCAAGCATACAAAAAAGTTTCACGCATGTGAAAATTATTTTTCATGCGTGTGCTTCACCTCCGCTGCTACAACTCCATCCTAGGGGAAACACTGCAGTGTGCATTTTGTGCAACAGGTGGATGTGGTAGTCTACTGGCAGAGTAGAGAGAGAGAGCTAAGTAGCGTTGAAGTAGAGCAGGGTAGAGAGATGGAAGCAAAATATATTAAACCCGGTGTTAATACAGCAGAACTGGAGAGAGGGGTGAAAAATAAATAGAGGTGGGCATGGCTCAAGTAGGGCGCAAAATTATAGATGGAGAATGATTGACAAATTTTTCACTTTAAGCCCTGACACTGTCATTTTTGTGTAGGAATTAAGCTACAATACATGACATATGTTGTTTTAATTAATAAATACAGTGTGAATAAAGATTACATAACATAAAAATAACTGCAGTCTTTGTTATTGGATAGCCGCTTAAATTAAACAATTTTTATAGGGTAAGTAAAAACTGACTTCGGGCAAGTAGATCTCTGACCAACTTGCCCGACCGGGCAAGTGAAAAAAAACCTTAGCGTTGAACCCTGCCATGTCATTTCAAAACCATGAGCATTAATATGCTGCCAGAAGTCTCCATTCATCTGGGCAGACTTTCAACAAGATTTTGTAACCTGGCTGGAGGGATTTGCGCCCAGTCAGCCAAGAGAGCGTTTGTGACACGGGCGACTGACGTTGGGTAATAAGGCCTGGCTTGCAGTTGGCGTTGTGCTTTGTCCCACAGGTGTTGTACGGGGATGAGGTTTTGTGCTTGGGATGTCATGTGTCCGGTCATGTTGAAATGGAAAAAAGGTCCAAGACAGGAAGTCCAAACCAGTAAAACAAACCATACTGAAAGTACAAAAAAGTATGTGACCAGGGGTGTCCACTTACTTATGGACATATTAGCATAACATTTATTGTTACATAGTCACATTTTTGTATTGTACTCTTGTGTTTGCAGAGGAGGGAAACCCAAGGGCTAAAAATGGACTGGTTCCACTGTAATCAGTGCTTCACAAAGAGAGGGTCGAAGTTTGCAGTGTCCAGCTGTGGCCACATCTGTTGTGAAGCATGCATTAAATCTAGTAAGACAATTGTGCACACTACTTGAATCTGCCTCCAATTTTTAACAATAATTATTTAAAAGAATGACTCAGATTAGACTGTTTCAGGCTGGTTATGCCTCTTGTAATTATGTTTTTCCCACAGAGCAGTGCACTGTATGTGGGGCCAGCTGCAGTTATCTGCCCATCACAGATGAGGTTAGTGAGTTTGACATCTTCAGGTTACTGTCTTATGCCACCAACAGAGAATTACCTTATTTTACACTCCCAACTTATTTTGTCTGCACAAATTTTCTATTTCAGATGAAGCCACAGGAAAAGGTGTTCTTTAAGGACCCCGTGAAGCTCATCCAGTCACGGCTGGAGCATATTTCACAGGTCTGTCTCCACTGTGCAGCGGTCACCCAAGCTCCCACTATCCCACTGTCCTTTTTAATTGCTATACAGGGATGTTAAATGTCAAAGCAGCCAGTCACTAACCAGTCAGTGAGTCATTCAGCAAGAGACTGCTTAATTTGTGACTTTGACAAGATTAAAAACATCCCAAATGGTCATCATCATTTGGGAATCCCTGAGCTACAATCCAGAGGCCAAAGTTGATTTACATAATGTTTTATTGTCACTCATGCTCCCCAGATTGCGCTTTTTCAGCAGACACAGAGGGAGAAAGTCATAGAGCACTTCAAGCACAAGTCTCTTGAACTGGAAAGGCATCTCAAGGAAGTCACTGAGCAGGGCTACAGGTGATTTCAATATCTGCTATTGTTCCTCTGTGGCTGTTTAAATAAAACACCCGATTGCAACACTGTTCTTCCCGAATCTGTCATCATTAGGCAACTCTCTGAGCTGAAAAGAGAGAACGCTGACTTAAAAAAGCAGCTTTCAGAGCTAAAAAGAGAGACTGATGATTTGAAAAGGCCACTTTCTCAGCGTAGGGTAAGTGTTCCAGACATCTAATAAAGAAAAATTTCATTTCAAAAATGCCAATGTTTGTGTAATAAATTACATGTCTAATTTAGCTTATGCACTTTGTGTTTGCCACAGGTTTCTCCAGGACAGTTTCCTGCAGATGGGTAAAACAAATTTACATTTCAGGACTATCCTGTTTAATAACAAACTTTCCAGGATTAAAGTTTTTAAAATAATTGAGAAATAACTTTTTCCTCTCATATATAGTACCCAAAGGATGTCACTCCCTGTAGCTGTCACCTCCCCAGGTAAACCCAGTGATTTATGTTGAATTGTTACAGGAAATGTTTTTTGCATTGTTGTCCATTTCAGATTTTTTGATTCAAGTTGATGAGGAGTGTGTGCATGTTTTCTTTTGCCAGTTACCCGTCATTCAAGAACTATGGGGTATGTATTGCATTGTCATGCTCTGGTGGACTTAATTTGGTATTTGCAACATTATTACATTTCTACACTCAGTAAAATGATTGCAAAATATTTTATGCTCAAACATGTTGTCTGGGTCTCAGTTACGTAGGCTCAGCAGAATTGCAGGGGTGGGCCAGAGACACAGGTCCCAGACTGTCTGCCCTCAGAGTAAGTCTTGCTGTTACTGGCTCCATTTAAAGTTTTGTAAACCTACTACACGTTAGTGTTATGAAAAAAAACTTAACTAAATAGCTTTTACCAGCTTTACTAAAGGTTTCCTTTAATCATTTTGCTCAGCGGGAAGAATTTGTCCTGTCATAGACCGAATCATGTGCTGTGCTTATTTTATATACTATATCGCTTTGCCAGTGTCTTTGATCAACCAAATCTACCGGCATGGAAACTACGCAGTGTACTGCTGTGGATGGTGGCAGCAAAACATATTTTTGCCAACTGGAAAAACTAATATAAGTTGAAGTTTACACTATATTTGGAATATTTTCACCACTTTACCTTAAAAACCGAGCAGTGATAGACCAGCAACTTCTATGTTCTGCAAAGTAAAATGACTGTTTTTGTCAGTTGAGTCTGGCGGCTTTGAGATAATGGCATCAGTTCCCATTGGAAAGGGCTGTCTGATGGTAAGGTAAAGCGGTGAAAACATTCTTAGTATAACATACACATAAACTGATATTTATTTGGGCCATATCTTCACTGGTTAAAAAGTAACCAGTTGGGACAGCATTTGCTTAGTGCCGTTTCATTTTATGTACCTGATGTGGGGGTTCTATCCAAAAGTTATTGTTAACACACTTTGTGATACGGTCTAATCAGAACATGCCGTCTCCAAGACAGCGCATTCAAAGATGAAGACTGAGATGTGCTTGAAACTTCTTTAGGAAGCTAGACTAAAATTAAGAAGGTCAAGAATAAATCCTCACACTCTGTAACAATTACACATACACAGACCAGGTACTCACTGGTACTCTTAAATACTCAACTGTAAACTTTTTATACAGCAGAGTGGAAATGTCATTTAGTTTTACCTTTTTTACTTTTTTACTTTTTCCCTTATTTTTGTCAGACTCCTGGATCAGCTACCACTGTTTCAAGCCACAGTTCTCTTCATGAACATGTACACAGTAAGTGTTGCTGCAAAGACACTTTTGTAGCCCAACCATAGGTTCTGTGATTAAACTGGATACACTATACTTAATCAAGTTAGAAATTAAATGCATTTTACAGTATATTTAATAAAAATCCTCTTACTTCTGTTTTATAAAGGAACACCCACATCCTTTAACACCCCTACAAGGTAAGAGATTCCCTCCAAGAAACTTTTGACATGAAACACGTCACATTTTTACATCTTCTTAATGGAAAGATTTTTTTTTCATACAATGGCTGAGTCAGTCCATTTCTGTCTTCCTCAGAGCTCAGCATCAGACTCCTAATGTTTTCCAGTTACAGTTTATGAGTGGATTGTCAATACAGTCACCCAGGCATTAATGGACATGGCCCCTAACAATTCTGGGGACATTTTCAGGAGTCTTTGGCCACATATCTGTTCGACAGGACTGTCATATCTGACAGTTAAGTGTTTGCCCAGTTAACAGTTGGCACCAGTGACGAATGTTACAGATGTTGTACTGATGTTATTATATGGTTCCTCTGTTCATGAATTAATCTATCAAATTATCATATTATCTTACTTGTCTTTGGGTAACTAATGGTCGTTTTCTGGCAATATAATTTTTAGCATCACTTTATATGAGAGGCATTTCTTCAGATTGCTTTATGCTCACAACAGAATTTACATTGCCAAAAAAATAAATTTGATCAGTTTGAATCATTTGGAATCATTACAGCACACACGCAGAAAAACTTGTGCTAGCACACGATTAGAAAGGCAAATCCTTTACTGGTTTCCAGTGACACATTTGTGCAAATGAGAAACGTTTCAAGCAGGAAAAAATACATTGAAAACATCTGTAAAGGAAGACGCTAAGCATTACGGACATGACAGCATGACACTCGCATTAACTTTTCATTACTAAGAGACTGACAAAACACATGATGTACAGTGATGGACACTGCTTTATAGCCACTCTGGTTATCTACCCTTTATCCAGACATTTCTAATTAACTAAGCTCCATTTAAAGCCCACTTCACCCCCTGCAAGGTCTACAAGTACTTTAGAGTGTGGAGTTTTTACTGAAATGATAACTTGAATGTATGTTTGTGCTATAATTCATAATCTGAGTGAACAGAAAGGTAATTTTTCTTTGGATTTAAAACCCTTTGCTACTTGTACAGTACGTGGAGTCCCATCCATTATCTTGTCTAGTTTGTCTAGATTATAAACCATCAAGTCACACCCTACATCTATTAAGACAAAAGATATATAAAAATAATGACTGACTTAATGAGTGCAAATCAGAACTGAAGCTGGCAATTCTGACATCTGTGTGATGCTGATGTGATTGCTGCTTTGTTTGTACTATTATCCTTTACTGTTAAAAAGGTGCAGTGAAATGCAAATGACAAAGTATTCAAATAAGTAAATTAACTTTTACAGCAGAGCATCTAAAGGAAAATCAGGGAATGTGTCTCAGAAATATGCTGTAGACATTAGTAGAATTAGATGTACCATGCTGTATTCAAAAGGCATGATATTAGGTTTCAGTGTTAAGGGTTCAAGAATGACACAGTTTAGTTAGGAACTAATATTGTGTGAAAGAATTGGATTTAAAGAATATGGCAGCAGGCTGTAAAACCAAAGTGCAAGATGTCAATTCAAAGTGTACATGTCCAGTGTGCTTTTCATGACAAGGAATTATTGGCTGTAAAGGAATGATTACACACAGTGATCAGTCAACAAATTCATCAACACTGACGTTTTTCTGGAGCAGTTTCTTATCTGCTTTAGTCAGGTACCAGAAGTACAACCAGTTTAAATTATACTGCTACAATAGCATACTGAAAGTTCTGTAGTAGTGATATCTAAACAAAAATATTAAGCTTAAAAAAAATAGAGCAAACCAGTGTAGAAGTTACTGTCCTATTTACAGCAACACGGGCAGCACAATTATAATTCAAGTCCAAAATATATTAGGATAAGCAGGAAATGCAGCATATATAAAAACACAAGCCTCACTTTGAGCTTGTACTGGGAAGACCGGGTGTTACAAACCTGCTGAATTAAAGCAATTTAAACCAAAGTAATAACTATGCTTGTTGGTGCAAAGGATTTGAAGAGCACTCCACCAACTTTCTGAAATGTTCTTAAGTCTGGTTCCAGTGTCTTAATCAGCAACAATGGGTTCTTGGTCAGTCCCCCCAACATCCTGAGCTGCGAACCAATCTCGCACTTGCTGGTAGCTCATTCTTGATTTCTTGCATAGAGAGTCAAGGTCTTTTTCATGTAGTGAGCCTGTTGAAAGGTAATATGTTACCAATGGCTGGACATCCGGGTAATCTGCAGTTGTTGCATTTGCTTGAGATTTTCGTTTCCGGCTACCCCCAGGCCGAGATGATGTCCCACCTCCGTTAGTTAAACCACTGCTACTTTGCTGGGCTGCAAGTTCTGCCAAAAACTGGTCGCGGACCCCCTTCACCCAGCGCAGCTGGCCGTTTTTCACAGCATACCGTGTGTCCCCAAACCACTGAATAACATCTGCCCGGGGTAAACCTGTAAGCTTAACAAGTTCAGTGTAATCTTCACTCTTGGGCCACTGGCAGCGTAAGAAGTGCTGCTTCAACATATCTAACTGCTCCTTGGTCTTTCTTGGTCGCCCAGCTGGAGTGAGGGCAGGGGATGTGGATGAGGGAGCTCCTGCGATGTGCAAGGGTGTTTGTGAGGGACTGGCTTTGGCTGAGTGGGCTGACTTCTTTGATGTGCTGATGCTGTTTGAAAGCGGTTTATTGGGCGAGGCAGTCAGTGGTGGGCTGCCAGAGGGGGAAGAGTGGGGAGAGGACCTTGTTATACCCAATGGTTCCTGTGGAACATCTGGCTCAATCTTGCAGGTCTTGGTCAGTTGTAAGGGTTGTTCTTCACTTAAATCCTCATCTTTAAAACTGTCCCCATCACCAGAAAGCTCCTCCATAACCTCATACCCTTCTGCTTCGTGGACCCTTTCCCCAAATGCTTCAAGGCTATTTGACAAAAAGGTCTGAAAGAAATGTGAATTTCTAATCCCATTGCTACGGGCTCCCTCCTGACCCTTCACCCCGTTTAGTTGACTTGTCTTCTGTGTGGTAAGTGGGAGAGGTTGAATTTGTTGATCATGTTTACCTCCAGCGTGCTGAGAGTAGTTCTGGGCTGCAGCAAGGCTTCCTCTGCCCACCCTAAGCTGGTAGCGGCTGTCACTGAACCATTTACGAATGTCATTGCGGCTCAGCCCTGTTTCTTCCTGCAAACGTCTGAGCTCTGCCTCCGCAGGCCAGTTCTCTCTCAGGAAGCTCTTCCGAAGGGCAGCGAGTTGAGCTTTAGACTTTTTGTAGCGCCCATGACGGTTCTGTCGTGACGATGACTCTGAAAGGTCAAGGGAGACATCAGCTCCTGTACTTGGTGGTGTGTCCGCTGGTGGGCGGTAGAAGTATGAATCCTGAGGAGGTGGGAGGGTGGAGCTGAAGCACGGGACAGAGGGTTTGGCTGGTTTGTAGGAATCTGGTGACTCACACTTTGGTTTCTTGTTTGGGGGGATGGAGAGAGTACGCTCAACTTCATCGCTATCCTTATCCTCAATTATCAATTCCTCGCAACTTCCGCTCTTCGTTTTGGTTTCTTCATTTGTTTCAGTAGAGTCATCACAAAGCTCAGGTACTGCCAGCTTTTGTCGTGTCTCCTCTATCTCCTCTGAGGACCAGCTGATACCATATTTAATTCTCTGAACCATAAACCACACCTTAACTTTGTCCAGTGGCAAGGCACATACCCGGGCCAGGGTGTTAACCTCACGGGATGATGGGTATGGAAATAAGTTAAAGGCTTGGACAAGCTCGGGGATTGTGTCAAGTTCACGGGTTTGATCGGACTGTGTCCATACCAATTTCAGTCCCTCTGACACTAGAGGCAGGCACACAACAGAGTTGTGGTTAGTGGTGAAACTAGCCACACCACTCGCGTTGCTTTCAGCTGAGTTGGCAGAGTGGCGCAAATCCACGGAGGAGCGTTTAACTCCAAGTTTTCCTTCACATTCTGTCTTTGTTACTTTTCCTTCAAAAGGCCCCTTCATGCTCAGAAGTTGTCCATTTCTGCCGTTATGTTCACTGTATGCTGCCATCTGGGGTATCAAAATAGGCTCTTGCACCTAGAAAAGAAAAAAAACACCAATTTAGTTTGTTTTTAACGTGTCTCAACTGCTAAACTGTTTTCACATCACAGATAACATCACTGTAGGGAGGGGGAAAAATTCTTCTGAGGAGTATGGACAGCAATACAGACTATGATGTTTTAAGAACTTTCAGTTCTCATTCATTCTCAAAGTCAATTATCTGACAGCTGTTTCCCCTTCCCCCTCTACTTCACACTCCTTATTCTGAACTCCCAGCGAAACTAGTCGTATACTCTGTCCAGACTGGGTTCCCCTCCCCCAACGAGTGGTGACTGACTTTTGTTTTGTGCGAGTGGGGGGATTGGGTCACAAAGGGTGGGTGCGTGGGGAATGGGGATCTATATGAGAAATCCATCACAGTCTACTTTCTCACCCTTTCCCAGTCAGGCTTTGTTCCACTCCCAAGTTCTCAGTCCCAAAAGATGAGTGTAGCCTCTTCACAAAGGCAAATACCACAAGAGAAACCTGTGGAAGGAGAAAATGAGTGGCATTAGTCACACTCAAGTCCAAGGCTAGGCACTCTATGCACGTAAACAGTATTAAACAGCAAAATTCATTCAGTCTTATCACTTGTGAAAAATGGTTTTAAAATATAAGGAATATAAATGCAATTAAGCAACAGGTGATAAGCCAGCACTTAAACACACCATGATGGAAATGTCAGCTTGGTAATCAGAAGGTTAAATACAAGGAATTGTGATTCAGACATTGTTTTAGTTTTTTTTTTTTGTTTCTTTTTACATTTTTTACTCACTGCAGTCGTTTACTAATTATACTGTTTGGGTGTTTAAGACTACTTATTTAACAGTGCCTTAGAAGTAACTGTGTACTCTCCATTTAGGTGTTGCTCTTTAATTGGGACAGCAGAGGGAATGTTTAGTTAGGTTACGCCATGGCCGACGATTAAGGTCGGTAGAGCCACGCAAGATTCTTTAAAGTGTAGCAAAAACATTAGCAAACAAATTATGAAACCACTGTATTAGTCATAGGTGACACATTAAAATCCAAGGGAAAGAGATCATGAGGTGGCCACTCCTGTGTTTGATGTCATACTTTAATGCGCTGTAAGAGTTTATAGGTAGTATCTTTGTTTTAGTGTGACAAAAAGCTATAAAAGTTGCTCTCGGTGCCAATCACAATAGCAGCCCAGTGTCTCCCCCCTTTATGGCGTACTAACTAAAACGCTTCACACTGCACAGGCGCACTTCGCCGTCAGACACGCTTCAGTGAAACATAAAAATAAACTTACCGAAAATGCCAAAATAACCCGCTATCCCCGAGGTCCGTTAGAGCGTGGAGCAAACAAAAGAAACCAAGAGTTACCCCTCTGTCGCTCAGCTTTTTATGGCCGAAGTTTAGGGAAAGACCAGGGAAACAATACCGTGTGTCTGTCGGTTTGACCCTTGTCTTATTTATCAAGCACCTCGACGGATTACGGTCGGGATACAAAGATGCGAGGCGACCAAGTTTGTCGCCTTTCGTATGAGTTCACTCGTCGGCTGAATCCTGCCGTAAAGGGTACAAATCTCTCAATCCGTGAGATACAGGACTAAATTCGAGTCGCCGTTACTTCGTCCTCGTCGGTCCATCCGTTGTTGCTTTTGTTCTTTAACTGAGAAGTGTTTTCGCTGTCCGGCCAGATCGAGGCGAGGCGGAGCTGAGGACCAGGAAGCCCAGAAGGCCCAACTCTCCCACAGTGACGGTGGGGTGGGTGTGCCAGTCTGGGAGAGCAGGCCATGGATTGGAGGGAGGAGGCGCCTGTATAATAAATCCGTGGCAGTAGGCTAAACGTTTTCACGTCAACCACCCACCAGTCCCCCCCCTCCCACCCCAAATCAGGCCCACAAACATTTGATACTATTTTCAAGTAGAATCATCATCTTAAGTTTAAACACTGAATCCATCCAATTTCTACTGTTCTTATGTGGACCCCAGGAAGACTAGCTCTGCTTTAGGGCACATCTAATGAGGATCCTTACAAATAAAAAATACCACTAAATAACAGGATTTGAATCATTTCTAATTTACTTAAAGAACCCCCCCTTGTAGCCTCCTCTAAGATCCATCTTCTGAGTTATCACTCCAGGGCCATAGTCACTACTCATTGCGATATTTTATGACAGTTTCTACTTTGCCAACAAAAAACTGAATAAAAAAGACAATATTTCATCAGGAATGTCTTTTATTTGCTGGTAGTACAGAGAAGGCTTTGAAACAGCATTTAAACCTTTGTGTTATCAATTACAACTTACAGAAAATAAAACCGAGCAGTTAATTGAGCATATAAAATATAAAATATGGAAAATCCATACAGTTAAAAGCATTTTAAATTGGCTGGGGGCTTGAACCCAGTTTTATAACATGATGGCTATGCCCCTGTAAAAGATTCCAAAGTATCACCAACATAAAGACCCAGAGATGTTCAGACATACTGATATACCCATGTTCTTACAGCTTGTGAGATTTTGTACTGTAAACAAGATGGAAGAATACAATCGATAGTGTTATAGTGATACTGTGGGTCCTTGAGCAACATGTTGAATTCTTATCATCTTCAGACATGATATACTGTATACCTCAGGGTCAGAGACAACAATTGTAAGTCATTGTTAATGCTAAATAACAAGATAGATATGATTCATCTGCAAGGGATTCAACGCTGGTTATTTAAGACATTTTCTTTTTATCAGTTTGAAAATGCCATCACTTTGTTATTTTGGCAGTTGTTACTGCAGTAGAAGTAGTGTTGTGTATATATAACAAACAAATGCAAAAATATGTAAAAAGAAATATACAAGCATCTATTTGTTTACATATCTATACCCATCTATGCACACACACACACAAACACACACATATACATAGATACATATATGCACTCAGTGGTTAAGGTTACTGACTTTGGCATGGAAGATCGAGGGTTTGATTCTGGGTAAAGGCGGGGTAACGCATGTCCAGACTGGACCCTTAGACGAGGTCCTGCTAGTCTACCTCAGGATGAATGAAACCGCAAACACATAAGTCATACTGGGGCAGACTCCTAGATTAACAAGGTCCACGTCAGGTGTTGGGGAAACCAGGGCAACATGATGAGAAATGAGCAGACACTGATATTTATATATATGTGTATATACATATATATATATATATATATATATATATATATATACAGTACAGGCCAAAAGTTTGGACACACCTTCTCATTCAATGCGTTTTCTTTATTTTCATGACTATTTACATTGTAGATTCTCACTGAAGGCATCAAAACTATGAATGAACACATGTGGAGTTATGTACTTAAGAAAAAAAGGTGAAATAACTGAAAACATGTTTTATATTCTAGTTTCTTCAAAATAGCCACCCTTTGCTCTGATTACTGCTTTGCACACTCTTGGCATTCTCTCAATGAGCTTCAAGAGGTAGTCACCTGAAATGGTTTTCCAACAGTCTTGAAGGAGTTCCCAGAGGTGTTTAGCACTTGTTGGCCCCTTTGCCTTCACTCTGCGGTCCAGCTCACCCCAAACCATCTCGATTGGGTTCAGGTCCGGTGACTGTGGAGGCCAGTTCATCTGCCGCAGCACTCCATCACTCTCCTTCTTGGTCAAATAGCCCTTACACAGCCTGGAGGTGTGTTTGGGGTCATTGTCCTGTTGAAAAATAAATGATCGTCTAACTAAACGCAAACCGGATGGGATGGCATGTCGCTGCAGGATGCTGTGGTAGCCATGCTGGTTCAGTGTGCCTTCAATTTTGAATAAATCCCCAACAGTGTCACCCGCAAAACACCCCCACACCATCACACCTCCTCCTCCATGCTTCACAGTGGGAACCAGGCATGTGGAATCCATCCGTTCACCTTTTCTGCGTCTCACAAAGACACGGCGGTTGGAACCAAAGATCTCAAATTTGGACTCATCAGACCAAAGCACAGATTTCCACTGATCTAATGTCCATTCCTTGTGTTTCTTGGCCCAAACAAATCTCTTCTGCTTGTTGCCTCTCCTTAGCAGTGGTTTCCTAGCAGCTATTTGACCATGAAGGCCTGATTAGCGCAGTCTCCTCTTAACAGTTGTTCTAGAGATGGGTCTGCTGCTAGAACTGTGTGGCATTCATCTGGTCTCTGATCTGAGCTGCTGTTAACTTGCCATTTCTGAGGCTGGTGACTCGGATGAACTTATCCTCAGAAGCAGAGGTGACTCTTGGTCTTCCTTTCCTGGGTCGGTCCTCATGTGTGCCAGTTTCGTTGTAGCGCTTGATGGTTTTTGCGACTCCACTTGGGGACACATTTAAAGTTTTTGCAATTTTCTGGACTGACTGACCTTCATTTCTTAAAGTAATGATGGCCACTCGTTTTTCTTTAGTTAGCTGATTGGTTCTTGCCATAATATGAATTTTAACAGTTGTCCAATAGGGCTGTCGGCTGTGTATTAACCTGACTTCTGCACAACACAACTGATGGTCCCAACCCCATTGATAAAGCAAGAAATTCCACTAATTAACCCTGATAAGGCACACCTGTGAAGTGGAAACCATTTCAGGTGACTACCTCTTGAAGCTCATGGAGAGAATGCCAAGAGTGTGCAAAGCAGTAATCAGAGCAAAGGGTGGCTATTTTGAAGAAACTAGAATATAAAACATGTTTTCAGTTATTTCACCTTTTTTTCTTAAGTACATAACTCCACATGTGTTCATTCATAGTTTTGATGCCTTCAGTGAGAATCTACAATGTAAATAGTCATGAAAATAAAGAAAACGCATTGAATGAGAAGGTGTGTCCAAACTTTTGGCCTGTACTGTATATATATATATATATATATGTGTGTGTGTGTGTGTGTGTGTGTAAATATACATGCAACAGCACTTCTGCTACTGCATAAAGGGGTGTGTGGTTACTTTTTAGTGTATTCCACAACAGATCACTAAATACTTGCCCTGAAATGTAATCTGTAATGTATTACATTACATTACTGAGACTAAATAGCCTATTCTGAATACTTTTGATTACTTTTGGAATAATTCAAAATCATTTTGCTCAGCTCATTTGTCTGGGTCTTATATTTCTATGACAAAAAACACATTCCTGACAGTGCCCTGGCTGTGCATCTCTTCTGCCAGACATGTGGCAGGTGCATTGCACACACTTTATTTAATCTTTATGCCAAATCTGTATCTCATATGAATTTTACACCATGTCCTAACAGCAAGCAATTGGTGCTCTCTGTCCACAATCAATCTGTTAAATATGCACTTTTGTTATGTCTTGTCAACAATCCACAAATCTATCAGCTGTGTGCTTGACTGGAAAGGTAACCACTTACAGATGGCAAGGGACTTGCTATCTTTCTATATTTATACACTTTAAAACAGAAAATACGCAACATGCAAGTAACCTGTTATTAGAGATGGTCATTTACAAGAAACTTTCAGCTGCCTGACAATATCCCTCCAGCCAGCTGCCACCTTATTTTTTAGTGTATTTATAGTGAAATGAAGATGTGATGTGTAGATAATTCCTCATTTTTAACTTCACAAACCAGTTGTTTCTAATTCATTGCGGAGCTTCAAAAGCAAGTGACAGGAATAAATAGCTACGGATTGTTCGACAAAGTACAACTCAAAACAGCACCGCTGCGTCACTCTTGGCCAGTTAGAATTATCTTCTAAAAAACAATGCAATCAAACTGATGCTTGCCTGCGTCGCATTCACTCAGCGGTGTTGGAGCAAGTAAAACAAAAACAAATAAAATAATCCCTTCAAATAATCTATTTTTGAAGACAGTAACTGTATTCAGAATACCACCAATTTAAACTGTAACAGAATACACTTAATCATATGTTGTGTTTCACATGGATGTGTATATGTAATGTATATGTATATGTTACTTTACTGCCAACATACTGTCTCTTCAGTACTGATAAAGGGAAATGTTTAGAAGCGGCTATTAGCCAGGGTGAGCACAAAGCGTGGCACACGTAAGAACGAAGGGACAAAAGCCGACAACCAGGAGAGGTATGGGACCTGAGTCAGGAGGAATTTTATGGAAGTGTAATCAGCTACGCTCCGTCCTGGAAATAAACACACGAATGAAATACTTTAATTACATGACTGTACTCAATAGTAAGTTGAAATCTTAAAAAACAAACAAACAAAACTTGAGACAGCTGATACAAACTTACCATCAACATCTTGTATCCCATAGCGCCTTGCCAGGTCACAAGTCAGGAGTACTTTCCCAGTCAGAGACATCTGATTTTTATCTTTCAGGCAGATAGAGAAACAAATATATGCTTAGTTTGTAATTGAACATTAATTTAACAAAACCTGTTGAACCTTCTTAGCAATAAAATCAGTTTGAAAGCATGAACAGCACATGCAGATCAAATATGTGCTCAAATGCTCACTTCCATGAGCTTTTTCATACCATCTAATACAGTACAGTCCTACCTGTTGCCAGGTTGACAATGCACATCCCACTCACTTCTGCAGATTCTGCATTGGCAAACATATCTCTTATAAACTAAACAAAAGAAAATCAAGAGATTTAGCAAAAAAACCCCAAAAACCTGAAGTACTGTGGATGTGGATTCTAGAGTCTACCTTGGAATCTGCACCCAGTGGTGTTTCTTTCTCAAAAACGAACTGAGACACCAACTCTGTTCGCACTGCTCCTGGCCACAGACTGACAGAAACCACTCCCCTACTTTTCAGCTCAACAGCCATGTCTGCTGCCAGCCTGTCACACTGGAAACAAACCACATAACAAAACAGGTTTTTATTACACTGAAGTCTTTCTATAGCTCATGTACTTGTGTTAATCAAGATTTGGGTCTTGATAATATCAACACAACATAAATCTAGAACTAAATGAGAGGAGAACTTACTGCAGCTTTACCAACACCATATGGTACACTGAGGATGTACTTCAGCCCCCCCAAAGATGAAATGGTGACTATCAAACCCCGACCTTGAGCCACCATCATCCGGGATGCATAAACTGAGAAGAAATAGTGGCCCCTGCCAGATAAATAAAAATAGAAATCAGTCAAATCATTTTTATACACTTATTTGTAAAATAAAGTGCAATTGAATACTGCATTAATTTACAGCAAATGTATCACTCTCCTGGTATCTTGTTTTGATCAATTCTCAAAAGAGCTAATATGAGGTGTTTTAAGACCAAACAGATCTTGGGAGTTCCCTGAGAACTACATACCTGTAACAGCTTTTTTGCTGTTTATGTTTGCACCACCAATAGGAACACTGAAGTGATGTAAGCTGGCTGACGGTTTGTTTAGCAACGTCACTTTTGCTTTGACAAGTATTTCTCCCATTGCATATATGCACAGCCTGGCCTTCACTGTCGGTCCAATTGTGCATGTTCCTCCATTTTTGTCTTTACAAGCTGTTGTCTGTGTTTCATGCTGTCTGTTGTTTACACGGCTAACAGGTTTTTAAAAATGGTAGTTGCCAGTGCTGCATTGGCTTGTGTTCAACTAATCGGCTCACACTAACATCTGGAGCAATCACTGCTCACTTGAGTCACTTAATGTCTTAAAAAATATGGTCGCTAACAAGTAGCTAAATGAGACTGCAGAGATTGTAGGTGGCATTGAACTTCATCACACTGAACCTGAACACTTAGTGGTAGTTACGCAGAAGTCATGCGACTGCATTGTAGTTTGTTTATATCCGAAGATTAGCTTTTTACTTCTAGTGATTGCATTTATGCTTCAAAAATCACAAAAATTGTGTAAATCTGTGAAGACTGTCAATGTAAAGGTCAAGTCAAAGTTTATTTTAGCCCACTATCAAAGCATGCCTTAATGAACATGTATCATAAACACGTGCTTGCAACAGAACTTATTTTCTGGAGTAATCAAGAATCCAATGGAAAAATCCCAATGACTTTCTGTTGAGGGAACCAGGGTGACCGTAACTCCCACGTTGGCCTCCAAAAAAACATCACTGCTGCACCACTATATTGGAGCTAAAAATAAGTCCCTCAGAAAGACATTCTGAGAACTACGATCATTACTAGTTCTTGCAGTGTGGACACAGTTAAAAAAGGGGGTTCTTAGCACTATGTTCTAAGAACTAGGAAAAAGTTTTATCTGGTCCGCAAACACCTGCTACCAGAGTAAAGTCATGCTGGGCCCAAAACAAACAAAAAAAAAAGACATTGTTGACTTATCAGATATGACTAAACACAAAAGCATACCTGAGGCCTGCATTGTTGATGGAATCCCAAATGGACGGATCAGTTTCCCAGAACTTCTTCTCCATATTTTCGAAGATATCCTGGAATAACACATCATGTTTAGAGTTTAAGTGAAAAGGCCACCAGTGGGCAGTTAATGGTTGGTGCTCTTTAATGTCATTCTATTTCATTCACACAGCTTTACTCCGTGTTTCATGTCAGTGCAGTATACATACCTGTACTCCAGCATAGGCATTGTTAACGAGGATATCCAGCCTGCCATTCTGTTCACGTTTGAGCTGTTCAAAAAGGTCTTCAATGTCTTTGTCTTTTGTAGAATCACAGACAACTGGTACACAGTTGCCACCCCTCTCCTTAACCTGTGTTGGGAATGAATACAACCCCAGTTCTAAAAAAGTTGGGACACTGTTTAAAACGTAAATTAAACAAAATGATTTGCATATCCTTTTTTTCAAATACAGTACAAAGATATTTCAAAAGATTGAATGTTCAAACTAATTATGATTTTGTTTGCACTTTTTTATACACCCATTCTGAACGTGATGCCTGTAACATGTTCCAAAAAAGTTAGGACAGGGGCAACAAAGGACTGGGACAGTCGTGAAATGCTCAAAAAAATCTGAAACATTCCACAAGTGAACAGGTTAACTGGTAACAGATGATAGTATCATGACTGGGTATGAAAGGGGCATCCTTGAAATGCTCAGCTAGTCACAAGCAAAGGTAGCGTGAGGTTCACCACTTGGTAAAAAAAACTGCACGGCCAAATAGTCAAACAGTTTAAGAACAACAAGAAAATCAACATGAATGCCCATGATCTTTGAAACCCCTCAGGTAGCACTGCATTAAAAACCGAAATGATAGTATAAAGAATATTACCACATGGGCTCAGGAACACTTTGGAAAACCATTGTCAGTAAACACAGTTTGCCTCTGTATGTACAAATGCAAGTTAAGACTCTATCATGCAAAGTGAAAGCCATATATCAACAACAGCCAGAAGCACTGCAGACTTCTTTGGGCCTGTGCTCATCTGAGATGGACTGACAAAGTGAGAAAGTGTGCTATAATCTGAGGAGTCCACATTTCAAATTGTTTTTGGAAATTGTGGATGTCGTGTACTGGGCTAAAGAGGAAAAGGACCATCCAGACTGTTACCAGCACAAAGTTCAAAACTAGCATCTATGATTGTATGGGGGCATATTAGTGCCCATGGCATCATGAGTAATTTGCACATCTGTGAAGGCACCATGATGCTAAAAGGTACATACAGGTTTTGGAGTAACATATGCTGCCATCCAGATTACGTCGTTTTTGGTGGATGTCCCTGAATTATTCCAGCAAGACAATGCCGAGCCACATTCTGTAACTGTTCCAACAGCTTCTTAGTTAAAGTGTGCAGACACTAGACTGGCCTGCCTGCAGTCCAGACCTGACTCCCATTTAAAGTTTGAAAAACATTTTAAAGTGCAAAATATAAACGGAGACCCCAGAAATGGGAAAGTATTTCATTTTCAAAACTTCAACAGCAAGTGCCCTCTGCCTGAGTGTTGTTTAAAGAGAAGGTGATGTAACACAGTGGTAAACATGCCCCTGTTCCTTGTTTTTTGGAACATGTTGTAGGCATGAAAATCAGAAAGCGTGTATATTTACAAGAAAACAATAAGGTTTAACAGTTTAAACATGACATATTTTGTCTTTGTAGTGTATTCAAGTGAATATAGGTCCAAAAGGATTTGCAAATCAACACATTGTTTTTATTCACATTTTTACACACAGCCAAACTTTTTTGGAATAAAAGTTGTACATCAGCTGTGAACCATAGTGACATATCCTGACTGAAACACCACTACTATAGTCCAGAGACTGGTTAATGGACATTACTTTTGCCCCTCTAAAGAGCTGTCTGATGAAGTGCTTAGAAAAAACTTAATCTCAAAATGTCACCTGTGCAGCAGTTTGTTTCAGAGTCTTCTCCTGGCGCCCTGTGATGTAGACAGTGGCTCCTGCCTCAGACAGCTGGAGAGCTATGCCCCTGCCAATGCCTCTGGAGGCACCTGTTACTACACACACCCAGCCAGACAAGGACATTTTTCCTGGGGGAGGAAACAACACCCCACACAATAAGTAGTGAGCTCAAATACACCATGTTAACAAAAAGTTTCATAATAAAGTTAAATATTGATTTTACTTGAGGGTCTGTCAGTTTAGTATGATAAGAGGTCAACTGGGAAGTTACTATGACGTGATTTAGATAAATTTTACATTCATAGTCATTAAATTAACAGATGATAAATTTAATAATATTACAGGAGGTCTGTCAAGTTGATTATTAACATTAGTAGGTAGGCCTATATCTGTTAAGTATGGTCAGAGATCAACAATATTTTACTTTGTTAGGTCAAAATTCTCGTTAAAATAACTTCAATGATGATAGAAAGTTTAGTCAAAGTCTAGAGACTTTTAGGAAAAAGTGACGTCTCCTTTAGCTAGACTTTTTATGAAATCGTAAATAAGGCTCACCACTCTTGTTCGACACGGACTGTTAAATAAACTTTAAAGTCTATACAACTCCCCCAGATGAATAGAAAACATTCATTCATACCTTATACAGAAAGTGCTGGATCTGGTCCGTCAAGTCCCGATAATAGTTTTTCAAGAAAACGTATCGGTAGAAATGTCACTGCTGGGGCGTGCTACTGTTAGGGTATCCGACAATAACAAGATTGTCAGGGCAATTTTCATAGGACATTTCAGATTACCGTATCTAGCGTAAATATCGCGAGACGACGCCAGACGAGAGTGGCGTAAGATTGTGACGGAGCATTCACATAGGCATAGTTCACTTGAACTCTGTTTTGAACATCAAATATGTATTGAAATGACTGAAAACCAGCTGCAGGTGCCGTCATTGACCCATACACTCTTGTCCAAGTTGTCTGCTGTCGTAGTGCAGTCCATAACATTTTACATAACGATAAAAGGCAGTGAACTATCTTACTTGTGAGTGTTGGAGGTAGTCTTTGGGTTGACTTCCAACATTTCACACACGATGGCGCTATAGTCTTCCTAAAAATATCTGAATCAGTTATGTCGTGTGTAAATGAGGACCTGTTTGTGAACAGTAGAAACAGCAGAAGCAGGACTGAATAGTGGTGTTTGTTTTAGCCTCTTATAGGGCTTATCTTTCAGAGCTGACACCTGTTACAGTAATTCAGGAACATTTTGTGATCTACAGGGATGTGCAATCATTTTGCTGCTGTAGTACTGTAATTCACAGCATGCTTTTTTGTCTATGCCATAATGTCTAACTAATTGTTCCCATGTTTGCACATTAGTGTGTGGATTGTTGTCTAGTGTGTTGATGAATGTAGGCCAACATCTGTGAAACCAATCTCTTTGGTTGTTTTTTAATGCTATTTGTCTTTCTATTCAGATGTACTCAGATAGTAGAAGAAGCCACTGGGATGTGTCATTCTTTTTTAGTGAGACTGTCTTTTTAGTGATTGTTGGGCCAACCAGTATGGGTTGTTCACAGTTCTGTGGAAGTTCAACTTACCAACATACTGTGGTCCATGGTTGTGGTCAGTGTTCTATTGATACTGTGGGTCCTTGCACAATATGCTGAATTAATATCATCTTCAGACATGATGTTCTGTCACAAGAAAACAGGGCAGCTGTATTTTAGTAATTTACTGTATATCTCAGAGTCAGAGGAAGTAATTATAAGTCACTGTCAATGCTAAATAATAGAATAATATGGACAAGATATATATAATTCTTTCTGCAAGGGATTCAACCCTAAAAAACATTTTTCCATCAGTTTAAAGATGTTATTACTTTCTTATTTTGCAAAAATGAATGAAAAGTGTAAACAGCAAAGAGTTAACAATTCTTTATTTAACCAGCTGTTACATAGCCGGTCAAATACCATAGTAATAGCAATAGTAATAGTAGCAGCAGCAGAAGTGGTGTTGTGTGTATATATTTATAGGACATTTAGTAGAGATATAACAAACAAATGCAAAAATAAGGGAAGAAATACACAAACATTTCTATGTTTATAAAATGTGTTGTCTTAAAGTAGTTGTGATTTTATGTACTGCGTAAGAAAATACATAACATGTAGTCATAAAAATACATTCCTGTTTTCACAATTTGTGGCTTCACCCACAGCTGACATTGGTGTAAATGTAAAATTTTAAAAATATATCAGAGCATCCTTCATGTTCACTTTTTTCCCTTAAACTTCATAGAACTGCATTCATTCAGTACTCAAGTAGGAATTAATGTGTGTGTGTGTGTGTGTGTGTGTGTGTGTATTTACAGTTGAAACCTCTTACAGTGATCACGTCTGTCCAAGTCAAATTGATCAGGATGAGCAGATAATTATTATTATAACTCATTTTTTCCTTTATTTTTCATGCACATTACCATCTAACTGGTGTTTCTATATTTATTACATTGATATAAAGTAATAAAACTAACAGCTTTGCAACAAAGAGCCCACTTAAGGGGGCATTATCAATCCACTTGACAAGGGCCGCCTCAACCACAGGTGATTTCCCTGTGCGCATTAATTTTCTGTCTCCATCACTAGCAACCATGATGGGTTTTTTTTAATCGTTGTTTGAGTAGACTACAAAATGTTTTACTGCTGCACCTTGGCTTGATTTTCAGGTAGCCAGCTGGAAGCAGACAGGTTTCCACGAGGGAGTAAAGTATATATTAAAAAAAAAAAATAGATCTACTGTTTTTAATTTTATTTGCTTATGATGTACGGTGTCATGTATGAAAAGACCCAAAATGAACACAGTAAGCGGACTGCTGGATTAATATTAGCAAATAACTAAAACAGCATTAGTGTAGGAATGATTCTGCCCCAAACTTTTTGTTCCATATAAAAGGTTGAAGACTGTAGCCGTGATCAATATAAGCAGTTTCCACTGTATAGGTTGTATATAATAACCTGAACAATTCTCCTTCAAAAAATATTGTTGTGTTTGGCTTCTTGTCACCATTAACCGTTAGTAGTGGAATTCATCCACCACCACATGGCAACTATAGGTTTAGCTAGAATGTGGACCTTGCAGTTGAAACACAGTGTGGTACTGACACTTCAGTGTTGACATACAACTGTGGGAAATGTTTAGAACCGGCTATTAGCCAGGGTAAGCACAAAGCGTGGCACATGTAAGAATGAAGGGACAAAAACCGACAGCCAGGAGAAGTATGGGACCTGAGTCAGGAGGAATTTTATGGAAGTGTAATCAGCTACACTCCGTCCTGGAAATAAACAGATGAATAAAATATTCATATTACATGACTGTACTTAATAGTAAGTTGAAATCTTAAAAAAAAAAGCAAACAAACAAACAAAACTTGAGACAGCTGATAAAAACCTACCATCAATATCTTGTATCCCATAGCGCCTTGCCAGGTCACAAGTCAAGAGTACTTTCCCAGTCAGAGACATCAGATTTTTATCTGTCAGGCAGATAGAGATTAAATCAGTTTCTGAAAGCATGTTACAACATTTGAAGATCACATAAATGCTTAGATGCTCACTTCTATTAAGTATATTCTGGCTTGCATTTAAGCCTCCATGTAACAATCTGACCATCTAATGCAGTACAGTCCTACCTGTTGCCAGGTTGACGATGCACATCCCACTCACTTCTGTGGATTCTCCGTTGGCAAATACATCTTTAAACTGAACAAAAGAAAATCCAGGGATTTAGCAAAAAACTGAAGTAGCTACTGTGGATATGGATTTGCTATTAAATGAAGTGACTACCTTGGAATTTACACCCTGTGGCGTTTCCTTCTCCAAAACAAACTGAGACACCAACTCTGTTCGCACCGCTCCCGGCCACAGACTGACAGAAGCCACTCCCCTACTTTTCAGCTCAACAGCCATGTCTGCTGCCAGCCTGTCACACTGGAAACAAACCACAAAACAAAACTGGTTATTACAATGACCTATTTTTATAGCACATGTACGTGTTTATCAAGGTATGGGTCTTGGTAATATCAACATAAATCTAGGACTAAATGAGAGGAGAACTTACTGCAGCTTTACCAACACCATATGGTACATTGAAGAGATACCGCAGCGCCCCCATAGATGAAATGGTGACTATCAAACCCCGACCTTGAGCCACCATCATCCGGGATGCATGAACTGAGAAGAAATAGTGGCCCCTGTCAGATAAATAAAAATGGAAAATCAGTCAAATCACTTTTATCTCACTATGTTTCACTTCACTCATCTGGTTTCTGCTTGTGTTATGTATTCTGACACAGCTAATACTGACAAAAAATTCTTGCTGAACTCGAAACTAAAAACAGACAATGACAAATTGAGTAACAGCTGTTGTCTGGAAAACTGTCATTAGACACGAGGAGATGACTCGGTTGACGTATCAGACATGACTAAACACAAAAGCATACCTGAGGCCTGTGTTGTTGATGGAATCCCAGATGGCCGGATCAGTTTCCCAGAACTTCTTCCCCATATTTTCGAAGATATCCTGATATAACACATCATGTTTAGACTTCAAGTAAAAAGGTCACACAGCAACTTAATGTTGTTCGATGTCATTCACACAGCTTTACTCCGTGTTTCATGTCAGTGCAGTATACGTACCTGTACTCCAGCATAGGCATTGTTAATGAGGATATCCAGCCTGCCGTTCTGTTCACGTTTGATCTGTTTAAAAAGGTCTTCAATGTCTTTGTCTTTTGTAGAATCACAGATAACTGGCACACAGTTGCCACCCCTCTCCTTAACCTGTGTTGGGAACAAATACATCAGCTGTGAACCATAGTGACAAAACCTGATAAACATTACTACTGCTACAATACTGTGGGCTCCATTTCATGTGCAACAGTTTCTAAGTCTTCCACCAGACATGGTCTGTAGGGAGGAATCGTCATTTTTGTGAGCTGAGGCTACGGATCACAAATTGATGGCACCATTGTCAGCAAGAGACTGCTTAAAGGACATTACTTTTGCCCCTCTAAAGAGCTGTCTGATGAAGTGCTTAGAAGAAACCTAATCTCAAAATGTCACCTGTGCAGCAGTTTGTTTCAGAGTCTTCTCCTGGCGCCCTGTGATGTAGACAGTGGCTCCTGCCTCAGACAGCTGGAGAGCTATGCCCCTGCCAATGCCTCTGGAGGCACCTGTTACTACACACACCCAGCCAGACAAGGACATTTTTCCTGGGGGAGGAAACAACACCCCACACAATAAGTAGTGAGCTCAAATACACCATGTTAACAAAAAGTTTCATAATAAGTTAAATATTGATTTTACTTGAGGGTCTGTCAGTTTAGTATGATAAGAGGTCAACTGGGAAGTTACTATGACGTGATTTAGACAAATTAAATTCATAGTCATTAAATTAACAGATGAATCATGATCACTTGGATCATTACAGTATATCAGTAGCCTATCAGCTATCGACTACACATGCACAATGCTGAGTAACAGTGACTGGACCAAATGTGATTGTGTAAGGCAAATCATAGCTCTAGATTTCAAGTGAACTATGGACCTTATATAAGGTCGCACTTTCTTGTTTTTATAATATATCAGCTCATTTATTTTTCAGCAACAACTTGAGTTTATTTTTTTTTTTGTGCGTGTAACGGTATTTTTTTTAAGACATAAGTCTTCTCGTTAAAATAAGATAGTATTAAAAAAAACTTAAGTCGCGTTTAAAGATTCAGTCAAAGCTTGAAGACTTAAGGAGAAACGGACGTGTCGTTTATCTAGAAGATTTAATTATATTCTATATTATAGCTATATACCAATAATCATCATCGGAGAGACTTGTTATTTAACCCAGATTGTATAATCAACTCAAAGTCTATACCATTAGCTCAAAATCATAAAATCATTCATACCTTATAACACAGAAAGCGGTGGATCTGGTCTGTCAAGTCCCGGTAATAGTTCGTCGGAGGAAACCGACAAGGAAACGTATCAGTAGAAATCTTACAGCTGGTTTGTGCTACTGCTGTGATATCCGACAGTTAAAGGCCCAATGTGTATCGGGTCACTACAGCTAGCGTAAATATCGCGAGAAGACGCGAGACGAAGCAGAGAGTGCAGTATTCAGACGGCTGAGCGGGCGCTAACTTCCGGCTTCGCTTTACTTCTGGTGAACACGTTTTGAGCAGCAACTATTTCGTAAAATGACTGAAAACCAACGGCAAATGTCGTGTTTGACCCATACAAACGAAAAAAAAACCTTTGGTGCAAGTTGCCTTTTGGGTGATATTCCGGTTTAACACAGTTGTAGGCTGTTGTGGTGATGTTTATACCATTTTATATACGACAAAAATCTCTGAATTATCTTGGTTGTCGGAGGTGGTCTTTGGTTTTTCTTCCAATATACCACACACGATGGCGCTATAGTCTTCCTAAAAATACTAGAATCCGTCTTGTGTGTGGGAAGGTCGAGTTTTTCACAGTACAAACAGTAAAGTAGTGCTTATATACAGGGAGTATACGGGGTATACCCATTTCTTTTCTGGCCAGTTACAGTACACTCACCTATTAGTCAAATGGCCATTGGAATATAGTATACCAAGAGAAGGAGAGTATACTAATCTCCTCCTCTGTAACCTATCTACACCCTCCGTATCAACTACCCCTACACCACTGCTTGTAGTGATGTTTGTCTTTGACTGTTTCACAGAGTCATATTACAATAATGGAAATTCCACATTATTTCTAGTTTATACTTCACGTTGCTGCTGCATATGCAGTCATTTCAGTATTAACTTTACAGAGCTGACATAAAATAGTAATTCAGGAACACTGGTGTGATCTACAGGTATGTGCATTCTTTACTGCTGTAGTGATATCACTGTAATTCACAGCATGCATGTTTTTTCTGCCCTATAATGCTAAGCTAATTGTTCCCATGTTATTATTGCCAGTGGATCTGTTGGCACTTAAGTGTGTGGCTCTATTGTCTTGGGTTGGCATCAATATTTCACGTAAATAGTAGGGCTACTGTTTTCTTCCTACTAAATAATTTGAATTTAGTCTGTCAAGTGTACCAGAACACATGAACTGTCCTGTAGGCATACTTTGTATGCTGTTTCTTTTTGTTTTTGTAGTGCCAGTTAAATACATTGTAAAGTGATTAGTTAAGACAGGCCCTGAAACAGAACTCTGCCTCCTCCTGCCAGTCTCATCCTTATATCAGATCATTGGACAGTATTGCCACAAAATTTTTTGTTTGCATCCCCAAATAAAGCATTTTTACTATACTAAAAAAGTAATAGCTGATACACAGTACACTATAGAGTGACTGTAGGTGCATCTTATTGATGGACTTCCCATTTGGAAATTAGTTTGTTTCAGTTAACAAGAGCTCTGTATAGATTTTGCTTTTAATAAGACCTAGAGAAAAAAAAAGCTGGTATGGGCTCACAATCACATAGAACAAGTTTGCAATAGAGACAACTTATTAAACATACAGAGATCACCTGGTAGTTGAGAACTAATAGAACACAAATAAATTGTCACTAAGCATTCCTAATTTGCTATTTTCATTAATATCAAGCCAGACTCTAAGTACTGTAATGCTGAATCATGATAGTATGTAATATTTTGCATTGTGGTCAACAAGTTGCAGAATACTATATTTTTGCTCTGGTAAAAATTTTTGAATCACTTGACTTTTTTTTTGTGGGGCTGCATGGTGGTGTAGTGGTTAGCACTGTCGCCTCACAGAAAGAGGGTTCCTGGTTCAGCCCTTCTGTGCGGAGTTTGCACGTTCTCCCCATGTCAGCATGGGTTTTCTCCGGGTGCTCCAGCTTCCTCCCACAGTCCAAAGACATGCAGGTTAGGTTAATTGATGACTCTAAATAGTCTGTAGGTATGAATGTGAGTGTGAATGGTTGTCTGTCTCTATGTGTCAGCCCTGGCAGCTGTCCAGGGTGTACCCTGCCTCTCACCCAGTGTCAGCTGGGACAAGCTCCAGCCCCCCCCCCCCCCCCCCCCCCCCCCCCCCCCCCCCCCCCCCCCCCCCCCCCCCCCCCCCCCTCCGCGACGTTAAAGAGGATAAGCGGTTACGAAAATGGATGGGTGACTTTCTTGTCTGTTTTTTTTTTCCCTTATCTTCTTTGTAGACTCACTCTGGTGATATCATAATTCCCAGCATAGCTTCATCCAGTGCCAATCTAAACAGAGATCTGATCAATAACTGGACACACTTGTTTGTGTGCAGGGGCGTTTTGTTTTTCCTTTCTTTTTTTTCTGGGATTTTAGGATTTGTGACATAAAAAGTTAAGTGGGACAGAAGTCTTCAGTCTCATTTAATCCAATCACACTAAGATATTCTTTTTGTCTTATTATATGGATATAGTCACAGGTTGGATAATTGCCATGATGTTTGTGATAGAGTATTCCATGGTGTTTCATTCAACTGCAGGCAAGCTTAGAATAAGTGGCTTGATATAATTTATGTTGTAGCTGTTGCCTTCTGAAACTTGCATACATATATATGGAGTGTAGCTTTATGATTCAATGACATGCTTTGTCATGGATGCACCTTTGTTATTGGAAATCCACGAAATGTTTGTTTAAGGATTGAAATTGCACTTACAGTTTTCTGCATTTAAAACATGTCTACGATTAGTGGAGTGAACTGTGATTTGCGCAGTGTGATGTGTGTAAAGCTAGTCCAGAGTCTTACATGTCAAGTTAAATTAAGGTTGATCTTAGCTTTGAAAATGTTAGGACTACATTAATGTCAGGGTTATGTGGGCATTAATGACAAAACAAAGTCAGCAACAGGGACAACTTGTTGAACTTAAACTATTTATCACCTGATAAATAGTTTAAGTTCAACAAGTTAAACTTAAACTATTTATCACCTGATAGTAGAGTATTAACTGGTTACTGGCATCTTACTGGGAAAAAGACCAGAATCGAAAACATTTTGTCAATCATTATCAACGCCTCCACAGGAAATACTGTAAACATGGGAAGAAGCTCAGACCACAACTCAAACAAAGCAAGTTATTCTATACAAGTAGGTTGACACAGCTCTTTTTTAGTTTGCAAATACAAGCTTTTGCAAAGAGTTTATTTTCATTTGTCACCGTCTTGCTTTAAAAAAAAACACAAAAAAAAACAACAATTGGGTGCTGTTTAGAAGTCACCAAAAAAAAAACCTCAAAGACTCACAGTCACACAGCATGTATCTCCAGGATGACACATATTTCATTGTGTTTCAAGAGCATTCCTTTTTTTAAAGTTATTTATTAGAAAGTTGACAAGAGACCCATGTCAGAGAAAAGATTTTGTGGTTACGTGGTGTATACAGTAATCTACTGTGCACTACATATAGATTGCCAGGCCAACAGAGGAGCACAAGAAAATATTTTTAAATTAAATTCTTATTCACCTTTATGCATGCCACTATACAACTCTTGGACCCTTTTAATCATTAATCCAGTGTAAATAGATGTGTTTGTCAATTATGACCTGACACTTGCAGAATTTGTCACTTTAATTTCAACTTGACTTGTCACCTAAACATTGTTTGATGTTTCCATTTACTTCAGTTTCCAGTCTATATATTGATGGTGCCATGTGAAGCTATGATAATGCTTAGATCTTACCCTTAAATTTGTTAAGGTTATATGTTCTTCATTACAAATAGTTTAGAGTCAGGACGGACTGTTGACATGGAGACATTATAGATAGATGGACTGGATGGTGGCACACAAACAAAGCATTCTTCTCCACACTTTGTAAAAATGAACTACAGAGTGCAGTATTCATCAGCCTCCTGCCTGGCTTGCTTTGTGACTGATTTTTAAATATTGGTCCACTAGGACAGTAACCTTGATTGAGTGTTACCACAGTGTTTGTTGAGCACAAATAAAAAGTTTTGCAATATCTAATGCAACCTCTTCTTCTTTGGATGGACGTAGATTTTAGCTTTTTGTCAACGTAGGCATTTGTCTGTTCCTCCTTATTTGGGAGACCACCAACATCTGCAGACATTGATCATTCAGTGGCATATAAAAAGCATTAGGTTGAAGAGGGACATTTTAGACAAGCAGTACAATGGCTGGGGGTTCCCGCATCATTTGGATTCCCGTCCTTCTCTCCTGTGTCTTTCAAGCTTCTGACAACAGACATGGTAAGTCAAATCAATTTTATTTATCTAGCCAATATCACAAATATTCCTCAAGGGGCTTTACAGTTTGTATAGCATACAACACCCTCAGGAAGAGCAACCGAGGAGAGATCCCTCTCCTAGGATGGACATATAATAGATTTCGTTTGTACAGAAAAGATCAAAATAATAAAATGAGAGTATGGATGACAATATTATGAAAACACTGTAAACATGGAACAGTAATCCATGTGTAGTTCTGTTAGTAAGCAGTGAATAATATGTAAATATTTTAAACTCCTAACAGCTACATTAAGTGTTTATGTTTAATGGTCTCTGTTTCCCCAGTCCATCAGGGCTATGTAATTGGCCGTACAGGAAACCCAGATGTGGACCAAATAATTTCAAAAATCCCAGTGAGTCCTCAAAACTGTTACTTGTCATATGAAATAAACACATTTATGCAGCAATTTGGCCAATCCTTACAATGCTCTTTCTCTTTCAGATAACAATTCCAGAGGGAATTGATCCCAGGAATATCAATGTAACTGTAAGTAACAACAACAAAAAAAAAATTCAAGAATGTTTTTTTAATCTACTTTTCGTATTTATGTCAACTAATCCAATGTATTTTGTTCTCTCACAGTCAGTTATTATCAAAACTTGTACTGGTGAGTCATTTATATGTAAAGTCTCCCATTTCAAATACAAAAAATGGTTTAGCTTGATGTAGAGACCATATTGTAACACTTAATAAACGTATTGCGACGTACTGTCTCTATTATCTTCCTGAATTACCACAATGCCTTGTCAGGTATGGAGGAACAGGTGGCACAGCTTAACAGTCAGCTTCAGCAGACAGCTCTCCGCAACAGACAGCTAGGTGAGTCTTCATCCAGAATCTGGGGTACACCACTATTTCAAACTATTGCTCTGATATAACCTGCACTCTTTCTGACAGATAATGAAGCCTTTGGGTTGAGGAGGGAGGTCAGACTGCTGAACCTGCAGCTTGCCACATGCAGCTCGACAGCCTCAGCTATTACTGGCTGTAAGCTTTAGACTGTAAATCATACTCTGCTTCTATGGCACATGTTTAGACGATACACATGGATAAAATGCTAAACTGTGTCTTTAATTCCTGGACAGCTTATCAAACCCAGTTACTCAACAAAATGAACCAACTCCTGGAGACATTTGATAGTGATGCATTTCTGAGTAAGTTTGCCTGACTTCGAGTTGAACCGCTCATGTTTTGTTTATCGTTTTGCAGTACATGTCACTTTTCATTTCTTATAGCAATGCAAAGTTTCAGTTTGGTCAAATGAAAATGTTTGTTTTCTTTCTAGCCCTGAAAATCATTGCACTCACAAGGGAGGTGAGTGCATTACAAAGGAAGGTCAATCATGCTGCTAATTCTACGGAACCTACTGATATCAGAGGTGAGTGTTGCTTTGCTCTTTATCCGCTGGAAAAGTCTTCACAATTTAGCATCGTATCCTCCTTTTACCTCTGACACAATAAACATCAATATCATTTTCAACTATAAATATTTTAGCTTGGCTCCAACTGCTCGATATTTTCATCTGCACTGCTAGTTCTGCTTGGTGTGTCTGTGGGAATGGCTTTGTTAGATAAATCAACTAAATGTCTTTGATTCCAAACCCGTGTGCCAGCAGTGCTGCAGAGAGAGCTGCAAGACAAGATTGATGAACTGAACGTGAAGACGCAGCAAATTAAAGGAAGCCACACAAACTCAACACTGAGTAAGAATGTTTTATTTTTAAGACATTTGTAGAACAGTTGTGAGCAGTGGTTAAGTCTCAAGATGCTGATTTGTACAAACATATAGTCTGTATGAGCTGCACGGTAGTAAATGGCTTTGATTTAACTTGGTTTTTGTGTGTGTGTTTAGTTCTTCAGATCATCTCATTGCAAAATCAGATCTGGGACTTGGAGCGTGCAGAATCTAGAGGAGGAGAAACAAGTCTTCAGGCCAACAAGAGAATTCAGGGTAAATTGCTGCACATGAATGAGATATCTACACATTATGATTTGAAAATTGCCCGTCTTTAATTCAGGACCATGCGGCAACATCTTGGATTGAGAAATGAAGCCAATGCAGAAGCGCTAGAAACTGCAGTTCCTCAAACAGCCACTTGAGGCTGGCTCCAAAAGCGAATCAATCAAGCCCATGTGAAAATGCCCAGCTTTACAGGAGAAATACATGTTAACAGCCTGGTACAGAAACAGTTTCAGACTTTGTAGCTAATTTAAACATCCATGGCAACTGTACAGGGGATGAATTTTTATATAAGTCACCCATTTACATTTTATTAAGGCTTTAAGTTACGTATAATTAAGGGTGAGTCCACTTGAGTGACAGGCTGTCTGTCACAGCATTCTATGAGTCAGATTTACCCCTCCCTCCTTAAAAGCTCCAACCCTCATCCGCATTTGGTCATTTCTGGCTCTAAAACACCAAGATGGCACGGCTGAAATGCCAAACTTGAGGCCTCAAACTGGCTGTCCACAAACCTGTGGGTGACATCACAGTAGCTACATCCATTATTTTGTACAGTCTACATTATTTTATACAGTCTATGTTCAGGACGTATATCAGAAGTCAGGCTTTTGAGACAAGAACACCCAGTTAGCAAGAACAAATTTTCCTTTTTCAAATTGAAAGTTGAATTCATGAATAAATGCACGTCAACCTTACTTGATCCGGTGTTACCAGTAGCTTATGCGGCTAATGGTAGCAAACTTTAGGTAAATATTCATAGGCGCCGCCAAGGGGTGGCCAATGGGGGGCATGGCAGTTTTGAGATGAACTTTCCCTTGTAGACTCTTCCCCATCTGTGAAACTATGAACATTTGTTACAGTTAGTATTATTACATAAGTGTCATTTGTTGCCCCTTTTTGTGAAAGTTACATAGTCCCTTACACCATGTCACTTTATATGTTCTTTCTGCTTTTTCAGTTTTGTTTTGCAGGAATTCATCTTTTAGCATTAAATGTTTCATGATTTGTTGTCTTCTTAATTCCACTTCATCAGCTCTACAACAACAGCTTGACAGGGAGCTCAGTGAGCTGCGAGGCAAAGGAGATGCAGAATCAACTAGTCAGTATATTTTCTCTATATTAAACAATGTCAAAGGTTTGGGGTGCAACTTTTCCTGACACAAATTCTCTGCTGGTGCTCCAGTGCTGGAGCTGATTTCTGTGCACAGTAAGATTGCAGCAGTGCAGAGGCTCATCAGTGTCCACATTGAGGAATCCAGGAATAATGCTGCTGGTGAGTCCCTGTACTTTGTGTCCTGTCTTTGTCTCGTAGTGTTGTAGTTCCTGTGTAATCTTGTACATGACAAACTTAATGTTACCAAAGCTTTATTGTTGTTTCTTTTTCAGATTACCAGAGGCAGTGGAGGCAAAGAATTGAGCTCCTTAAAAAGAAGATTTTACAGTTGAATCGTGAGGAGCATAACAAAGAACTTAGTGAGTTTGTAACCCAAAAGAATGCAGTTTTTTTGTTGTTATAGTAATTTTTACCACAGCAGGTATTTGACATTCCTTGTCTTTTTTCTCCAGCCAAGGAAATTTTAATACTGCAGGCCGAGGTGGAGCATTACAGACAGTTAATGATGAATGCCAAAAAGACAACTTATTCCCGACTTCAAGGTGAATGAGCCTACATAAAGTCACACTTGTACATGCCTAATGTGGGATTATGAATTGATAAACTGGAAAAGTTGTTGTTCTTGTTTTTCACCCTAGAGCTACGAGTTATTTTGGAGGAGGAGAAGAGAAAACAAGAAAACTTACAGAAGCAGCTGGAGGAATCAGAGTATGCCCAGGCACAACTAAGTATGAAAAAGAGGCAGGCTGACCCTTAAAAAATACCCGATTCTACTTCATGATTCTTCTGTTTTCCAAAAACCTTTCTATTTTAAAGCTGTACTATCTCCACTAGCAGAAAACAAAGCACACTACATCATAGATATATCAGAACCAAAAGTCAGTGCCTAAACATTGAAGTCTTTTCTTTTACTTTGACCAGTCATGAAAATCATCAGCATAATGAAAGAAGTGAGAGAGCTGAATGACGATGAGCAACACCAGACAACATCACCAAATCCAGCCACCAGTGAGTCCTCCTCTTCTACATCTACTAATAAAGTCAGGCTGAAAAGCAGCTGATAGTTAGTGGTGGAAAGTAACTAAGTACGTTAAGTACTGAACCTAAAGGGGCAGTGTGTATGATTTAGTGACATCTAGTGGTGAGGATTGCAGATTGCAACCAGTTGTAACTTCTCCCATGTGCCATCCTTTGTTAGAATTCCTTCAGTGTTTATTGTTCAGGAGGTTTTTTACCGGGAGCCGAATTATCTACGGAAAACCTGTATAAACACTTAATGAAGCAGTTTCACGTTAAAAAAGAACTGTTTTTCTGATGCTCTCATCACGGAAGGGCTGTAAACTACAGTGGCTGACACAAAAATGCGATTGGTTTGTCAGTTCTTGGCTACACACTGGACCTTTTAAGGAGCAGTGTGTAGGATTTAGGGGGATGTTTCCAGTGTCATTCTTTATTAACCACCTGAAATTCAGACTTGTGTTCTCCTTACCTAGGGGAAGTTCTCTCCCACAGAGCCTGCCATGTTGCAACTGCATGTTTCTACTGTAGCCCAGATAGGGCAAACTAAACACTGGCTCTGGACTTACATAATTTTACACTGATTACCTGAAGGCTGCTGTAGATTGACTACATGCTTTGAAAAAGGAGGGGTAAGCAGTACAGTTTGGTGCAATCTGTAACCTCGCTGCTAGATGTCACTAAAACCTTTATACTGCTCCTTTAAGTAAATTTTACAACTTTTACTTGTAACACAGTATTTCTGCACTGTGGTACTAAGGTTAAAGATCTGAGTTCTTCATCCACTGCTTCTGATAATTGACAAAAACAGATCCCATTAATATTTGGTAGCTTTGACTCACTTAGATTAAATTCTCTTAACATCCCATTGTTTCATATCAGCTCTTCAGACTCTGCTTCAAGCCAAAGAAAGGGAATTTGAAAAAGCTCAGGCCGAAATAAATGGTAAGTTCATTAACTCTGCACTGACAACTTCAAAGCGCAATATCAGTTGAGCATTGAGTTGATGTGACTTCATCTTTTTGTACAATAGAGCTGCAGAGGAAACTGAAATTAAAGAGTAAAGAATACTTTGGTCTTGAAGAAAGACACAAGGGTAAGTTGTAAATATGACTTCAGCTGAAGGCTCTGATCAGTCATGTTTTAGTTTCTAAGTGCTGATTTGAATCATGTGTGTGTTTCTATCAGAGGTAGAGACTGAATATAAACAGAAGATTGCAGAACTTAGCAAAACCGGAGACACCAAAGCCACACTCAGTGAGTAACGTTACACTGCAGTACTGACATCATCACACCAGCACAGTGTATTATTTACATTACAGAGGAAATCTCTTCCATTTTACATGAAAGCTGTCTATGCTCAGTTACTGCTGAGATGTGTATTGATGTCTGCTCTTTTTTATCTGAGTCAGTTTTGAACGTGATAAACCAGCATGATGCTTTGAAAACTCTGAGGGATCAGATCTCCACCACAGCAGACCCAGACAAAATCAAAGGTGAGTCACAGTGAATGTTTCACACTGGGAACTTGTATATGTCTCAGTGCAATATTGAGTCAGGTATTGAGAATAATTTGTTGTGTTCTTACTTCTTTAAAACATTCTTATTGTTTTTTTTTTCCTTCCTGAAATGATCACTGATTCTCGCTTTCTCCTCACAGAGCTACAGAGGCAACTGGAGGAGAAGCAGGCCGAAATTAACTCTTACACTGCAGAAATAGAGAGACTGATTCCCAACCCCCAAATCAGTGAGCTCAATAAGTGTTCTCTAAACTTTCAGCTGCAGCCAAGCATTTCTTTAGGCCTGAGTGTTAATGTCATGTCTCTGCACTCCATTGATGTAGATTTCAGGGTTGATGCAAAGGACACATCCCAATCAATATTTAGTGCATTTGTCCCCACAATAAAAACATGAAAGGAGTATCAGTGACAGAGATTTGAGACATTTAGACCATTAATTGAGGCAGAAAAAATTTCACTAAATTTACTAAAATGCAGGAAATTATGTGTTTGATGCTTAAAATTTGAGTCCAAGACTTCATCATGTTTAAATGACGTGGTATATACAGAAGAATCAAGAGAGCATATGGCATTTACAAGTCAGAAGGACTGTCTACATAAAGGTCTAATGTACTTGATATTTCTACGCTTATTTGGGCACTAATTGCTAAATGAAACAGGATGATATTTATAGAATGACGCATCATCAGTTTAGAGGATCTTTAAGGTATTTGGTTGGTGGTGAACAAAACAAGTCAGTAGTTGCTTTTAACAGATTTAGTCAAACTCACTGTGTGTGTGTGTTTGTTTGTTTCAGTTTTAACAGTCATTGAGCTGCAGAATAAGATATGGGACCTTCAGAGACAGGCTGCCAATGGGACCACTGATGACCGTATAGTAGGTTAGTCTTATTTAAAATGCCAGTTTAACAGTTCTCTGTGACATTATTTGACAGTCAAAATTTAAAAAATACAGACTAAAAACAGTTTTCTTTTTCTAGATTTGCAAGACAGAGTGCAAGGCCTTCTCAGTGAATTAGACAACAAAGACGATGCCAACATAAAACTAAGTGAGTTTGAAATAATTATGAGATTCTTCTGCCTTATTACAGTATCTCTTGAATTAAACTATATGTTTTCCTATCTGTCGTGATGTGCTTCAGTGCTGCGCATCCTGACCCTGCAGAGTCAGGTGGAGCAGCTGCAGAGACAGTTGTCAGACCACCAGAAGTTACGAACCACTGAGGTGACCCGTAAGTATCTCTAATGATTCGTTACTAATCCCCTGATCACCACAACATGAGCAGAATTATTCAGATCAAATACAACTGGTTGCACTGAAGAGAAGACTGTGAAAGTTAAGTGAGGGAAGCAAGCTAAAGGTCTACTGCTTACATTGATTGTAATATTATTATTATTGTGTCCTTATTTTCTGTATATAAATAATACGTATGTTTTCACTTCTTGAAATTTGTCTCAGAGTTCACAAATGATCTCAAAACCAAGAAGAAAGAGCTGCAGAAATATGCCAACGAGCTGAATGAGAAGAATCAGACAAACACCAGGCTGAGTAGGTAGAGGGGGAATATGGTGTTTTCATTCATTATTAAGAAACACTCTAAAATATATTTCTTTACAATATTTTATTTCTGTACCTCAGTACTTGAAATTACTGATCTGCACAACCAACTAAGAAACCTAGAAAAAGAAAAGCACGATGACAAAGTGGAGTCATCTTTAACAGTTACTCGTAAGTATTTCATTTTCTTCAGATCACTGAATTCTAGTGCTGCAACGATTAAATGATTGGTTGTCAAATATTTAATTAATCGCCAATTAATTTGACAATGGAGTCACTGATTTGAGTAATTTTTTAAGAAAAAAAAATCAAACCTCTGTGATTCCAGCTTCTTAAAAGTAAATATGTTGTGGTATCCTTACCCCTCTACATCAGTAAACCGAATATCTGGGTTGTGGACAAAATGAGACATTTGAGGATGGCATCTTGGCCTTTGGAAAAAACATTTTCTGACATTTTATTGACCAAACAATTAGTTGATTAATTTAGGAAATAAATGACAGATTAATTGAGAATAAACATAATAGTTTGTTGCAGCCTTCATTTATTTATTTAATAAAAAATTGCTGTTTGGTAACATGAAGCAAAACTGACGTTTTTTAGAGTTGAGGGAAAAACTGAAGGCCAAAATGGCAGAGCACTCTCGTGATAAAGCTGAGATCAAGGGTAAGTTGTGGAGTCTTGGTTTGAGTATTTTGTGGTTAGTGCAGATAAGCGTTGCCTGTCTGAACATTGTTTTCAAACAGTCCTTCAGACTCTGCTTCAAGCCAAAGAGAAGGAACATGCCTCTGCTCAGGCTGCGGTCAAAGGTGAGCTGATTTCTTCTTAATAGGATTGTAACAAGTAAGACTGCTGTGTGGGGAGAGCTCTGATGACCTGGTGTCCTCTTTTTATACAACAGAGCTGCAGAGGAAATTGAAATTAAAGGGTGAAGAATGCTCTGGTCTTGAGGAAAGATATGTGGGTAAGTTGTAAATATAACTTTAGCGAAAGGCTCTGACAAGTCACGTTTTAATTTCAGTACTGATATGATTCATATGTATGTTTATATCAGAGGTAAAGACTGAATTTGAACAGAAGATTGCAGAACTGAACAGAACCGGAGACTCCAAAGCGGCACTCAGTGAGTAACGTCACACCACAGCACTGCCATTATAGAGTCAGCACAGTGCATTATTCACATATAGCTGAAATCTTAGCATTTTACATGAAAACGGTCTCTGCTCAGTTTGCTTCAGAAGTTTAAGCTGTGTAGTGATGTTTACTCTGTTTATCTGAGTCAGTTCTGAGTGTGATAAACCTGCATGATGGTCTGAAGACTCTGAGGGATCAGATCTCCACCACAGCAGACCCAGACAAAATCTCAGGTGAGCCACAGTGAATGTTAAACACAGCGAATGTGTATCTGTATTAACAATTTAGTTTTGCATTGAAAATGTGTGTTCCTTAAAATTATTTTAAAAGATATACAAGTGGAATGAGATAGCAGACAGTATCTTGAATTAACAAGGCCAGATCACTCCATTAGCAGCCAGATGTTGCTTTAATTAATCTGCTTGTTCGAGCAAAATGTTCTGCTTTGGTTAAAAAAAAGTGAATTTATCTCATTACATGATCAGATGTTCTTTGTTTAAACCAAAGTTAGTTAGCTTTTTCAACAGTCATTTAGAAGATTAAATGACATTTAGATGTGCTTGTGTCACATTAGCTCCTCCTGCCTCTACCACTTTGTGTCCTCAAAGAGCTGCAGAGGCAGCTGGAGGAGAAACAAGAAGAACTGAACTCCAAGACTGCAGACATAGAGAGACTGATCCCCAACCCCAAAATATGTAAGCACATTGATTTGATACGCTGTTATCATCTAGGTCAGTGTTTAACTCCAAATAATCTTTATGGGTGTAACTAAACACCTGTTGCCACCTGTTGCTATAGTGACCCTTTAGATAAAAGTTTGATCATGTATAAGGACTATGGCTCCACAGCTATTACTGAGAAGAAGAAATAATTTATGAAAGTCTTTTAAACACAGTCATGTCATCAAAAATGTGAATTTAATCGCTCTTTTTTTTATGTAAACAACTAAATTTGTACTATTCGTGTGATCACAGTTTGAGACTATAATTTGCAAAACATCTGGTAGTTGTATACTTAACTACTACCTTACTGAAAGTTTATTTAACTTAAAATATTTAAGATAATATGTGTCAAATGTGTGTGAGGTTTAAAACTTAAAACCAGATATTTGCTAGCCGTTGTATTTATTTATCTTGAAATTTGTTGTACCATGACACAATAGAAATGAACAGAAATATATCAAAAAGTATTTTTAAATGTTTACAAATTGTCTGAAAAATGAACCAAACTTGGCAGCATCACCATCATGTTGCAGGAAGAAAGAATGCCTTCTATTGAAGAACTTTAGCGAAAAACTGTGGGAGAAAAATCCCAAAAGGTGGTGCAATTGCATCAACTATTATATGATAACAAAACAACAAAAAGCTTGGCTGGCTGAAATGACCCAGACCCTTTATAAGAGCTTATATACATTGGCTATAATCCATCATCTTTGGCCTGTAAAACAGACAAAACTAAATTTGGAAGAATGTTTTACTTTGATTGTAAGAAATTCTATGTAATTCTATTTGTGCACTTTCTTATCCACACATGTAAAGAGTCCTTGGGTCTGTTAAAAAGCACTGTAAAAAATCATTATTATTATTATTATTATTATTATCATTATTATCATTATTATAGTCATTTGCTCTTTTGTTCTTTGTACACCCCTAATCCACTGATGTTCCAAGTATTAGTTGAGCACTGGCAACACATTAATAATAATAAGCCCAGAGAAACTCATGGCGTGTTTGCTTGTTTCAGTTTTAACAGTCATTGAGCTGCAGAATGAGATATGGGACCTTCAGGCTGCAAACAAGACCACTGATGGCAGTGTAAAAGGTTTGTCTATTTCAAATAATTCAGAGTCAAATTATTAAAGAAATGAAATCACAAATGACAAAATGTAATTGACAATAAAGTCTACTTACACTCTCCTAGAATTACAAGACAGAGTGGATGGCCTTATCAGTCAAATTGAAGACAAAGGCGACGACAACACAAAACTGGGTGAGTTTGAAACAGCTGTGACCGGAAATCTTTCTTCCATCGTCTCTCCAATGAAGGAATGTCTGCTATTCCTCTCAGATCCCCTCCTATATGATTCTGCTACAGTGTCTGTTGAATTAAACTACATTTTCCCTCTCTGTTGTGATGGGCTTCAGTGCTGCACATCCTGACCCTGCAGAGTCAGGTGGAGCAGCTGCAGAGACAGTTGTCAGATCTCCAGAAGTTACGAACCACTGAGGTGACCAGTAAGTATCTCTAATATTTCTTTACAAATCCCCAAGCAAGCAAATCATGACCTGCTGCTACTGTTGTTGTTATTTTGTATTCTGATCTTCTTCATCTAACCAATAAATGTGTTTTTACCTCTTTAAATTTGTCTCAGAGCTCACAAATGATCTTAAAACCAAGACGGAAGAGCTGCAGAAATATGTCAACGAGCTGAATGAGAAGAATCAGACAAATGCCAGGCTGAGTAAGTAGAGGGGAAACATGGTGTCTTCATTCATAACTGAGCAAATAGTCTAAAATTTTCCATGTATCTTATCTTATTTCTTTCTTTCTCAGTTCTGACAACCACTGATCTGCACAACCAACTCAGAAGCCTTGCATCAGAAAAGCAGAATGAGGAAAAAACAGCTTCTGCTGTAGTTACTAGTGAGTATCTCATTTCTTTTTTACCTTCTTGAGTTTATATATTAGCAGTATAGCTCCTTCTTAAGGTAAAGCATACCTTATTGTTTCTAGAGCTCAGAGAACAACTGAAGGCAAAAGTGGAGGAGCACTCCCGAGATCAAGCTGAGATCAAGGGTAAGTTCAGTACTAGCATGTGTAGATTTCTGCAACAAGGAAAAAAGAAGATTAAGTTGAATATGAATATAGGTTTTTTTTTTGTTCTAGCTCTGCAGAATAAACTGAATGAGACAGAAGCACAGTGTTCAGGTTTTGAGGAAAAACTTAAAGGTGAGTGTAGTCTCTTTTGACTTGTTACTGACTGTCTCTGTTGGCCGATAACGTCACACCCTTTTGACTCCATTGTTGGAAATATATGGGTTTGATGTCTTTTTTAAAGTTACTCTCTGGACATTGATTAAATCCCTCAAAACTCATCTTGGTTAATTAAAATACATATACATAAGTTTTGAATGAAAAAAACTGCAGCTCAAACGTACCTGCTTATCTTCAACCCTAATCATCAAACACAAAACTCTGCTTGTTTTCTGTTTTGCTAGCTACTAAAGAATATACAATAGTGTAAAAAATTGAAGTGAAACTATGTGAAACCAAACTTGCAAAATACTGATGTGTAGCTACACATCCTGTGAGACTCCTTGTTTCACCCTAGTATTATGCTAACTACATGGAAAGCCCCACCCCACAAGTTGTTTGGTTGCTTAGGTATGTGACGTTTGAAACCCTGCCTGTGTGATCCATGTTTTGAGACTGTCATTGATAAGCTGCAGTTTCAAGGCAGAAATGTTTAGCCATGGCATTGACTGCTTATTTCGCTCATGATACAGTAAGTTTTGTAGCATATAAAAAAACATACTGACATGTTCAGAAGGTTGAAAACTTGATTTTCATTGCAGGGGCTCTTTAAAGCAGTGGTGTAGTGGAGGGTATACTCAGGTATACGGTGTCTACACACTTCTTTTTCTATCCAGTTACAGTATACCCACCTGTCAGCTAAACAGCCATTGTAATATATGAGAGTCTGCCCACTTCCTCATCAGTAACCTACCTATCTACCTAGTAGCACACCCACCTCATCAATTACCATTATACCACTGCTTTAAAGTAATTGATGATAGAAATAGCAGCATCTTTTTCTGTCAGTGTTAGCAAACAATTAGATTTTCTACCATACACAGAGAACATGATATATCAGTGATAACCCTGAGCAGCTTTAGAGCTGGATCTAGTAAAAAGATGGAGGGAAAAGCACAGGGAATATTATGCAACATCTTGCAAATCAATCCCTCCAGATGAATTAATTATCGGGAAATGTGTGTGAACCTTAATGGATAGCCTTTACTGTCCAAACAAATTGAAGAGCCACAGATTACTAACAGGGAGAGCTAAAGGAATCATTGAATGTGAATTGTCTGCAGTAAACTACATTAGATATTCAGGAAGAAATTTCAGATTTTACACCTTATTCCCTTCTGCTTTTATAATGTTTTTTTTTGGTTCCAGTGTCTTATAAAATTATTATGGAAATGTTGCACCCCCTGAAAATTGGGAACAATTAACAGATGTGTTTATTCAGTTCACTTAGGGGCACTAGTACTTAACCTGTCAAATAGTTGAACACGTGGGCATCAATTTAGAGTTGTTTGTTTTCTTATATATGATAGTATCATCTGCAAAAAGGGATATAAAATTTAGTGTGTTATGGACAGTGTTTTGCTCATGATCTGGTGATAGCCAGACAACCTTGGCACATGCTGCCTATCAAAACCACAACTATTTGATTAGCATACAGAAACTAGTATCTTAGAAATATATTGTTCACAGTCCTCAGATAACCAAATTTAAGGCATACAAATGTTATATCTTGTTCTGTCTGTTGAATCAGCAGTTGTGACTAATGTGTCCAAATGTGTGTTCAGGTCTGCAGAATGACCTGGATGCCAAAATGAAGGAGCTGCAGTCCAAATCTGAGTCTGTTACTTCACTTGGTGAGTGGTGGAGCCATGTTCCCCAATGATTGATTGAGAAAATTAATGATTGTGTTGTGATGTTTGTGAGTTTTAAAGGGGAACTATTATGCTCATGTTGAGGTACATACTTCTATTTCAGGTTTCTACTAGAACATGTTTGCATGCTTAAATGTTCAAAAAAGCACTGTATTATCCCCATACCCTCTGTTCTGGAACATCTGTATTCGTCCTCTGTATTAGATGCTCCGTTTAAGTGCCTGCCTCCCAAAAAACCCCAGTCTGCTGTGATTGGTCAGCCTTTCTGGGTCGTCTGTATCTCAGGGTCTCTGCATTGTCATTGCAGCAGGGGGAATGACTGTAATAGAGAATAGCAGCACTTTCTACCGCGAAAAATCACCAATAAAACATTCTCAACCAAAATCTTCACAACTGGACTTGTTCCAGCAGGAATATGTTCCGAAATCAGGGAGAAAACAACAACACTGGCGACCAAGATTACATGATTCCCTGATGGTAGCATGTAGCTACATGTAGCAGTGTGCTTGCAGCCCGGCAATGACTGTAAAAGAGTATAGTCTGACTTTACTGTAAAAAAAAAATCACCAGTAATAGAAAAAAGTTAAGACAATCTGAACACCTTTCTTTAATTTAACTGATTTTAAATCTGGTTCTTTCAGCTCTTCAAGTTTCTACATTAACCCTGCAACTGGAGGAGCTAAAGAGACAACTACAAAACACTGAATCTGAAACCAAAATAAAAGGTCAGTGTGTGTGTGCTTCATTGTCACTATACAGTATACACTGTTGCCTGTGTGTCAATATATTACATCCTTGCATGACATTAAGTATATACTGTTTCTCAGATATTCATTTTTCATGTTGTTTAAATGAAGCTCTCCAATGAGTCCACAAAAATGGCAACTGTGCAGCTTAGTGACATATTGAAACAATGATGTGAGGTGTTATTCTCAAAAAAGGCATGAAAAAGGAAGGATATACAAGCTGAAAAAAAATGACTTTGTATTCTTCCACAGAACTTCAAAAAATTATCGAAGAGAAAAATAGTGAGCTGACCAAAAAAACAAAAGAGCTGAAAGAAAGAAGTGCTCAACCACAAAGACGTGAGTAGAACATCTTCCATGCAGGGCAGACAGATACAGAAGATCCTATATACCAACAGCCATCAGGCTTTATAATTCTTTGACATATAATAGATGAGCTGACAGATAATTGAATTTCCCCTTGGGGATGAATAAAGTTATTCTTATTCTTAATAAACAATCCACTGAAAGAGTCAAAAGCACTGAAATATATGTATAATAAAGGTGGGAAGTTATACATGCTAGAATATGATTATCAATGTTTAACCTTTTTTTCAGTTCTACAGATTATTGCAATACAAACAGAGATTGAGAAGTTGGTAAATGTGGCATCAAATGACACAGATTACGCTAAGATTAGTGGTGAGTGACAGAAATGTTTTGAAGACATACACTAAGGACTCTAAAGCAATTACATCTCCAAATTTTTGGAATAAACAGTCTAAATGAAACATGCCCTCACATGAAATGATGCCATTCTGTCTTTTCCACAGCACTCCAAGACCATTTGAATTACTTAGTTGAAGGAATTCAAGATGAAAACAATGAAAATACTAAACTGAGTGAGTCATCATCAAAATGACAGTAAAAGTGAATTGTTCTATTGCTTCACTGAATGTATCTAATCTAGACTTTCTTCTGTCAGTGTTTAAAATCTTGTCTCAACAAGATGAAATAGCAAGATTGGAGAAGCAAGCGAAGCGTCAGTCACAAGCAGCATCGGAGAGAATAAAAGGTGGAAAGCCGTGTGCACAAGTCAAATTTATTCTGAATACTTTTTCATGCATTTTGAGGAAGTTTAAGATCCATTCTGTCTTTCTTAAAGATCTGGAGAATGAACTGGAGGACATCAGAAATCAGATATCAGAAAAGACGCTGGTGCTGGACTCAAGTGATACAAGGATTGCTAATTTGTGTAAGTGTTCCACTCAGCCTTAAGCAGAGAAAAACAACTTTTATCAAGTTATCAAGTAGCATCAGAATATTAAAAAAAAAATCCCTTGCTTGATCTTTAGCGGCTCAGATTATAGAACTTCACAAGAAAATCAAACCACTGGAAGAGGAGATAGCAGACATTAAAGAAACAAATGCTGAGAATCTTGCAGGTAAAGACCGAAATGCAATCATACCTTCTGTTAAGCCACATACACAGATTCTATGGTTTTGTATTTCATTGATCTCTAAATCATTTTCAGAGCTTCAAAAGAAACTGGATTTGTCAAAGAGGCAACTGCAAGACAGCGAAGTTCGACTCAATGAAGCAGATGCAAAGAACTTTCAACTGAGTATGAAAATCTTTTATTTGCTGTTGTTACATCTGCTGCCGGTTGTTTCCTTTCAGCACCAAATAACACTGTGGCTGTGTCTGTGTCTGTGTCTCTGCTAGTTATGGAGATTGCTGATCTGAGGACACAGCTGAAAAAAGCTCAGAAAAAGGCATCCAAGGCTGTCGACAAAAATAACATTGGTTTGTCAATCTGAGAATTTTATACCATCATGTCTGTACTGTCATCCAACATATTATTTCTTACTGTGCATGCTAGAATAGATATTGGAAATTTTCCTAAGACTAACGTGATGACTAAATCATCTGTCATCATATACGTTTTTCATGCAGTTGTGTTTTTTTGTGTCTTCTCTCAGAATTGGAACAACAACTGCAAACACAACAAAAAGAGAACAGACGACTTGAAAACACAAATAAAGGTATGTATATTACATTGCAGTGGCTTAAGGGGATAATTTGACAATGGGAAATATGCTTATTTGCTTTTTTCAGAGAGTTAGATGAGAGGGTCGTTACCACTCCTACGTCTGCTTGCTATGAGGCTACAGCCCAGAGCTAGCATAGCATAGCACAAAGACTGCAAATGGGTGGGGAGGGGACCACTAGCATGGCTCTGTCCAAAGATAAAGTTCCTAACTGAGTAAAATGATGTGTAAATAGCAGTGATGATAAGAGGTGAGTGAATTCTCTAAATGCTAAGGAAAGATGTTAAATGCTTTCTTTCTTATCTCCTTTAGCATAGGGTACAATGGACCATTCTTTACACAAAGACAGGAGGTAATGCTGTCCCACAGTTCCTCGTGGCAGCAGCATTTAAAGTGCCGTACCATTCGGCTGTTTACAAAAACCCATTTTGCGCATCTTGCATAAATTCACACAGCAGACCCATGTCAATAACATCTGCCATTGAACAATTATGTGTCCTAGTGTAGGTGCAGTTGGATTCTCTTAGCACCACGGTTGTCTTTTCCTAAGTCCTCATGAATTCTCCCTTATATCTTTTCTTGGCCTCATGATGTTTTCCATCAAAGTCAAGAAAAAGCATTAAAGAGAAGACAAAGGACGTTGTTTGTACTTTGACAGACACTACCTAAAGTCTCTTGGTGTTTGATACATAGCGTTTCCACCTCCTTCCTCTGTCAGACTTAAAGGAAGAGATCAAGGAACTGCAAATGTGCTGCACTGATGTCAACACCCAGTGTGATGGTGAGATCCTCAATATGACCTCATTCTCACTCCATGCATGTAGTTGTCCTTCACATCCACTACATCATTCGATTTAGTTTTTTTTTAAGTGAATGTTTCATCAAACAGATTTACAAAGACACCTGCAACAAAGCCAGGAGGATGCGGATCGCCTGCAGCAGCAGCTGCATGACAAGGATGCCAATCTCAAACAGCTGCAGCAGGAGCTGGAACAACAGAACATGGAGAATATCACGCTGCAGCACGAATGCAAGAGTGAGTTCCATAGAGAAAAACAGTACATTCAGTCAGTATATATTAGAGCAGGGGTGTCGAACATACCTCACACGCGCTGTATTCAGTCCAGCACACCAGATGACTTTGCTCATTTAACAAGGATGCGGTTGTGAAGGCTAAGAGGTGCTATGTTTCAGGTACAAGCTAAACAGTGCATGGCCTTTTTCATGTAAAATACCAGCCCGTTCTCATTCTCAGGTTGTTAAATACCAACACTTTATCACGGCAACAACAAAAGTGTCCTTTAGTGTGTTTTTGAGACGTACTGGGCCTTCAGCTAACTCCACTGTAAACCCATCCATGGCAATACTGTGGAGAGCAACTATGAAGTCTGTGTAAGGGGAGAGGGTGGGGAGGTAGACAGGTCAAACAAAACAAGACTTTCACCCAGGAGACTGCAGTGAAACCAAAAGTCAATGTTGTGATATATTTCTGTCGAGTTACGTTATTATAATGCAAAAAACATTCTTGTTTAATGTTATTTAAAAATGATTTTCTTTCTTTATAACCAAATATATAACCAAAGTTTTGTTGCCTTGATCTAACTGCCACCATTACACAACATTTACTGTACCTTGCATTACAATGTGATTCAGCTGTGCTTCACATAGAAATGCCCTATGCATCGCTATGAGAAGCAGAGGGGTGTGACAAAGCATTGGTGCTTGATGGCTTGGGAATGGGAACGGTATAAAAAAAGGCTGTTTAAGAGTTTTTCCTACCGAGGAGAATACGGTTCTGTAAAAAAACAACTTATTGTGGACATATTTAAAGAAACTGGGCACTGTACAGAATACTGTCAATCAGCAGCTTCAGTAAAATGGAATCTGTATTAGACTCCTATCATGAAACAGTATTGATGAAAGCTTATTGTCAAGCCACTGCCAACACATTTGATTTGTAAATGGTTTGTCAAGCAGGGGATAACTTAACCTGTTTACTTAATAGCCTCCACTTTAGTTTGGCTTTTTGATACCAGCATTATAATACAAGGAGGCATTTGATGTCATTTTTTAACTATACATTTCACCAAACAGACTTAGAGAGACAACTGCAGCAGGCCCTGGAAAACGCTGACTACCTACAGCAGCAGCTGTCTGAGAAGGACGCCACGCTTAACCAGCTGCAGCAGGAGTTAGAAGAACAGACCAGGGAGAATAAGAAGCTGCAGAGCGATTACGACAGTATGTTCAACTCTCTTGCAATAAGCAGATTCATTTAATATAACAGGGACAAAAATGTAGCAGTTGCTCTCATGATTCCTGATAAAATGTACAAATCTCGATGTCTTTTCTGTCTCAATGCCAGACCTGCAAAATGAGAAGACACAACTTGAGGATACTGTACAAGGTAGCAATTAGTTCTGGTCAACAAATTGCAGAGAACACACTGTGATATTACCCCCACCCAAAAAAATGTGCTGTTCTCTCTCTCTCTCCTCAGAACTTCAAAGCAAACTGAATGATGAGGAAGATAAGATAATCCATACCAGTGAGTCACACACAAGATTAAATTTAATTTCTTGGAAATGTTCAGCCTGCAGTTTCTTTGATATTTCTGTTTAGTGTTAATATTTAAATCCTGCATGTAAAATGCTCCAACTGCATAAATGTCATGATAAAACTATATAACCCTTCAGATCCCAGGCAGATCCATCTAGCCCAAGTTCGCCGACATAAACACACCTGACGTCATAGCAACAGGGCGGCACACACAGTGAACCAAGCAGAATGATCTTTTCATTAATTATGTCACTCTATGTGGTGTTTGTGTTGTTAAACATGCTGTAACAATATTGCAGCTGCCATTTCCTCTCCATTCAGTTGATTTTTGCTTGAGAGGAGTTTTTGCAACGTGCCCATCTGCATCAACGAATGTGCACAACAACTTAATGCTATTAGCTGCTATTAGCACTAGTACTCTTGGCACCCGTTTTCACAATTTGGAGCTGTCTTGCATTATTTTAATGAGCAAACACAAGCAAGTTAACTTATTTTATACACTGTTTCTCTTTGCTAATGGTGCTGTGGTAAATGATGTAGGTCGTCTGTAGATGTTTTCAAAGCTCAGAGACAGACATGACATAAACATCAGTTTGCTGTGGGTACCCATAATTTCCCGAGCAGATGCAGTGGGAGGCATTTAGATCCTAAGCTGGGAGTCGGAATTATTGTCTTCCAACATGCAATGCATTTCAGGGTAAGATCAAGCCCCCAGGAACAGCACCAGGCTTTGAAGCCAATCTTATAAAGAGTGCTCCAGGAATGAGTCCTAAAACCCAGAAATTAGTCAGCATTTTTGCACTCTCGGATCCTCATCTCAAATTCAGTGAGTTTTTTGAATGGGTTTTTGGTTAGATGCCTGAGATAAGGTCTGGGGTAAACATAAGCTGAAGAGACTTTCACATTTTCTTCTTTAACAGAAAATATATCAGTAAATACCCCACTTGTGAACTTTAAAGCTTTTTTGTCTTAATAAAGGCAGTTTTTAACTGGTGGCTAAGTGAGACTATAGAACGTTATTCTGCCGAATATGGCTTTACAGCCTCACTGTGATGGGGATGTTAAATTAAGCGACAGTACTAGTACTAGTACTAGTTTATAGCCTAACATTAGCTTTTTACTTGTGATTGCATTAGGCTTTAAATCATTAAAGTTGTTTTTATCTGTGAAGATCATCTTGCTGAACAAAGCCTGTAAGTATTGGAAATATCTGTTTGCCACAGTGCAATAATCCCATTGAAAAAATCCCATTGGCTTCTTGATGAGGAAACCAGGGTGAAGCTCTGTTTCGTGTTGGCTATAGAAAAACATCATCCCAGGAACACTCTATACTGGCCAAACACAGAATTTTAAAGTCTGAATCCTTCACATGATGCCATGGGGCCCAAAAAACCCCAACCTCTTCCCATAGATTTACATTGTGAAAATGACGTGTTTAATGATCAAGATTTGATCCAGGAGGGATAAACTGGAGGTTAGCCACTCAGCCACCAAGAGTCTTTCGTTAGCTTGCTCTATCAACCTTACGAAGTGGAAGATATGGCTAAGTTCTTACTGCAGAAACCAAGGTTTTTGGCTTCATGCACCACTGCGCACTTTTCATAGCAATGAATGGGCCCCACCTCCAACGCTGTATCCAGCTCTCTCTATACATCCATGGGTAAGACATGGGCGTTTACCACACAGGCAGGGTCTAATGAAAGATGCCAGTCAGTTGCATCATGGGAAATGTAGGGTCCAGTTATTTTGGAGCTTGACCCATGCCAAAGCCCCAAAGTTAGAATATCTCAGCCTCTGCTGCTTTAATTTTGATCATTTTTTTTCAACTGCCACTTGTGACTACCTAAACTTTATGGAAGTGACACCCCTCACTGGAGTAGTGTTTTAAACTTCTGAATATCAGTTTTCTTTCAAAATGTGATGTAAAGATACACGAGTAACTACATTTCTCGGTTTACAGAGAAGATGACCTTGGACCCAAACACAGCCCATCCCAGAATAGCTCTGTCGGCAGATAACACCGAGATGTCCACAAGTGAGGAAATACAAAATGTCCCAGACCATCCAGGCCGGTATGATTCAGTTCTCGCTGTCCTGGGCGCGACTGGGTTCTCAAGTGGCAGACAATACTGGGAGGTTTCTGTTGCTGGGAAGCGTTGTTTCCACATCGGGATGGCCAGTGAATCTGCTCCAAGAAAGGGACCGATATCATTCAGTCCGAGAAATGGTTTCTGGACTCTTGTCTTGAACAAACAAGGTCAATACAGAGCTATCGATAGGAAATCTGTTACAGTTCCACTTCAGACGCAACCTATTACACTGGGAATTCTACTGGACTACAAAAAGGGAGAGGTTGTTTTTTACGATGCTGGTGCCAGAACTCATATATACTCATTTGTAGGGCAAAGCTTTACAGACAAAATCCATCCATTTATCAATTTTTGTGTTGAGGATACTGAAAGTCAGGTACCAATAGTTTTACTTTCACCTGGATCAATTGACTGGATACAATAGTGAATAGGGCAAGTTGTGTTTTGTCCTGTGTCAGATCTCATTTATGGTCCTCTCAGTAGGTAATGAAACAGTCCCTGTGACAGTAGAATATTTCTCAGGCATAGTACTGTTATTACTGCTGCTGATTGTTTCAGAAAATAAAACACCAACAAATAAACAATAATGCTTTTTGTTTATTATTCTATGTTTGAAAAAGAACATGTCTCCTTGTCCATGTCATTCCAGGTGTGTCACTCTCTAGGCCCTCTACAGAAATATTAAGCATGTAAGTTTAATTATGTTACAGCCAGATGTTAAACCTGTTTATTTTACATCCGCACCATTAGTCACTAAATGGCAGAGTATCACTCATGATGAAAGCATTAGGTTCAAAAAGTTCTGAACTTAAAAAGAGAAGTGAAGTGAAGCCCTGGAGAATCCAGTGTAGGAAACGGGATAAAAAGAGCTTATACTGAATGAACACCTCTGTTCTTAATGGAATGGTTTCACCTTCACAAATCCCATCAAAGTTACACAAGCAATTCTCTGAGGAGAAGGTCTAATACAAGTTTCCCAACACGTCACCTCTCTAACACATTTCACTTGCTTTTCTATCACAACGCAAACATTGCTCAGTCTCTTCCTGCTGTACCAGCAACACTCCTGTAAAAGTGGGCGACAAAAACTGGGTCCCGCTCTTCCAGTATGTGCAGGAAATGATTCCTCTCCTCTTCTCCCCATGACTCAAACCACTGGGTCCACAGGCGCAGCTGGCATTCAAAGATGTTTGGTAGTCTGTCTTTAACCTTTTAGGTGTGCAAAAAGATATATGTTAGAAATGACATAACATCACTATCTAGATCATCTGTTAATAGGTTACAGTGTGTATAGTACCTGAAGAGTACTGAGTGAATCTAGGAGGGTGCACACTTTCCCAGGTACAGCTTTCCCCAGAAGGTCCTGCAAGAAGCGCTCCCTCTGACTGGCGTTCCAGCCCTGGAACCAGCTCAGGACGCACCGCTGCTCCTGGAGGCTCACATAGGAGATGGGCTCCGGCTCTCTCACCCTACCTGCACCCGGAGAAGCGCAGGACAGGTTTTCAAGGCTCGGAGGGCTGACTACACCCTGTGGAGCTGATGGAAAGTCCTCCGGGGTGGGAGTGGAGCAGCCGGTCCAGTGTTGTGTTGCCATGGTCAGTGATCCCTCTGTCGGACCCCTGAGCCTGGAGTTGTGAGTGCTACACAGCATGTCTGCGAGTCTGTGGCTGTCAGCGGGCTGCTGCTGTTGCTGCTGATGTGAGGCTTGACTGACATGATTGAACCACGACATCTTTGGAAAGGCAGGTTTGTTTCAACCTGAGAAAAGCCAGCTATTCCCCTGCTGTGAGTTAATCAGCTATGCCAGCTGCACAGAGACTCCTCCGGTCTGGGTAGCGTTAACATGTAGCTTAGCTTCTATCTAAGCAATACTACCGTCGGAGTCCGAATTAGGAACTAACCTCACAATGAACTGCTCTTATTGCGAGTACCCATCTCTTAAATAAACTTAAATCACCTTATTGTCGGCATATTTGAAGCGTATCGATGTTGAACGAGAGTCGCCTTCATCGTTCGTACTAACAGGAAGGGTGAGCTGTTAGCCTATTAGCCTTGTGATGTAGGAAATCAAGCTTGCGCATATTTTGCGCAGTTTGTCGTTGGCGAAATAAATGATAATGGGTAATTTGTGTATTCGATATAAAACACATTCGATAGTAGTGGAAATGAATTTCAGTGTGTTCTGGGTTTCAAACATTGAGAAACATTTCATAATTTTCGATATTTGATTAGGGGGAAGTCGTCGCCGATGACGCCCGGTGGAGGAAGGCGTTGCTCGTCGCTCTCGCTAGGAACCGACCAGAGGAACGGAAAATGGCGGACCTCGAAGACGTTACGCTGGACGGGAGACCGCTCCAGTCCCTTCGAGTAGCGGATTTGAAAGCTGCTCTTGAGGAGAGAGGACTCTCTAAAAGCGGGCAGAAGAATGCTCTCATCAAAAGACTCAAAGGGGTGAGTTCTGCTGCGGAATACGGGACCACGGGCAGCTTCGAGCTAACGTTAACGATGAGACGGGCTGATGTTCTCTCGAGGGCCGACAACTGAGTATCGTTACTGCCGAGCAGCGTAGTAGAGTTATTGAGGCTAACCAACATCAAGCAGCTGAGAGATGCATCTATAAGCACCATGCTGCAGTTGAGCAGTGTTTGTGCCGTGCAGAATTATACCAACCTCAGCAACACCGGGAGTTAAATCAACTTGGTGGCTAATTTCAAAGTGTGTGTGGGTGAAATGTTGTCCTGTTAGCTCCCCCGGCTAACGCTGTGACTTGAGCGGTGGCCTGGTTTGCTGCTATCAATGTTACCGTTCACGGTGTCTGCCCCAAGCAGTGTTGGTGTACACGAGTTTAGCCGGGAGATTGACGTTAAACAAGTTATTTAGTAGCTCGACAACTATCTCTGAATGTCTAACGCTGAGTTTTTAAATTGAGAAACTTCGCCGTTTTCCGCCAAATTTAGCAGTAGTTCTGCTCTAAAAGGTATGACCCGTGAGTTGCATAGGTCCTGTGTGAGCCAGTTTGTTTACATTGCGCGCAGATATTCAACGTTATCTAACTACCTCACCATTAAAGTTAGGGGACTGTTTTCGTTTTGAAACGGGTAATCCGGTTACCTAACATTTTCCGCTGAATTGCGCCATGAAAGCAGCAAGTGATTTGCGTTTCCATGTTAACATTTATTATCCCAATGGAGTGTTATGTCACCCTTATTTCACATGTGGGATCTGGACACTGTTATTTAGTTATAACATGTAAGAAATGTTCTGTCATGACTGTTACCACTGTAGGTACTTTGAAAACCCCTCATAAAATACGAAAGCTTTGGTAACATATTTGTCTATGATTTAGCCCTGTTAGAATCAAAAGCAAGCCACTGATCTCAAATGGTTAAATTGTATTTGTTGTAATGTGTATCACGTGTTGTTTTCTATACTGCATACCTTAAGATTATACCATTATATAACATTACACTTCACAAGTGTATTTTGTTTACATTCTTGAGTGTTCTTGCAGGGGTAAATAACAAGCAAGCAACAGAGTGGGAGGGATTCTGCATGGCTCACTGTCAGGACAGAGATAGCTGGAACAACAAAGTGTTTAATTAAAGATGTGTTAAGTTTAGGTTGAGTAATTCAAGTTAGGTCCTGCAGCTTTTGCGTGCAACTCAGGCCACATTATTCTCAGTCTGGTCTGTGTTCCTCCATCATCAACGAGTTGCCCTGCCTTGTCTGACTGACCCTTATCACTCTTACCATTTTACTTGTTTGCTTCTTACCAGGGATTTCTGTTGTATATCACCCTCCTCTGTTTCTCCACATATTTTCCATTGCCCTCTACTGTATGCTGTACAAAAGGAAAATTTTTCCCAACTAAAAATGGTTAAGAAAGAGAGGCATTGATCTAGAATGTGTCTCATCTTTGTTGATGGCATGCTGAAGCACACAGAGACTCATAACAGTTTGTAAAGGACAGAAATCTTGACCGTCATAATGGGAATCATTACTCAATACAATACACAGTAACTAGGTTGTCATTAATTAAAGTATATAAATATTTATGTTCAAAAGCACCGGTGCCAACTCTAACCACTCTGGAAGAATACCTGGCCGTTATTTATGTCAAGTGAATAAAGTCTCTTGTCTTGATAACAGGCTCTCATGCTGGAGAATCTGCAGAGGACCTCCACCGCTCACATCGGACTGCAGCCAAACTCACAGGTAAGTGTCTGCTTTAATTTTCATTTCAACAGCTGAAGCTTTTTCACATGTAATGACCTCTTAAGTATAAATGATAAAATGTGCATTAGTATAATTATCATAAATGTCTGCACAAAGGTTTGTGCAAGTGGCCTTGAAGGCTTGCATCTATCTTTAATGGTTTCTGTCTTTAGATTGGGGAGGAAATGAGCCAGAACAGCTTTATCAAGCAGTATCTGGCTAAACAACAGGAGCTCTTGAGGCAGCGGCTGGAGAGAGAGGCTCGTGAAGCATATGACACAAACGGTAATCCTCCACTGCAACTAACTAACTTTCTGTATACATCTCAGGTCTTTATGGAAAACATGTTTGTGATTTTATTTGTTTCTCTTGTCAACAGAGGAAGAGGACCACACAGAAGTTAACAACAGTACCTCATGTCCTCCTCAAGCCCAGGTCAGACATCATTTTCTATGCTTTTTGTTTTAAAAATTTTCTGTGCTCCAAAATATTTTGCAGATATGAAAGGAACTTGCTGGTAAAAACTGTGCCAGATTATTTCCATGATAGAAAATTGACAAAGTACCATCACAAATTAAGCCCCACCTCTCTTTTTGTCATTATCAGGATGCCACAGCAGCACTGGCTGAGCAGCACAAGCCGCCTGGACCCTCAGGTGGAGAGGGATTCTTTGGTGCAGTGAATGAGGGAGAGGGTAACAGGAGCCAAGATGCTGACATGTCCGGTCCTCCTGCTTCTGGCTCTGTGGCCATGCGTGTTCCTGGTAGTGAGTACCAGCCAGAGAGGGGGTCTGCCTCCAATGAAGTTGCTGACAGCGACGACGATGATAGTGAAGATGGTGAGGAGGATGGTGACGATGATGACTGGGAAAACGGTGCCCGTAGGAGAAGCCACAGAGAGCCAGCCAGAGTGCCCACGACCAGAGAGAGGTCTGGAGCATCCTGTCAACCTCCCCAGCAACACATGCCTTCCCTTTTGTCCCCTCAACTCCGGCAGCCAACACCTCCCCCCTCCCCACCTCCAGAGTTATCATTTCCCTTGCCTGACACCCCTAAACAGAGTCCCCCTAGTCCAGATGTAGCCCCAGCAAGGCGCTCACCCAGTTCCTCAAGCTCTGGTTCCTCCAGCAGCGGCAGCCGCAGTAGCAGCCCAGAGCCACAGAGGAGTGGACATGCCGAGCGCAAGCCAGGCCCACTGACCCTTCTGGCGCGTAAAATGGAGTCAGAAGGTGCTTTCTCGGGAGCAGGTTGGCACCGCAGCGGTGGGGAAGGTGATAGGCAGGACAGCAGTTCTCCGGCTACATCATTTCCTGGCAGAGGGCCTCCAGAGGGTCTGGTATCTGCCATCACTCACACAGCCAATACTGCAGGCCATGTGTCATTTCCCATGATTCCAGGCGCCAACCAGGGTATCACGGGAGCACATTCAGCCCATATTCAAGTACCTGTGAGTGTGCTCAAGGCCACTGCAACAGAAGAGAGGGACAGAGAGAGGGACTCTGAGATAGAAAGAGAAAAGGCCCTTGAGCTGGAAAGGCAAGAGAAGCAGAGAAAACTTGAGCAAGAGAGAGCAATGGAGGAAGAGCGAAAAAGAGCTCTTGCACTAGAGAGAGAGGAAAGAGAGAGAGCTCTAGAGAAAGAGAGAATTGAACGACAGCAGGCTTTAGAAAGAGAAGAGCGAGAAAGGGCTTTGCAGCGGGAGAGAGAACTTGCTCTAGAACGCGAGAGGCAGGAGAGGGAACTAGCTTTGGCTAAAGAGAGGGAAGAGCGAGAGCAAGCCTTAGCACAAGAGAGGGCCCTGGAGTTGGAGAGGCAGAAGGAGCTTGAAAGACAGAGGGCCCTGGAGCAAGAACGTCTGCAGAGAGAAAAAGAGGAGAAGGAGAAGCGCAAGAGAGAAGAATTGGAGAGAGCAATGGAGCTAGAAAGAGCCAAGGCTTTGGAGCAGGAAAGGAAGGAGAAAGAAAGGGCTCTGGAGCAAGAGAGACTGGAGAGGGAAAGGGTTCTGGAGCAAGAGAGACTGGAGAGGGAAAGGGTTCTGGAGCAGGAGAAACTAGAGAGGGAACGGGCTCTGGAGCAAGAGAGACTAGAGAGGGAACAGGCTATGGAGCAAGAGAGACTAGAGAGGGAAAGGGCTCTGGAGCAAGAGAGAAAAGAGAAGGAGAGGATTGAGAGAGAGAAGGCCTTGGAGCAGGAAAGGTTGGAAAGGGAAAGGTTAGAGAGAGAGAAAGCCTTAGAGCAAGAGAGACTAGAGAGGGAGAGACTAGAGAGAGAAAAAGCCTTAGAGCAAGAGAGACTCGAGAGAGAAAAGGCCTTAGAGCAAGAGAGAATAGAAAGAGAGAAAGCTTTAGAGCAAGAAAGATTAGAAAGGGAGAGAGCTCTGGAACAAGAGCGACTAGAGAGAGAGAAAGCCTTAGAGCAAGAGCGACTAGAACGAGAGAAGGTCTTGGAACAAGAGCGACTAGAGCGAGAGAGAGTTGAGAAAGAGAAAGCTTTAGAGCAGGAGAGAATAGAAAGAGCTTTAGAGCAAGAAAGGCTGGAGCGGGAAAAAGCCCTCGAACAGCAGAGGTTAGAACTTGAGAGGAAGGAAAAGGAGAGAATTGCGAGAGAGAAGGCATTGGAGCAAGAGAGGATAGAGAGGGAAAAAGCCTTGGAACGAGAGAGGGAGGAAAAAGAGAGATTGGAGAGAGAGGCTGCTCTTGAACAGGAGAGGAAGGAGAAGGAAAGAGCAGAAAAGGAGAGGAAAGAAAGACTGGAGAGAGAGAAAGCTCAAGAGCAGGAGAAGCTGGAAAGAGAGAGAGCCTTGGAAAAGGAGCGAAAGGAGAAGGAGAGGGCTCTTGAACTTGAAAGATTAGAG